TTCAGACTTTTATTCTCCATCATTCAAATTACTACAGCTCTTAATAAACTACAGAAAGAGGGAAGGAAAATTCAAGTAGAAGTGAAATGAAAAAGACAACAAAAAGCAATTCTGAATGGAAAAATAATGTTTCATCTTTTCTAAACACGAGAGTTTAGCAAAAGCTATGTAGCTATGAACTTACTTTAAATGTAAGACATGAGTTATTTTAAGATAATGGAGATGACGTATTGATCTATGTTTTGGAAATTCAATAATATGTTAACTGGGATGACTTGTTATAATCAGAGTTTTCAAACAGCACTGGAGGAAGGTCAAAACAATCTTAAAGGGTTTTACAGAGCGATAAAAGTAAATAGCTTTTGTTATAAATTTTAGAATTAAATGTTTAAATAAAAATAGCTAAGCTAGATAACTTAAACCATTAAATTACACATTAAGAAACTATGGCACATTAATTAGTGGGACAAATTAACAGTTAACATAGTTAGCATGATAATATAAACCTGTTGAATACAGATTAACATATTGACTTAAAGCAAGATAACGAGATTTAAGGATCGAAAAGTGCATAGATTGATAGCTGCGATAATTTAGACAAAAAGAATCCTAATTTTAAGTCTACTGTCTTGCAACCTAAACTACAAAACTATGCCAACTTAGATGACTCAAATATGCCTATTTTAGACAATAAAAAATTGGAAGAGAATATACTAGATACTAATGCAATTAATAATACTTTGATGATGACAACATAGTAATATGAAGATGAAAAAGAAATAGTTGCTTAGTTGAATAAAACAAAAACGATGAAGTATAGCAAAGTCGAAGATACCACAAATTGTGAATTTTCATAAACTAATTAAGTTAATTAAGATAATTAAGAAACAGGTTTGCATCTCAGTTAGGGATAACAAAAGGCAGAAATGGATAAATATAAAAAAGACGACGATAGTTCTCAAGGTCATGATTCTAAAAATAACGGAAAAGAATCAATATCTGTATTTGATGATGGTAAAAAAGAAATAGGAAATGATTTAATTAGACAGATGGGAAGAAATAACGAATTACCATTTGATTAAGGTTCTAAGTCTTCTATGCAGTCTTCATCTTCAAGCATTGTAAAGCATATCATAGATAATACAACTAGTAAGTCTACTCCTCCTTTCTTGGTTATACTTTATGGAGTTTTTGTATTTTAATTTTTTGTATTCATAACTGTTGTTGTCGTGCTATCAGTTACTATTTCTAACTCCTTTAACAGTTATACTTAAGGTATTAATTTATTATTCCAAATATTCATTTAAATTTATTAAACAAATTTATTTCTTTATTAGATTTTAATATTTACACAAATCTTTAAAATATTCATGAAATAAATTTTTAATAAAATTTATTTTTTTAAAATTTCTTAAAAATGAATTTTCTTAAAAATTAATAAAACCTTGAATTTTTAAAAATAAAGTTAATTACAGTATTGAAAAATGATTAATTATTTTTTAATTTTTCTAAATAAATTTATAAACTAATTTAAATTTTTTAAAATAAAAATAGCACTAAATAGGATGGGAAGGTAATGAAAGAAATTAATTAAATTAAAATATTTTAAAACTTAAAATAATTATCATTTTTATTTTTTAAAGTTCGTCAAAAATGCTTATTCCTATAAATTAAGCTATGATGACATCAGATATAACTTCTCTTAAAAATATGAATCAACTGAGTCCACTTCCTTCTCAAAGCTATATGAATGTTATGGAAGAAGTAACTCGAAGTGGATATTAGTAGTACTCTGATAACTTATTTAACTTCTTGGATTTATAAGTTTAATATTAATATTAAAAAATTGTTTTTAACATGATGATAAATGCTTATTTGATGTCTTTTAGATAAAATTTGGTGACTAAATTATATTTCACAGAGTACTTAAAATAAGTAGGCACTTCGCTATTTAACTTAAACAGAAACGATTTCTAAAGTAATTTTTCTTTTTTCCTTTTTTTTTTTTAATTTTAAAAAACATAAAATTAGATTAAATTACTGTTTTTCTGGAAGAAAAGTATCTTCTTGTGAACAATCTAAACAGTACATAGTCATATCTTCTTGTATCAATGCAGAGCATAAGCGATGATCTTAGTAGCCTTTAATCAAGTATTATTGTAGTTAATACTTATAGTATTGTATTAGCTATTGTTCTAATCATTCTATCCTTTGGATTCATTATTCCATCTTATAATAATTTAAAATTTAAATCTGAAAGAATTTTAATGATTGTAAGTCGTTTAAAACAAGAAGAGACTAGTGATATTATATTCCACTTAAAGGGAATACAAGCCAAGCTCTTTTCAGATGATGATGAGTATCTTCACATAGATTTCTCCAATTTTGCTCTTAGAGAGGAAAATGAGCTTGAATAATCGCAAAGAGCAAAAAAGAAGAAAAATAAACAAAGATAGAACTATTTATATGATAGAATATTTGATAATAAACTCAAGTTTTGGTCTTTCATAATCATCCTCATCTTCCTTTGTCTTCTTTCAGTTTTGTTTTTCTTGATAGTAATTTTATTTTTACTTTCAATTATTAATACAAAATTTATTTATGAAATACTTTGGAAATTTATTTAACTTTTATCTATGTATTCGATTTTACAATATAAATATTACTTGTAAGTTAACTTTTGCAATATTAAATTTTTAAATAAATATGATTAAAAATATTATTTTGATTGGATGACAAATTTTATTATTTAAAAATTAGATATTTATTTACTTGAATCAGTTCGAATCCATATTTGGTACTCCTGCTAATTAGTATAAATAGTTTATATAAGGTTCGATGCAATTCACTACAGCATCAAGTAGTCATAACTCAATTTTAATTAATAATCTGCTAAAAGAAAATAATATGGAGTATTTAACAGATGAAAAACTTAATGAACTGATTGAATTGAGAGCTCAATCATTGTAATAAAGTCAGCAGTATTTTTCTTAGTAATTTGTATTACTTCAATAGCAAGGAAGTACCAGCCAATTTTAAAACATGATTGTGAAAGTAAGCTAATAAAATATATGTGAACAAAATATATTAGACTAAAATTATATTGATTACTGTAAGTCAGCTCTTCAAGGAATACTCACATAAGGGCTATAACCAACTGTTTCAACTATCATTCAAAAGATCCAAAATGAAATGAATATTGATAATAATTTTAATATGTTCATTTAAAGCCAAGAGTACCAAGATGGTATGATTGTTCAATAACTCTTAACTAACGTAATGACTTATATCGTAGTTTAGTTTGAAAATCAAAACGTAAATATCAAAGATAACTATCTCAATATTCTTCTCCTGATTCTTTCATTAGGAAGTTTAGTTTACGTTTTAATATTCTTTATTGTGATAGCTATTTATCTCAATAAACTTAAAAGAGAGTATCTTGTTATCAAGAAAGCTATTTAACTTGTCCCATACAGGAGACTTACTGAAGGTATACATTTATTCATTCATTCATTATTTATTTATAAAAAACTTTAACATAAATTTTATATTTAAAATAAAACAATTTTTTGTATATAAATATATATAGATTCTATGACTCTGTTCCTTCTCAAAAAGGTTATGGATGTAATAAATTTTCATATTTTATTTTAAATCTTTCTTAATAAATAAATATAAATAAATATTTTTAGTTACAATGACAAATAGATCAGAATAAATCTTACTTAAATACTTACTTACTTATAGTTTAATATAAATTTTAAATTCTATTTTAAAATTATAAAATAACTATTAAAATAGGTTTGAGTCACCTAAAATTTTACCTTATCTAACATTTAAAAGTTAGTCCTATATTTATTACTTTTAGTTACAAAAAAGAAGATAAAGAAATTAGAAAAATTATATTTACTTTATAACTTACTTACTTACTTAGTTAATTACTTATATAAATAAATTAGTTAAAATTATTTTATACTAATTAAATTGATGATATTTATTTATCTGTTAGTTTAATTTATTTCGCTTTATATCTTGTTATTTTTATTACAAAAAACCTTTCATATTATTTTTTTTAAAAATTATCTATTTAATTAAATAAATAAATTATTCAAAAAAATATTTAAATTTTGTTTTGTTTTCATTATCTAAAAAATTCATCCAATTTACTTAAATGAATTTTAAAAGTATGCTCGCTCCTTTTAAAATAATATTAAAATTTTTTAAAGAATTTAATAATTGATTTTATTTAATATTAAAATTTACATAAATTATTTTTTTAATTCTTGAAATAAATTCATTTATCCATTAAATATTAAATAAATTATGAAAATTAAATAACTGTTTTTCTTATCAAATTTTTAAATATCTTTTTATTTTATTATTTTCACAAAAAATAAAGCAATTTATCAATTAAAATTAAATCAAAAATTTATGCTAATCCCAATAAAAATATTTTTGCTTAGTGGTAATTTCAAAATAAATAAATTTACTTTTTTGTTAAAAATATTTATTTACCTTTCTTTTAAATTAAAATTTCTGTTTTTCTCAAAATAAAACAAACAAACAAATTTCTTTTTTCAACAAAATAAATTTATTGAATTGTAAACTTATTAATATATTTAAAAAAGTTAATTTACTACAATAAATTAAATTTCTGTTTTTTTTCAAAAAAAGCTAATTATCTTTTAGCATAGAATAATTAATTTTCAATAATTTTTTTTTTTGAAGAAAAATAAATAATTATACTAATAAAAACAAACATAAATTAACTTTTTTTATAAAGTTAATAATAAAAAATAATAATTATTTTTTAAAATAGCATAAATTCTTTTTGATTAAATTTTATTTAATTTTAAATAATTTAATGCATATTCATTTAATTAATTTTTATTTAGTTTATTTTAGTAAAATTTTATTAAGTTAGTTAATCTGTTTCTGTTCATTAAAATTTAATAAATTAATAATTAAATTTTAAGACGGAGAGCTCTGAATATTCAAGCTCAATACTAATTGAAGACAGTAAATGATGTATTTGTGTTAACAACTTCTGTGTTTGATTGCAAACTTTCTCTTTTCGCTTACTATTAGTGGTCGATAAAATTAGATTAATGAACTGATAATTAAGATTAAATGTTTGAATTTTTCAAGTAATGCTTATTTGATTCATAGGTTTATTGTAATTTTTCAACTAATTACATTTCTAATTATTCAAGGGCTTATATCTTTTACTCTAATTCTTCTTTTTTTACTTTTTCGTCTTTTATTTTCAAAAGGAATTACTGCATTTATGAAGTTTGGTTGTATAATTATTAAAGATGTCTTTATTCTTAACATTTCAGTTATGATTACTTAATCTAATTCTTTTTTTCACTTGTTTTTATCAAATGACTTTATTTTAAATCTTCTGCAACTGATTTATTAATATGAGAGTTAAATTTTATAGAACGAGCCATTTCTTATTTTTCTCTTTATTGCTAACTCATCACTTTTTTAATTTTGCTGTTGTGCTCTTTTTTGACATTCTAAATATAGTTCTTTTTAGCTTCTATCCAATTTTTTTATTGAGCTTCAATAATTGTGTGATGATTTTAATGTTCTTCTTGGACTTGCTAGTATATTTTCTTTGCATTTTCTGCTTATTTTTTTGAGGAACTTGCTTTTTTTCTAATTTATTCTTCCTCTCTTTGTAATAATTTGATACGATTCTCTAAAAATTGCAAATGACTATTTAACTAATTTTTAAGTTTTTTTGTTAAAAACATTTCATGACCCATTTCTTCACTTTGATAGCCAACATTGCCAACAATACTTCCAAGGGATTTATTTCTTTGGATTGTTTTTACATTAGAATTGCTAGTCTAGTTTTTGTTTTATTTTTTCTGATTTGCTGTAGCATTTAAAAATGAAGAGTTAGTTAAACTATTTGGTTAAGTAGGTAGATAAATTTTATTATTTACAGGAGTTGATTGTTTGCTTATTTAAAAAGATTGAATATTATTATTATTTTGGAATTAATTAAAACTTGAAAGGGAAGCATGTCTTTTAAAGCTTTACTTGTTTGAACATGTTTGTTAATAATCAGGTTATTAAATGTAATTTATATTTTCATCATTTTCTTGATTTTAATAGTTGTTATTGTTAACTTAATTAGGAATTTATTATTTCTCTTTGTAATTTTAATTTAAATTAGAAAGTTAGGATTTGAAATTTTGTTAAATATTTTTGTGAGAGCTTGGAGATTAGCTAATGTTAAAAGATGTATTTTAATTTAGAGTTGTGAGGGTATTTTAAAAGCTTTTCTAAAGATTTAGTTAAGGCACGATAGTAGGTCTAATTTATTTGTTTTTTATCTAAGGAGAATCTTGTAAGTAGTAATAAGAGTTGTCTGGCGATTCCTCATCTAGATTTTAATTACATGAATATCTTTGATTGCTTTTGCTATTAGATTTTTCTAAAGATACAACATTATCAAAGCCGTTATTAGTATTTTCTTCCTTTTTTTCATGGACTTTTTTATTACTATTATTATTGTAAACGTTTTCATAGATTCCCTATTCAGTTTATAAAGTTTAAGGCGAAAACTAAAATTTTTAAATGTTGTCATATCCACCATTCTAACTCTCAACTGTAACCATATTCATTCCCTATAATGTGCTCCAATTTTTTTAATTCAAATTTTATGCAGATTTCAAATCTTCTTGAGTTTAAAATTATGTATCAAATATAACAATTTAATTTAAGTTCGTATCGCTTTTATCAGGACTCTAATAATATTGGTTTTAATTAAAATTAATATTTTTTGTATTTTAATAAATATTATTTTAATTATTTGAAGGTGTTTAATAACTATTTTAAATTTAAAAGTTATTTTCATCTTAATTCTAATCAATAAATATTTCTTTTTTTTATTGATATTCTTTTTAGAATTTTTTTGTGCTAATAAATTAATCGCTATCATCTTTTGAGTTTAATAATTAAAATTAATTTGATTTATTTTAATAGCTACTGTTAGTAGTTGTCAAGGAGCAACCTTTGAAAACAGGTATCTTAGAACCGTTTTCTGATACTTCAGACATATCAATAAAAATTGTGTTTATTAATTTACCTTTTTTCGGTTAGTTAATTTGTTAATTAAGATAATAATTCTTATTATAATTGCTATTTGGTTATTAAGTTGCTAGGCCATCTTATTTTTAATTAAAGAATTATTTTGAATTAGCTTATTCATGATTTTATTATTCAATAGTTGGATTTTAATCATTAATTTGTTGGGATGTATTTTCATTTTATTGGAAATTATTGAAATGGTGAGGTGCTAATGAAAAATTTTATAATTATTAATTTTAAGAATTATTTAATTCATCATTATTTTATTACTCTTCTTTATAAAATTACTAGTTAGGATTCTGCTTATGATCATCATCTTATCTGTCTTAATTGTAGCATAGCAAATCTTTTTGATGATAAATTTATCTATGTTCCTGATAATCGCCATTTTATTAGCAGTAATTCTATAACTCTATATGACTATTTTGCATGCCTTGCTAATAATTTTATTCATCTTACTCATAGTTTTAAACTTCATTGTTTTATAAATCTGAGTGAATATTTTATATATCTTATTAGTAAGCTTAAATTTCTTAAGCAGATAAGTATTTGTCAGCAACAAAATAAGGATTTACTTAAAATGCAGCTTATACAATTGGTTTCTATTTGAAAGGTTAATTAAATGGAGTTTTTTTCTATTTTTCTTCAGTGTTTTCACTCTCTTAATTTAAATTGTTTTATTATTGATGATACTAATCAGCAGATTTTGTTTCGGAAAAGTTTTATTCAAGCTCTTACTTCTTGCTAGAATGCTTTTTTTTTATTGGGCTATTAACATCTGAAGACAACTATGAATTAGGGGAACTATTTTTACCTTACTTATTAGGACTTACTTTAGTTTCTTTGCTATGAGTTTACTTTCTTTGATTGCTGAATGTGAAAATGCCTTTGTTTTCCTATATTTCTGTGAATTTTTCTTTTTCTTTTTGGAGCCTTTCTTGCTCTATTTTCATTAATTACTAGATCTATTGAACTTTTTTATAAGATGGAGATAGTAGAGAAAGAAGCTTTTCTTCGTTGACCTTTTAAGAATTGCTATTATCGATTTCTTATTATAATTGGTTGTCGTTTTACATAATTTTAGGTGGTTTTTTGGCTAAGTTTTACTTTTCTTGACTCGAATTTCTTTCTTTTGATTTAGATAACTAAGTTTTAACATTTTAAGAATTATTTAATTAAGTGGAGCTAGCTAATTAGCTGTTGGAATTACACTTTGAAGAATTGCAATGACTTTCATGAATATTTGAACCATCTAGACTTTTATCTGTTCTATTCAAAGAAAGTCTTTTGGGATTAATTAAACATTGCTTGTGATTACCTTTAAGACATAATTCTATTTTCTCCTCATGCGAAGACTCATTAAATTAGCGTATTCTATTATAATAACTAGCAGCTAAATCATAGCTTTAATTTGATTTTCTACTTTTCTTTTTTGTTTCTTCATTATTATCTTATTTGTTTGTTTTATAGTAGTAAATTTAATGATTTGTGTTAGATAACTGGTTATTTTCTTATTATTTTTTATTTTATATATTTTACTTCATTTAATTATCAGAGTCTAATTCTTCTTTAATCTAAACAAGCCCGCTAAATTAATTACCTTTTCCTGATTTTTAACTATTAAGTGAGTTATTAGATTAAGCAAATTAATTACTGCTCTGTCCTGTTTAAGAACTTGCTTGGTACATTGTAACTGATGATGATTAGTCTGACTATTTCTGATTTAAATCTGACTTATTATTATTTTAAAATATATATTTATCTTAAGTTTAGTATGAACTGTTTTGAGCATGTTAATTTAATATAATATTTTCATCTCTTTAGCTAGTATTTTCTGACGGAATTTATAAAGGATTCATAGTCGAAGAGATTTCACATATTCTCATTGTAGTATGATTACTCTCACCTTAAAGACAAGAGCCGAGTTTATTTTATCTGACTTAAATATCAATAGGTGAAGTAAGAGCAGTAGAATTTGATTCTTTAGGAGACACATATTAAGATTAACTACCTCTCCTCTACATAGAAATAGGGTAAAAGTGATATTGCTGCTCATTTTATGGCTTAAGCTAATTTTTAATATTCTATTGATAAGATTCTTTTGATTAATTGTTTTAAGATTAGTTCTATACATCTGTAACTCCCTGCTACTACATAGAGATATTATTAATTTACTATTAATTTTAAGCATAAGGAGTTAATAGTTAAGGGAATTAAGAGAGCTGACTTTTAGCAGAGAGCATGCAATTAAACTCTACATTTGAAGGAATTTAGTTATTATGCTATTTATTTGTTTCATGAGTTCTATAATTCTGACTTTCAATTTACGAAGAACCCTTTGAAGCGTTTGAGAGTTCATTTAATTAGCTATTATTGCTTTGATTAGTAATTTGATATGGTTAAAGTAATTGGTACATTGTAGAAGAATTATTATTGTTTGACTAAACTGTATTAAGGTTGTTTGAACTTCCAAAAGTGATAGTGTATGGAGCTAATTACTATTGCTAGTTTTAGGTTTTTTAATTCAACTTCTTTTAAACATTCTACAGATTGTAAACTTGGAATTTGTTAATATTTTAAGTATTTGAATTTGGATTTTAGTTCTAAATATAATTGATGTTTGCATTTTATTGAGTATCTTTGTTTAATGCACTAATAAGAGATAAATTAGGTTATAATTTATTATTGAGAGCATGGATATTATTAATTTAGTTATCAGGTGACACATTCCTGCTGTTATTTTCATAAATGTTAGAATTTCCATCTTTACTAGGAGTAGCCACTAAATTTGTTTAAATGAAATTACCCTAATATCCATTGAATAGCTATTTATGTAAAAAATTAGGTGAATGCTATCTATTGTTATTATTATTTTGAATATCTTAATTAAATACTTGATTCTATAAATTTAATTGTTACTGTATTGGAGTAACTAAAAATTTTATTGGTGATGACTAATTTGAGTTTTAATTTTGGATTTGTTTGCTTATGTCATAGAAATTTTAACCAACCATAGGTTGCTTTATAGCTTAATACTATTGTAACTATTACGAGTTATAATTTACTACTGGAGGAATACCAAACTATTGCACCATAGAATAATTTTCTTTAGGAGCATTGAAGTTCACATCATTTTATTAAAAATTTTTAAAATTAGATTGATTACCAATTAATTGCTATTACATTTATACTTAGTTAAGATTTAACTAAAAGTTAGGCCTAATATTGCTTATTTATTATCCATAATGTAGTTGTTGAGTTCCATTAAATGGTAAGATATATTTTTAATTCATATTTGTCAAAGTAGCAGTATTAGTATTAGGCAAATGGACAACTGCTGCTGATGAAGACTCAAGCGATTAAGGACCTGAGTAAGGGTAACTTCTTTATATGTTTTCAATAAAGCAATCAGATCCTAAGTACAGCGCTTAAGGGTTACTTAAGTTTGGATTTTTTATTATTGCTAAATTCTATTTAAAATTATTTGAAGATGCAGCTGGGTCTGAGCTGATAATGTTTAGCATGTCATCGTTTGATCGAGCTAGCCCTTCCTAACTTTTGTAAGTGTTCTATTAAGACTTTTATTAAGGAGAGGGAGTGTCATAATTAAGTTGCGATTAACTGCATTTTACTGTGAGTCGATCTAACGACTATTCAGTTATTAAATCTTTTTAATCTAAGAATGTTTAAGCTTGAGATAATCGTGGTCCCTTCTCAATTACATTTGGTATAGATATTTACTGAAAAACAGTATTTAAATTTTATTGATTAAACATAAAAAAAATGAACGAATTGTTGTTAGTTGATTGTATGGTTGATTGATTGGTTGGACAACTTTTGCTATAAATTTAGTTTGCCTCTACTTTCTTTTTAAAAAACAACCTTATTTTTGAATTAAATGAATGTATTTAAGTATCCTTTATTTATTTATTTTATCAAATAAACAAACAAATTCTTATTTTTTAATCCTTCTTATTGTATGTATTAAATAATAATGAGTAAATCCAAGTTAAACTACAAAAATTTTTTTATTCAATATTTAAAGGATTTCTTTTATTTTCAAATTTTTTTTGTTTGTTTTTTAGCAAGCATAATCAATACATAGAATCTATATTTTTTTGATAATGTGATTCAGCTAAAATGAATGAATATCTTCAACATAATTCTTTAATCAAATAATTAATATGTAATATAGTTGTTAGGAATATTTCAAAAAAAATAAATATTGCATTAATTTCATATTTCAAATTTTGCTTGTTTTGACTTTACATTTTAATAAATGAATGAATGAAAGAAAGAAAGATTTATCTTGAATTTTATTGTTATTGATTTTAATAAATAAGACTAATTTTTGAATTTAAAAAGTTTTTTTAGCAAAATTTTAATCACTCACTCATTGAATTATTTTAGAAAACATTTATGTAACTATTTATGGTGTATAATTAATTACGCTATTATTTAAAATATTAGATTTACATGTGATTAAAACTCTAATCAATTTGCTGGATTATTTTTAAAAATGAATTTTAATTTAAAAATCCTATCAAACTCCTTAGGTTTTTACTTCTATTAGCAATTTTTGAAATAAAAAATAAATTATTACTAATTATATTCTTATTTCATATATATAATAAACTCAGGATTATTTATTTATCTTTAAAGCAATCAAAATCTTAAATAGAATTTCTAAATTTTAAAGAATTGGAATAATAATAGTAAAGTAGAAAGAAATTATTTTAGCAAATATAATGGAGACACTATAAACAAACATAAAATTATAAAAGAATTTCCTTGTAATGACGAGAACATTTGAGATAGGATGTATTTCATTTAATTTCACAATTTTTTATAATTATAAATTCACAAATAAAAAATAGCGCTTTCTGAAGTCATAAAGAGTTCCTACGAAAGCAAAGATGCTTTGAAATAAGGATTAGTGCCGTCATTAATTAGCTTTATAAAAGGTCTTATTTAAGATTTCTAGTCATGCAAAGATCTTCTAAACTCCCACATTTGCGAACATACACTCCATGTTTTGGACACAATATTATTTAATTTGTTTACAAAACAAAAGAAAGAAGAAAGATAAATTTTTAATAATGATATTTATGAAGGATCTCAGCAAAGTGTAATGAGCAGATTCCAAAATAGTGAAATATCAAGTGTGACTGTGGCTAATTTTTAGAATTAGATAAATGAGCAATTTATATAAAATTTTAAATAGTTCTTTCAAGAATTATCAAACAACAAAGAGTTTTTTTAGAATCTTGAAGAGCTTTTTTTATAGCACAGACCCAAAAGCGAATTGAGATCAGCATTAAAAAGCCTCATAAAGACAATTGTATATATTTAACAAAAAGAGGATTTTTAAAATTCATAGTTGGATGAAAATATTAAACCCTTGACTCCTCTTTATACCACAAACTTGTAGCTGCCAAATATAAAAGTTTAGATTGATGAAGTGAACAAAATCCTCTTTGGAAATAAATTAGACAAAATTGTTCGTATTCTAACATCTAAGGAAATAATAGGAAGCTAACAAGAGGTGCATTTTGCAGTTGGTAGAATTTATTTTGCAGCCCACAGCAGAAACAGAAGTAATTTTAACAGAAATGCCTTTAAGCAAATAAAGCACACTGGAAAAGACCTTATTTATAATTTAATCAGGTAAAACCTTTGTAAAAATTTTACAAAAATATTGATGAAAATAATGTTCAAAAATATTTTTCATTAATAAATATTTTATAAATTTTTGTATTTAATCGTTTTATTTAATATTTTTAAAGACACTATGTAGTAAATTAATCTCCTGACAAATAAAAAACCTAAATTTGTAGCTAGAAAGACACAGAAAAATACCCAATTCCAGCATTCATATTAAATTATCTGTAGCTGCTCTTTATGCCAATTTACAATCAATTCTAAGAATTATTTGATAAACACATTATGGAGAAGTACACCAAAAACCAAGAATAATTTTACTCAGAGATATTTTCAACGACAACATAATTTATAATACCCTTCTTTTAGAACTTGCCTATTGAATTTTGCAACTTTTTCACACAATTTTATTAGATTATATATGAGAATCATGAACAATTCTCTGATAAATTAAATGACCTTTTCCCAGTTAAATAGCTTTTTGTTAATAGATTTTTCCTTAATCCCCATCTGAGACTCTTTTTGCTTCCTATAAGCCAAGAAAAAGAAAAGGATTATGTTGAAGCTCTTAACTGGTTCAGTAAATTATTTTACAATAACTCGAAATAAGATAAATTTCAGAGCTAAAATTCTTTCTTTTTAAAACTAAATTCTATCATATAGGATTGCTTCTCAAAGGTATTTTTTATTTATTTATTTATTTATTTATTTATTTATTTATACTAGAAATATGAATTAACTTGTTTACAATTTTAATTTTATATTAGATAGTAACTAATTATCACTAGTTTACTTAATCTTCTGGACATATTGATGTTTACAACATGTATCTTGTTGACCCTATTCTTAAAAAGGACTACAACTTTTTGTATGAACTGATAAAGCTGATTTCATTTTCAGAGCATGAACAAAAGGACTATCAAATTTATAAATTTAAGCAAATTTTCCCTGTAAAAAAAAGAATTGAATAGAAATTATAAATGGATATTATACGAGAGATAGCAACGCCAATTAATGAGAATATAAGTTAAAAGATGAATGATGATAGTCCTGTTAAATCACAACAGTAGTAAATTTAAGAAGAAAAGCTTTTCTTAGAGAGAGAATAAAAACTAAAAGCAGGTTAGAGTAGTTTCTAATAAGCTCAACCTATTACATAATAATCATAAAAAAGTAAATAAGATTAGCTCACAGATTATCAAAATTAGCTGCTTTTGCAATAAATATAGTAACAATAGCAATAAATCCAAGAATTACAAAGATAAAAATCAAGTAATACTATTTCGAGTAATCAAAATTTCAACCACTTTGCTATGTAATAAGGTCAAAACAATTCTATAAATATTATCGACACACCTTCACACATGATTAATCCTGGAGCTGTTTAGTATGGAAATCCTAATTATTTATTGAATAATGCTAATAGTTTTGGATCGGCAATTAATAATAATAATTTTACTAATACTAATAACAGTACACCTATGAACAATATATTTACAAAATTGTAAACAAAAGATGAGGGGTTTATAAAGAATGCTGAACTCCAAGGTATGTACGTATAAGGGAATTATCAAGAATTAGATAGAGATTTCTTAAAACAGTAAGCTTTTAAATATGAGTAAATTAAGTAAAAAATTGAATAAGAGTAGCAACTTATTGACAGGTTTATATAAAAGAATGAGGAAGAAAACTTTTAAAAATCACAAGCAATCAAAAACCACTTTTAGCAATACAATTAACAACAGGAAGAAAAAAATTATGACGATAGACTTAAAGAAAATTTGGAGAAATAAATCACAGATTTATATGAAAAACATATTAATAGCATGCAAAATTAAATCCAACAGAATGAATTTAAAAGCGTTCTTTAACAGGAAATCCTTATGCTACACGAGAGAAATGAATTTTTGAAATTGATCTTAAAATAAAGATATCCAACAGAGATAGATTACATAGATTCTTTAGATAACCAATAATCAGTAAATAAATAAATGATTATTCTAATTTTTGTAACAATAATAAATTTTAACTAAAAATAGATAGATGAATGGAAAAAATCTTTTGAATAGTAAGAAAGAAAAGAAGGAAGACTTAAAAGAAATTAGGAGGATGACGAATTCTATATATTGCAAAATAATTTAAACAGAGAATTTTAAAAGGTAGAGGAGGCCGATATTAAGCTTTAAATACATAGAAAAGTAAATGCAGAATTATTCTGATAAGATTGATTCTCATAATATGAATTAATTGTTAAAAATTTTAATAATTTATAAATCTAGAAATATATTTTTTATTATGTATTTATCATTTGTTTATTTTAGATATTTAGCAATTAAGTTATAAATCTTCTTTGTCTTCCAATATTTATTTATTTATTTTATGTGTAATTTCTTATATTAAACTCTATTTTTAACAACATATATAAATTTTTATATATCAGTTGATCATAATATTTATGAGTAAAAATTATGAAATTTTCGTTAGTACTTTTTAAATCAATCAAACAAACAAATTTATTTCATATGATTTTTATTTACATTTTTTTATAAGCAAGGTTTATCAATTATTAAATAAGAATATTTTCTGAGGAGATTTATTATTAATAGACAACTTTTAAACTTGTTGCAACATATTTAATATTTAACAATTAGACATAAATAGATTAAATGAAATAATTTAGGATTTAACAAATAAGATTTTCATAATCCTTTTTTAATTTCTTTTAATTAATTTATTTATAAAATCATGCTTTACTGATTATTTTTGATACATTTAAGCTGTTTTCTGATTGAAAAGTGGTCATTTTGATTAGAAAATTATTAATTATTTGTAAAAAACACAAAATGAAGCTTTAATGAAACAAACGCTATGAAAACTATATTTGGTATTTCTAACATAAACACTCTGTTTACTTTTATTATGATTTTAAAGTATTTGGTTTCTTTACTAGTTTAGATTATATGAATCTTTAACAGCTATTTTCAAACAAAAATTATATATATGTTATTATTAATAACTCATGCATTGTTAGATTAATTAAAAATCTTTACAAATAAATTATTGAAAATACTATTTGTAAAAATATTAACATAATTTGTACTATCACAACAAATATTTAACTTAAGCTTTTTAAATAAATCTAACAGCTTAGTTTAAATTTAAAGTTTCATAAAATGTCTGAAAGCTGCTAAGAGTAATTAAATTCTAATGTCCTTTATTCTTTAAATTTTTTACATTTTTTAGGTAGTAAATTAATGAGAAGTAACAAACTGATTAAGATTTTCAATTCTTTACTGAGGGACCTGAAATATAATTAAGTGATGTCAAACAAAAATTTTTAAATTTATCTTCTGCTAAATGCACGCACATCGAGGAAGAAGATTAGGTAAAATTTCTTATATTAAAATAATTGCAAATATTTTAAGCATTTTAATTTTGATTTAATATAAATGTAAATAAATAGTCATTTAAAATAAGCCCAAGTAATATGAACTCTCAAAGAGAAAATGTTTTCTAATTCGGATAGAAGAATTAAAACTACATTGCAGCAGTATAGCAACAGCAATATAGTTATCCAAATGGAAAAGAATTATAAATTGAATAATAATTGTAGTAAGCTAACGAAAGGCTTGATAATATGCTAAGACTGAATGATTACCTAAAGAAGGAAAATGCTTAAATTTAGATTCAAAAGAAAAGATTAGAAGATAATTATAATTAATAAACATTAAGATATGCAGCTTTTTAAAGAAAGTATTCCTAAATTGAGAAATATAATAAAGATTTATAGTTAAAAGTAAACTAATTAGAATCAGAAAAGAAATAATTGCTTCAGAAATGGCAAAAGGTTTACTAACTTATTTATTTATTTATTGATAGTTTTTATGTAGAATTTTATTAATATTGTTTCAACTTAATTCATTTAGGCTTCCAATATGCTTAAAGATGAATAAAATCTTAAAGGGATAACTAAAAATATAGAAAATCTCCTTATCTCTGCCACAAATGAGTTTAATTAACTGAATGCATATTTGTCTTAATACCCTAAATAGTTGCTTAATATTAAACAAAATCTAACAGGAATTTAAGAGAAGCTTAATGTTATCGTTAATTTTTAAGATGAATATCTAAATCTTTAGCTAAAAAGTACAAATCTTACAATAAGAACTTTTGCAAAAGAATAAACTGTCAACAGCCAGGAAAGCTAAGACTGTATTTAAATTTTATATAAAAAATAATATTAGTAAATATTACATAATTAAATAGAAACTTAAGATTTAAAGTTGCTGGTTTCCTTATTAACTGATGAACTGTCTGAATTAAGATATATACTATATGTCAATAAAAAAGAAATTGAAAACAAGAATTCTTAAATAGAACAATTATAGAATAGGCTTAATACCACAACTACACAATGTAAATTATTAATCGTTTTTTAAATTAAGAAATAATTTATTTTATAATTTAGTTTCCTAATTTTACAACACTTGCAACACGATTGATAGAAATCAGTAGTCTAGAAGGATGCCCAGCTATGACTAAGATAGAATTTTAAGAGAAATAACGTATCAGCCTAACATAACGTAAGATGCATATTTGAGTGGAACAAAACAGTAGCGAGATTCTTACATCAATTTATTAATGAATTAAAAAGAAAATAAAAGAAGATCCTCATTATAAAATTCTGGTAGAGAGGATTTCACTCCTTAAAAATCCCATAAAAAGTTATTATCATCAAGCTAAAAAAAAATGTAATAAACTAATTAAAATTAGTATAATTATTAGAATAAAATATAAAATTCACATTCTCTTAGCACATCCTACATCTGAAATAATTAATTCTTACTTATAATATAAAATAAAATAAATTAAATAAAACATATATTTAAATTAATTAATTAACTAGCAATATATAATTCTTATAAATTTATAATCTTAAATGAATGTTCAAATTTATAAACCAATCCTAGCCTCAACATTAATAAATAAATTATTCTTATATTACATAAATCATTAGTTTATTTTTTAACTATTTCATATCTTATCAAAAAAAAAAATAAGTAGAGAGAAATAAATACTAACTTGAATTATTCTTTTTTTTAAATATATAATATCCAGTACTCTATCTGAATAGTTTTGATAATTCTATTCAATTTGGGTTTTGAGGTGTAATACATTCTATTCTATTATTGTTGATATATGATACACTGTTCTTAGTTATTGAGGAGAGGAATCAAATTTTTTCCATAAGTTTACAAATAGATTCTTTTTTTACAACAGCTTATAAAGAGAAACTTAATAATAGCTTTTAAGAGAGAATTTACAATGAGGGGAGATTTTAAGGACAAAAAATAGGTTCAAAATCGAAGCCTAATATGCTAATTTTTTAAACTATTCATTTAAAAGAACAAGCTTTTTAAAAATGTTGTTAGTCTTCCATTAAAATTAATTATTTTGTTATTTAACAATAAAATATAATTTCTTGATTTTTATTTTTTAAATATACTTAATAAAATCTAAAAGCTAAAATATATAATATAGAATAATTGTTAAGTTCTAAATAAACGTCTGAGTTTTTCTTATTTTGTCAAAAACTTTTGTGATTTAAAAAATTTCTCTATTTAATTTAGATGAGTGTAATAAAAATAAATAATGGAAATAATATACTTACATATATAATAAAAAAATAGATAATATCAATCACAAAATTTAATATCTATTAAACTTGAATCATCTAAATGCGAAATCTAATTCAAATTTATTTTCTGCGCATAGTTAGTGAGCAGTGTGTGCAGCCATAAAAATGTTACTTTTTTTGCTCAAAAATTTTGCGCAAGCAATAAGTGAAATGAATAAGCAAGATATTTCAACTTATTATAATTAATTTTAAATTGAACTAAAAATGAAAGAAATAAAATTTAAAATAAATTATTATAATTTTTAAATGGTTTTCTTTCAATTTTTACTTTAAATTAATTAAATACAAAAATATAGAAATTCAATTTTTATTTAATAATATTATTAATTCTATTTTTAAAACATGTTATAAAAGTAATTGTTGGTATGTTGATCCTTTGTAAAATATGGACTTACCGACTATTATTGAAAGTAAATATCTCTAGAATTTGGATATCAATTTTACGTAAAATTTTAATTTCATACTATATAAATTATTTTCAGATATGCATTAATAATAATATTCATAAAAGCTTACTTCATTTCATTTTATTGTTTTTGATTTCTAAATTTTTTTATTATGGCTTGTTTTTATGTTTAATTTAATAATGTATTATTTATTATAGAATAAATTATCTTTAAAACATTTGCTTTAATTAATTTGTTAACTTTTTTTCAAACTTTGATTTTTTTAAATAAGATAATGTCCTTCAAAAATAATGAAAACTCATCCAGATTTTATTCCTCTTACACCATGTTATAGTAATCTCTTAAGTTTGAGACTCTTTGCATAGCCATAGTAAAAATAAGTTAGTTTTTCTTATTATTTATACTTTTTAGTAATTTTTTTTCTAGTTTTTAAATAAATGGGCTTAGTTAGAATTAAATAAATCAACTTTCTAATTTTAATTTTAATTTTCAATAAAATTTTATTCATTTTGATTTTTTTATTTTAAATTTATTTTAAGTCTGTCCTAATTACTCATTTACAAACTAATTATAAAATTTTCCTCTAATTAAAATAAATGGTTGATTTTTTTCAAAATTTAAAAGATAATTAACATTTATATATCTATCTACTTACTTTAGTTTCATTTAGTTTATTAATCTATTTTTAATTTATTAAAAGTAGTTATAACTTTGATCTAATGAATTTTAAATAAAGTTTCTTTTCTGCCTTAGCAAAGTGCGTTAATCTGAGATATTTTGAATTTGAAATTGAGTAAAATACATTTATCTTTCATTTCTTAATTTATTTTTAGTGTCTTTTAAGTTTTTTATTTTTTTGCAAAACTCTGAATATAAAAATTAAATAATATTAGTTTATTTATTTTTAAGTAAACTATTTAATTTAGTCAAAATAATTAATAAATAAATCAATCAATCTTTACTATTTTTTTCATTAAATAAAAAATTTAATTCATTAAAATTATTTTTGATTTTAATAATTGCAAAAAAAAAAACCTTTTTTGGATTACATTAATCTATGGTTTTAGCAAATCTTACTAATATCAAATTTAATGCTAAAGAAAAAACATATTTTTATTATTAATTATTTTGAGTAAAAGTTAACATAAATTAAATAGAAAAAATTTGTTATAATCCAACTCCCTTTTTTGATTAATACTTAATTATTTTTAATTATTAATTTTTGGTATTTAATTGAAAATATTTTTAGTTTTTTTGAATAGGCACATTAGTATAACTAATTATCTTATTAAATAAATATTTAAACTATTAGAATGTGTGGAGATACTATTGAAGTTTTTAAGTAATGCAGGAGTTAAATTCTTAAAATATAAAGATTAGTTTAAAAAAGAGTATTCATTTAATGATTAAAAATTTGATGAAAAGCATATAGTTTTTAAATAAATTAAAAAATATATTGTGTATTGCTTGAATATATGTAGAAAGAGTGCATTTTCATATATCAAAATATAAATAAATATACTACAAATTAACAAACCTCAAAAAATTAAAAAATTTTCAAAATTAATTTATTATAAAATTTTTTTTGTAGAGTAGAAAACATAAATTTAACATAATTCAATGGTAAATTTTACTTTTTATAGGGTATATCACTTATCTGGTATTTAATGGAAATAATTAGGCAATTTAATATTAATTTAGTGTATAAATATTTTATTTATTTATTAATTAATTATCAGTGAAAATAAATGATAATTAATTTAATTTATTTACATTTTTGAAATACTGAAAAATTAAAAAATAATGTATTTATTTATTTATTTTTTGAAAGATTTACATACAATACAATGCAAACATATAAATAAATACTTGTTTGTTTGTTTGTTCAAGATTTTTTAATTGTTTATTTTATTATTTTATATAAAAGAAATAGAATTTATTTATTAAATGGTTTTTGTTAGCTTTAGCTAATTAATTAGAATGTTTAAATAAATTAATTAATTAATTATCAGTAATACATGCTGCTATTGTTTCCAAATATTATTGAGCTATGCATGAATCTTTTTTAGTTAAGACTTGGAAAAGGTTCCCATGCTCCTTTAAATATTGAATACCTATTAAATAATATGTTTTTACTATAAGAAAATATTGACAAATGTATGTATTACTTTTCGCATAATTAAATTGGTTGATTGTTAAAGCCTCCTAAGACTATGATTCCCATGTTATCTGGACTTTTTAGAGCTGAGAATGTAGCTCTGGGCATTAGCATATTTTAAACTTAAATCCATTAATCATTAGCATCATCATATTTTTCTACACTACTTAGGTAGTTTTATCCATCAAAGCCACCTAATATATAAAAGCCATCTGGTAAAGTTACTACTTGAAGTGAACGTCTACATTGATTCATCGGCTTTACAGTTTCCCATTTATTTTTTTAGATATCATACTTTTCCACAACATTTAATGAATTCCTTAATCATAATAAATAAAATCTTTTAGTAAAAATGATATTTATTTTTTTTATTTTTCTAAATTACTTTAAGCTCTGGCTATATCCTCCAAAAGCATATATATATTTTTTGTCATTGCTTAAAGCTACAGCCAATTCATCCCTTGCAAAAGAAAGAGGTTAAAGTTTCCTGACCTGTTTTGTATTCAAGTTATATATTTCTGCATCACTCAAGATATTCTGTCCATCATTGCCTCCAATAACTATAATTTCCTCATCTAAAAAAAACTTCCTTAATTTATTTACTTAAATTAGTCTATTTACCTGAAATTTGGGTAAAAGCAAAGCCGCTCTTAGGCTTAGAGAGTCTTATGCCTGGGAATATTTTAGCTTCTTTTGTTTAAGTATCTATTTCTTCAAAGGTATCTAGCCTTTTGCCTTCTTACTTACCTCCAAATATGATGACTTTCTTTTACTTGTAAATGATTGATCCGAATTTAACTCTTGACTTAAAGTTGTTTTATGTTATAAAAGGTTCCCATTAAGTATTTTAGAGATCAAGCTTCTCCATACATAAAGAATGTTACTACTTTTCAGTAAATCCACCAATAGTTAAGATGAACTGTCTTTTTTAGCTAGCTAAGCTACTAAAATCAATTTTAACAGTATCAATTATGTTTCTTTCTGAATCAAAATCTATATTTTTGTTGCTGTCAATTGTCCTATTAGTCTGTAGATCTTTTTCACTTTTTATAAATATTCATTTTTGTTTTTAAATTTTTATTAAAAAAACATTTTAAAAAATAATTTATTATTGAAAAAATTATTTGATTTGTGTTTGTTTTCATTGAAAATTATTGATTTCAAGAAATTAAATTACTTATAAATATTAGTGCTATATCCATCAGTTGTAATATTTGTGAGGGGAGTGGGCTTAGAAACAAATTAGTTAGTTACTGAGGTTGTATGCCTAGCAGCATTTTTTACTGTTTCTGTAGTTGAGCCTCTTAAAACCTTCATTTTATCTATGGAGCTGCTGCTATTACCTCTTTCGTTGACTTACGTGTTACTAAGGGTAGATGCAGTGGTTTAAATATTATAAGGGTTTTAACTTCTAAGAGATTTATATTTCAGAGTATTGACATTTTTAGTACTATGGTTTGTGCTAGAATTTTTGCTGCTTAGCAAGTTTTTATTGCTCCTATTTTCTAAATAAAGTGTTTCCTTAGCTTATTTATCATTTTATTGATTTGTTATAATATTTAATGTGTTAATATTTTCTTTTTTAAACATAGGGATATCTACTGCTTAGCTCTATCTAAATTAAAAAAAAATAAATATAAATTAAATAATCAGCTAAAAGCTTTAATTTTTTTACTTTTTAGGCTAAGAAGCTTGCCTGTTTACCATCTTGATATTTGTAATTTCTATTTTGTATTTTGAAAAATCTATTTAGTTGTTCTAAGGTTAGCTATTTTAAGTGCTTGTGTTGTTATTAATTAAATAAGGGTTGAAGTTATTTTAGTTTGATGCGGTACTAGGTTAAATAAGTTAATTTAGAGTTGTTGCTTAAAGCGTTTTGGAGTGTTTCCTTTATTGTGGCTATTACAATTAAAGGGTAATGTTATCTTTTTCTTTTTCTTAGATATTTAAAGATATTTCATGCTATAAACTTGTATTATTATAGCTTTCATTCATGTGACTTTTTTAATTTTTTATTGAAACATTATTGTAAAAACCTTTCTTTTATAAATTGGAAGAAGAAGAATTTGATAAATTTATTTATCCACTGTTACTTTGTTAGTTATTCTTTTTTTTACCATTACTGCTACCACTGCTATTACTTTGATTCTATAGAATTCTCTCTTTTGAGAGACTGATTGTTAATCCTTTACTATTATTTGGCGTACTAGCTTCTTATTATGTTTGGTTTTAATCTATAATTTTATTTATTGCTTGTATTTCTTACTATCTGTTAAATTCAAACCCTAAACATGTTTATTAAGAATTTAAAAATTTAGAGTTCTTCTTGAAGGTTTCTAACTAATCTACACCTTGAGAAATATTTGCTTTCAAAGCATGTATTTCTTTTACCTTAACTAAGTATTACTTTTATGGAAAAGAGCTTGATTAGTCATCAAATTTTTGTTTAGCAGTAGTATAATCATTAATTTTTTGAATAAAATCAATAATATTTTATCTCAAATCATCAAGTGACTGCAATTTCAATTGCTTTTCTGACTAGAGCTTATCTAAATAAGTCTATTATCTTTCCTTTTATTTAATATAAAATAATATTTTAAAGTTAAAATTTCATTTTATTAAAGAATTACTTTTATAAGCTAAAATATTTAATTATAAAATTGAACAATAATTCCTGCATATTTTTGCTCTTGCACTAAAATTTCTTGTTTAATGGACTCTATTTTTTAAAGATTTTCAACATTTTCTTTCTTTTTATTTTCAATAAACATCTAAAAGTTTAATAATTCTTGCACTTCCATTTGAACGGCTTTCTCAATAGTTTCGATTTTATGATTTTTATGAGTGCTGTTGGCATCGATAATACACTATATACAAAGGAATTATTTATCTTATAAGCAGAAAGCCTCAAATTATTTAAAATGGCTGCTACAAGTATTTTAGTTAATCAGATTGCTGTTTGAATTATCTCTTTTTAAATCAGATATGTTTTCTGCTATTAATTAGACCTAAACGCTCTTAAGCTACCCATTTGAATTTGGTGTAGAACCATTATTAATCACTCCGTTAGTAAGATTATTTAAAGAAAATCTACCAATATTTTGACTATTTTGTATTGGGTGATGTAGCACCTAATTAATTGATTAGTTGGGCTAATAAAACTATTAAAGTGATTGATTATGACTAAGATTTACTGAGTGAATGCTTTGAGTAGAAAAATCCCTCTAAAACTAATCTTATGATGCAAAATTATTAGCATTTGCACTCTTGTAAAAATTTTAATTATTAACAGAAGTATTAAACTAAGTGAGACTTAATATTGCAAGATTCTTAGGAAACAAAGAGAGTGTCTCAGCCTTGTTTGATGTTTAGCATGCCTTGCAAATATAAACATATTCTTAATGATTCCAAAACTACATTAAACAAGTTTCGCAAATAGAATGCCCACAATTTGTTAAAAGCCTAGGAATTCTATTTATCATATTGAATCCTTCATTACAGTTTACACATTCCATTTTTATCTACTAAAGTTGACTTCAAATTGTATAAATTAACGTGCTTATTTATTTATTTGTTTAGAGTTTTATTCTACCTATAAATTGTAATAAATGTGTTGCTTTTAATTGCTAATTATATCTTATGATAAATTCAAAAAAAATTAAAAAACAAACAAACAAGCTATTATCTTTAATTTTTTATGCGAAATTTGTTTTCAATTTATTTGAAATATATTCAATTTGCCTTTTAATTTAATTAATTTTAATTAAAATTTGATTTTTAATTGGTATGTTAAATTTTTTGCGTAGTAATTATTTTTGAAAATACATTAAAAATAAATCTAAATATAAAAAGAGTTAACAAACACTCTATAAATTCAAAATTTGATTTCGTTGATTTATAAATATCATTCAATTATTGATATTACTTATTTGCTTAATTTTATGTTTATCTATATTTGAATTTTTATTCTAAATATAAAATGTGCTAATAAAAAAATAATATCTAATTGATTTATTTATTTATATTATAAAAAGTATCTAAAATAATTCAAGATGAAAATATTTTTTTCTTACTGTTTTTAAAAAAAATATTTTAAAATTTATTTTTTTATTTATTTTATTAAAAAATTATCTAAAATAGTTTGAAATGAAAAAAATATCCCAAATAATTTTAATGAAAATGTTTCTTTCTTTCTATTTTTAAAATGCAAAAAAATATTAATTTATTTTATTAAAAAATTATCTAAAATAGTTTGAAAAGAAAAAAATATTCCAAATAATTTTAAATGAAAATGGTTCTTTCTTACTATTTTTAAAATGCATATAAATATTTATTTTTTTTTTTTTAAATTATCTAAAAATAGTCTGAAAAGAAAAAAATATCTCAAATAATTTTAAATGAAAATATTTCTTTCATACTATTTTTTAAATGGATAAATTAGTTTGGGTCATTTGTTTTAAGTATTTTAAGAATGAATTATATTTCAGAATGATATATAAAAAGATTAAAATAATAAAAACAATTAATAAAATACTTATTAATTTGAGTTTATTCATTATTTATTTTTAGCAACAACTTGAATTTATATTTCATAATTGATTCATTTTTTATAATTTAAATAAAATATTTTAATTTATTGAAGAATAATTTAAAGTATTTAAGTTAACTAATCTGTGCTTAACATATCTTTTTTATCTATAATAGAAAGTAAACATAAATTATTAATTAATTATTATTTTTATTTGTTTTGTTTTGCTAAAATAATTCAAATAGAGAGTTAGAAAGTAAAGGTGGTATTTGATCCAGATTAGAAAACGATTCCTTAATCATCTGGCTCTAACTTTTAGATTATACTATTACTTAGAAGAACTCCATAATGCATATTTTCTAGCATATACACATTAGTTATTTATGCCTTCTTTTGAGATAGAGAAAATTTTACACCAGAATTAATTTTTTTCTTTTAACCTTAAGCTTCGCTTGAGTTGGTTGGAGTATCTTCTGTTTAACTCTTTGAACAGATTATTTAAATCTATTAAAATTTATTTATTTATTTTTTATTGAAATTTAATTAGAATAAAAAGTAAAAATAAATATACTTTTAACTTCTTCTTTGGGGTACTATTTGAGAAAGAGGGTAAAACTTTAATTTTGATGTAAGCTTTGTCATTAGTGTCTATAAAGTACAAGATCAAATTGTAAAATACTCTATCTAAACGCTTAACATCTGAATATACTACTTATGGACATACTGAATCATATTGCAAACTAAAGTAGTATTGCTTTGAAGAAGATCTTATTTTCATCTTTTCAAGCACACTTTAAATTAGATGCTAAAGGTTGAGCTGCTGTTTTATCGGAATGAAAGTACTGCTTATCAATAATGATGAAGTGGCAAAGTCCTACAAAAATTCTGACATACAATCAACTTTTCCTATGCATCCATTGCAGTCCAGCTTCTAAATAGATTAATTATTTACAGCTTAGAAATATTCTCTGATATCATTTATATCTAACGAAAGCTCAGAAATCATTTTTCTTATAAAATACTGAATTTTTAATGTTGTTGTGTGAATAACATTATAAGGATTGTTCCAAGTTATAATATTAATATTAAAAACCATGTATCTTTATTTTTGATTTCTTACTTGATCTACCTCAATTTGCAGGAATTAAGTTTGATCTAAATAGTTTTTGAGAGTAAAGTTTGTAGCATTTTTATCAACAGTCATTTAGTTATTTGGAGCTTGATTGCTGATTCCTGGTTTTAGATTTCTCTTTTCTAATTAGTTTTAATGGCTCTAAAAAGAATCAGGTTGAATGCAAATCATTATTTCTCTTTATTTATCATGATTAATGAAAAGCCCCTTCAAAGTAGAAAGCTACGAGAGTTATATTGGATGATCAAATTACTGAAGGAGTTCTGAAAAATTAGATACTTCATCTTTAAGAGTATTCACATTTTTCAAAGACATCAGAGTATTAAAAACCTATTCAAGAGAGCAATTTAAGTTTTAGCAAGCCTATTTATTAACATAGACAACTTCGTTAGTGTCTTTCTATATTATGATTATACCATTGCTAATATTATTTAATATCATGTCTTGCATTTCAAGTCTTTACTCTAAATCTAAAATTTATTTTTCCAGCCCATTCTTTTAAGTCATGTTATTGTAAACCTTTAATTTATTCTACTACTACTCTAGTTTTTTCCTTATTTGCAAAGCATCTCTAGCTTATTTTAGAATCTTCCATTTAGTCTGTTCTTCGCTTCCTTCAGCTTCAACTTATACTACTGGAGACAATTCTTTTTTATTTGGGTTAATCTAGATTGTAGAATGATCAGTAACTACTTTCATGTCACTTTTATCTCCTTCAAATAATGATTAATCTGGTAATTCATTATCTTATATATCATATTCTTCATTATTATTGTAATTCTCTTGCATTTACTTTTCAAACTAGTTGTTGTCTGAAATCTATTCATCATAAAAATTTATTGATTTTCTCATACTTTCTTCGTTAGGCTAAATATCATTTTGATATTTTTCTTGATTAAATGTGTCTGAGCCTATTTTTTAATCACTTTAAACCTTAAAAAAAACATCATTCTAACAATTAACTTACCTATTACTACTATATTTAATATTGTTATTATTTTAGTGATTATCATCTGTTGGTGAAAACTATTCTTATTAGCCATTTTGATTTAAATTTATGCCTTGCTTTTATATTTCATTATACATCTCTCTCTTTGAGTCTAATTCATCTCTAGGAGTTATTATTTAAAGACTTCCAATATTATTTTTTGGGGAAAGAAAGTTCAAATTTTAGATATTCTATATGTTATTATTATTATTATTATCATCATCATCTAAATCCTGTCCTGACTATCTTTGACTTTCACCTTCATTTTAATAGTTTATTCCATATAAACGCGCGGCCTTTTAAATACTCAAATTTTTTAAATTGTAATTAATGATTTATTCTTAGTTAACTTCATTTTATTGATTTGTTTGTATTTCACCAAATCTAGGTGAAACTATAAAAGAAGGGTTCTAATTTGAATCTTAATTTTATATTCCAAGTATATTTTGTTAAGGGCTTAAACTTTTGAAGAGAAAAAAGACTATGTAATTTTAGAATAATAGAGTAATAAAAACCGTTACAACTAGAAAAAATGTTAAAGAAATTTGAACCAAAGAAATTTCACTAAAATCACATAATCTTAGTTGCACATAAAGGATAGTTATAATCGTTAGGATTGCGTTTTTAGTAGAACCTAAAAAGTTGCTAGCAGACTTATAAGATGTTGAGATAAGGCATATTAATAAGCAGCCAATATAAACTGCCTAAGTAAATAAATACCTTGAGTTAAGAATTTAGTAGTTAATATTCGTCTGATCTTATTGCTATTTATCTTAATTTAGCATTTCTACTGCATGGTTTACTTATGATTTTATTTAATTATTAATATTTCTTTCTAAACTCGAATACATACCAATAACTCTGCCTTCAATGTAAATAATTAACACTATAAAACGCAAGAAAGTCATTATTTGGATCAAATGTTTTCTTAATTTTTAGATTTTAGGAAGAATCACTGAAGCAAGTCCAAGCAAAAAGAATAGTGAAATATAAATAATCAAGCTATATTGTAAGTCCTCACTAAAAAAAATAGAGCTGACAAACATTGTTGAAACTATTTCAAATATTATCATTAACTGCAATATTATGAACTAGAAAATGTTCTTGCTTATGCTAAAATCATCAACAAACAAATCGTTACTAGAATTAATATGCTATTATTATTGAATTTCTCTTTTTATCATATTTGAATTCTTAAAGGTATCTTCCCTTGACACATGCTTTGCCTAAATAATCTCTTTTTGATTTTGCTAATTTGTTAAATCTTCGAAATTTGCATATTTTATCTATCTATTCACTTTCGGTGACATAATATTTAGCTTTATAGTTTACTGTTCTGAATTATTTGCTTCAGCTTGCTAACTATTGTCAAAACTTTTTGCTTCAAAACCATTCACTTAATTTTAGTAAATACCTGTGTTTGAATTGTTATTTCTTTTATTTGAGTCCTTCACTGTATCTATATTGGCTTATTCGCTATTAGTATCTGATAAAGCCCTATTTTATTATTCTTATCCATCTGAATCCCTTGTCAATTCTCTAGTGTAGTTTTTACTCAACTCTTTACTGCTTTTGTTCAAATTTTTTATGTTCTTTTTCTTCTCTTCTTCTGTTGAAGAAGGTTCAGTTTAACTATCTCCAAAAGTCAACATTCTTTCCTTAATTTCTAATTTATGTATTAATTTCAATATTGATTTTTGTAAATAGTAAAAAACTAATAAGTAAAAAGCAATTTGATAATTTAATAATTCTTAACTTTAAAAAATTAGCTGATAATTATATAAGTATGCAAAAGAATTGTATTAGTAGGGTTAATGCAATTTGTTTTTATTTAGAATAAAAAACCCAACAATAAATGACATATTTTTATTTTTACAGTACATGATATAATAATTAATTGAACTCTTGAAACCTTGAAAATATAATTTAAATTTATAATTATTGAAAAGTAAATGGGAAGGTAATTTAATTCATATTATCTATCAACAAATAAACCTATTTCTTTCTCAATTCTAAAATAAACAACTAAACAAATAAAACGATATTGCCATATTAAATTAATCTACAATGAAAAATTTTAATTAGAAAATAAAATAATAAATAATATCAAAGAAAAGCTTTTAAATTATTTATCTTAGAAAAAAAGTTATTTATTTATTGATAAAAAATATTACTTTTCAAAAATAATTTTGATGAATCTAATAGATTCTATTCTAAACTATTAAATAATTTATTCATTTGCTGATGGGATTATTATTTATTTCAGCATGCAATATTTTTTAGAAATTATTAAGAAAAGAGTAATTAATTATTTTGCTCTTTTTCTCTAATTATTTAATAATTTTTAGAGAATATTTTCATTACCATTTAAGAAATGAGAATTTTTTAAATTTAAATTTGTATAATTTTCAATAAGTGAATTTTATTTGTAAAATAGATTGTTTTTTTTGAAATATTTAAATAATAAAAAATAAATAAGGAAATTAAAATAAATATATTAAAATCACAGGTTAAATATTAAAAAGCAAGCAATATTTATCAGTTTAATTTTTTTATAATTCATTATTAAACAACAATATTTTATATAATATATTTAATATTAAAAATTCTTTCTAAATATTTAAAAAAACTAATTCAAAATAAAAAAAGAAAAGTATTTATTTCAAAGATCCTATTAAGTTTTTTGCAGAAAATGATAAAGAGGTAATTTTATTTAATCATTAATTATCTGCTGACAAATAAATATCAATAAAAAAATACATTTGAATTATTTTGCAATTTTATTATTTATTTTCACTATGGGAGAATCAGACAGACGATGTTAATTCTTCAAAATATAAAACAAAACTTACTTCATTATTTTTAATCAACCTTAATAAATAAATAAATAAATAAATAAATCAATCAATCAATCAAGCTAAGAACTGTTTAATTAATTAGAACAAAAATCTTCAAAGAGAATTAGTAAAAAATAGAAATAATATAAAATTTTTCAAAAATGTTAGAGAAATTAAAAAATAAAAATGAATGAAAATTGAGTGTATAAAATATAGATAAATTGATAGATTCTCATTATATAATGGTGCCCATTTTAACAATAAGTAAGTTTTACTGTTTTCTAAAATAAATGTAAAAAAAATAAATTTGATGACTTATAGTTTATTTTCAGAATTATTTTTGGATTTGTTGGTTACGATTGATTACCACTATATCAACCACTTATCTTTGACTATGTTATACAGATATTTAAGAAATTTAAGCAGATAAATACATATGCACACAATTTAATAGAAATTCAAACAATAGTATTCTTATAAATAATTAGTTAAAAGAGAAATTAATTAATTAATAAGTAAGTAAAAAGTTTAAATTATTATTTCAAATGAATAGAGTTGTTCCTCAGTAAATTATTCTTATTCAATTCTTCCAATATGCAATGCTTATCAAATGAAAACATTTTTAAATATGTAGGGAATTAAATGACTCGGCTATGCCGATGTAAACACAAGAGGATATAATTGATTTGTCTGATGTCAAATAGCTCAAGAAGCCTAATCTAGCTGATTTAGAGAATTTTATTTAGCAAACTCATCCATTATCTGGAAATAGTAGATAGTATACTCGATGCGAAACGTGCAGTTTCGAAACCGGAAGACATTCCTGTTTATTTGGTGATACTTCTGAAAAAAGCTAAGTTGACAAGCTGGGTCTAACACCAACTTTATATTTTAGGTTTGTGAAAAATCTTGCTGAGTGGTTTTTGTTTTTTTCTATCTTAGCAGCTGTGCCTATTTTGTTTTATATGAAAGGTATTGAATATTATTTTATCTTTAAATTTTGAAAGAAAAAGGAATTAAATATAACCTGAATTTTAAACTTTAAAAATTCACATTTAATTTATTAATCTAAAATACCTTTTTTATTCTTAAAAAGCATTTACTGAGAGCTCATCAGAGGTTAAATAGTTTACAGCCACTCAAAAATTGGTTTCTACTACTCTAGGATCTCTTGTTTTAGATAGGACTCAGTGTTAATATTTGCTACTTGGTAATAAAAGCTCATCTTCTACCACTTCATAAATTAGTGATTACACTTTGTCACTTTAATGTTCTACTGGAACCTTACCAACCCAATCATCTATGTACTATTACGGTTTAGGTAAACAGAAAAAATTAATAATTGGAGACTTTTAATTATTTGAAAATTAATTTTCAAACATAACATACAAAAACAAACATTTAAATTCAAATAGTGACTTCGAAGAGTTCTGGCTAAACATCTGATACATGTATTTTCTAAGATTTGAGCTAAATTGATCAGACATGCAATTAGAGTGTTATCTCTAATTTTTAGGCTATTATAACTCCTTGTTTCGGCCAAACTAGTTGTTAGGTTGCCTTCGATACTTCTATATTTTCTTCTGACTCAGATTGTCAATCTAAAGCAAAAAAGTAGAAAATATTTGTAAGCACAATTTGTGAGAGTAAATTAACATTATTATTAAGCCAACTAAATGATCTCAAAAATTATATAAATTAGATTCATATTATTAGGTGAAGTGGAAATTCGAAAAATCTCAAGCTGTTTTGATTGCTTCAGTTATAGATGGAGCTATTATGATTTGTTTTATGTATGTTCTAATCAGATTAAAGATGTCATAAAATTAAACAGAAAAAAATGTTATCTCGTAATTAATTAAATAATTAAATAAATAAAAATACTTTTCTATTTCAAACAAATGGATAAATTATTATTGGGTTACTTTAATTCTTGAAATGAATTATTTTTCACCTGAATTTTTAAAAATAATCATTTAATTTCTTTTTTAATTAAAGAAATTCTGTAGGCGTTTCTTACTTTACGTTGGAAATTAAAAATCTTCCACAAGATTTTGAAGTAGATGAGCTTAAATTTAAACTGAAGAAGCACTTTGAAACATAAATATCATAGATCGTGAGCAAAAAAGAGTCATTCGGAGTCTATGACATTTAAGTTGCTACTCCCTATAATGTTGTTTAAAGTGAGAAGAAGTTAACTAATTTACAAAAAAAAAAGTTAGAATAAATTTTAAGCTATTGTAACAAATTCAGCATAGCCATCTAAAATAATTAATTAAGTATGAAGATGCTAAATAACCACTACAACAATTTAGAAAAATAGGAAGATAGAAAGATAGCTATGGAAAAGCTAACTAATATAGCTAAAATATCCTCATTGATTGAAAAAGAAAAGAAAATATAAAAAGAATAAGAAAGATCTGGTTAAAAAAAAGTAATTTATTACTCAATCAATCATTCATGAATGTATTTCAAATAAGTCTATAAAAAAATAAATTAGATAATTTCTGCTTTTGTTACATTTTAAACCATGAGAAATAGAGATATTGCATACTACGCAATGTATCAAACATATTTAGATAAATTTATTGAGTCTTGTTTGTTCTGCTGCAAAAATAAAAACGATATGAGAAGGTAATTTTTTATAAATTTACATTTTCTAATTTAAATTTTTTTTAAATTTACATTTTCGAATTTTATATTTTTTCACTAGAAAAATTTGTGATTTTCACATTTTAATTTTCTAGTATTTGCTCTTTTTAATTTCAAGATATTTATGAATTTTTTTGTTCATTTATTATTCATTCATATATATTTATGAGTTCATTTATTTACTAAAATTAATAAGGTTTGAATACAGGCTCTTAGAAGTAAAGTCAGCACCAGCTCCTGAAGATATCATTTGGGAAAACTTCTCAATCTCATTCTGCAATAGGTTCATAAGAATTATATTTTCAACATTAATAACTCTAACATGCATGATAGGAAGTAAGTATTTATTTACTTATTTTTATCAAAAAAATATTTTTTAAAATAATTAAAATTTTTTTAATTGAAAATAAAAGCTCTAATTTTTATTGTTTTTGTAAAGAACTAAAACCAAAAATTTTTAAACAAATACCCTACTGTAAATTGCCCTAGTAACTCTAGTTCAATTACTCAATAATAGGTTGTTAAAGACTACGAATCATAAGTTACAAAAGGTTTACTTGAATGCTATTGCAAAATAAATCCCTTAGGAAGATATAATGATAATTTTACTATGTCAGATGGTTCTACTTAATAGCTATGCAAAAATTGGTTTGAAGACCAAGCACTAATTATAGCCCTACCCTTTTTAGTTGTAGTTGTTATCATATTTATCAATAATATTATGTAAATTATCTTCACATGTAAATATTTTTTAGTTTTTCAACCAAATAAATTTAATTTTTTCAAATATTTGGTCTTTCTTTTGAAAGAACAAAAATTATTATCATTTATTTCTCGTTTTAAAAGTTAAATAATTAAAAAATTAGATTTATCTAAGCTGGAGGGTTACAGATATGTTTCTCATCAAGTCAGCTCAAGAGTGGCAAAGATATTTATTATGTAGTTTATGAATACAGTAATTAAACTAATTTAATTGCTTTTTATTTAAAAATTCTTACTTATTTATTTTTATTGAAAAAGGCTTTAATTATTTTAATTATGAACACAAAATTTAATGGAGTATCAAATACAACTATTTCTATGCTTCTAGATGGTACTTTTACAGACTTTAACCCACTATGGTTCTTATAAGTCGGCTCTACTATAGTAAAATAAATTAATTAATAAATAAATAAATTATATTAATACCTTAAATTAATAATTGAAACAAACAGCTATTAACAATGATATTTTATATTATGATGCCTTACTTAAATTTCATCTTTTAAAGCTTATATATTTGCTTGAGAAGATATTACGATCGTAAATGGAGTAGCAATAAAAATATAACTAGATAATCAACATAAGAAAAATATGAATCTGTCTATCTTAGTCCTAATTTATTGATCGAAGTTCGCTATGCACAAGTATTTATTTACTTAATTATTCACAAATGATTGGTTTTTGATTGATTTATTTATTTATTGATTTAAGTCATTATAAATCTAATTGCTTTATATTTATTCATTCATAAATAGATCATGAATATTATATTTGTATGCTTCTTATACAGTTCTGGACTGCCACTTCTCATCATAACTACGTTCTTATATTTAAGTAAACTTATTATTTTTTCTAGCTTTTTTTAATTTTGACTTAAATTAAAAAAAATTTCATACATAAATGAATGTCATAATTCAAATAAAAATTTGATTAAATTGATATTAAAAAATTTATTTTATCGAATAATTAATTAATAGTCAGCACTTATTATGTTGATAAATTTGCCATGCTTAGATTATGTAGAAAACCTCCTCAATTCGGAAAAAATCTTGAAGATATTATAAGAAATATTCTTTGGATCTCTATTCCTTTACATTGCTTACTTGGAATATGGATGTATGGAAGTCCAAAAATGTTTCCTTCATCTATTGTAAGTTAAAATTTTAATTAGATTTAACGATAAATAAATTATGATTTAAAATTAGTCAAACAGTATCCTAAACTCAATCAGCTCTTAAGTGAGTTAGCTTGAAAGCCAAATTAACGATTATAATAATACTGATATCTCTAAGGAATTTTATAGTAGAGCTATAAAATCTTAGTGTATTCCTCAGCTAATAGTTTTACTATTTTTCTTACTTTATGTTTTATATCTTTTAATCAAGTAATTAAATTGTTTAAATTATTAAAATAAATAATTAATTTCATCTTTTACTTTTAAATAGAAAAAGAATAATAATACCTTTGTTCAACTGTATTTGCTGCTGCTTTAATTTTGCCGAAGATGATCTTATTTCCAAGAAAAATGAACTCTAATTAATTCCATACTTTGCATGTAAATTCTATTTCAAAAACATCTAAATAAATCCTAATTTAAACACATAATAAATAAACAGTTGTAACAAAGCAAGATCTCAAATCTAATTTAAAATTATTATAAAACGATTTACAAGAATGCAAAAATGATAATTATAAGTAAATTTTATCCGACAAATATACTCTATTGAGGCAATAGCTAAATACTAGAAAAAGCAATAACGATAAGCATTTCTAACTAGAAAATCTTGAAAAATAAAGAGGAGTATCTTGTAATCTTGTTGGTTTGTATTCTTACGACATAAGAGTAATTAATTACTTTATTAATTAATTAATTTATCTACTTAATTTATATAAATATTTTAATTGAATTTCTATTAAAATATAGGTACATCCAGATTATTCTCATAATTGATATGAAATTTTTCACCTGCATCTATCTATCTATATGTCTATTAATAATAATATTTAATTAACTATTATTAAGTTTTAAAAATCCTTAATAAAAAAAGGAAAATTTTATCTTAAATAGATAAATATAAAAATTAAATAATTCTGTATAAAATGAATACTATCTATATATTTTAAATTAATATTTGTATTGATCTTAAGTTTTGTTTTGAACTTGCATCCAGAAATATTTATTACATATTAAAATATTCTTGTAACGTATAGCTAATAAATATTTTTTCAAAAATAATTTATAATTTCTCTATTTCAGGTGTCTGTCTGTCTATTCTTAAATCTGCTATCTTTTAAAACTCTTGATTTATTATTTCTAAATACATCCTTATTCTCTTTCTAAAATCAAAGCTATTATTTTATAATTATGATTTTAAAATCACATAAATAGTCATCTATCAATCTATCTATCAACATCCATCATATAATAATTATATATTTTGCTTAATGTAATATTTTGAATTTCAAAACTATTCAAAATTTAAAAATAAAATATAATCTTTCTAAGGAATCACACAAATTTATTTGTAAGAGTTAAAAAACTAAAATATTTATCTTTGTAGTTTTAAGGTAAATAAAATGACTACTTTATTTAGGAAGTGACAAAACAATAGATTTTCTTTAACTATCCATTCTACTTAAATTTTGATTGCTAAGAAGATGCTTCTTATAAAAATGTTCTTTAAAATTTCTTAGATAATTTATAGAAAATTTATAGAAAAAAAAAATTAATTAATTCTAAATTTTTGATAGAAACTTTATAATTATTAATGATATTATGTCACTAGGTAAGATCAAATAAAAAATATTATTTTCAGCCTAATTATTTTATATTTGTTAGTAAAATGTTTTTTTTAATTCTTTCTGAGGTTAAAGATAATTTTAAGCAACAGATTTTCTAAGCACTATTAAGTTTTAAGTTTGTATTAAATATTGAATTTATATCAATGTAGAACTAATTCAATTTTATTTTTTTTCATTTGAAACTTAATAATGATTTAATATTAATTTTCTAGATTATTCATAGAAAAAAATTTAAATCAAGAAAAAAAATACTTTGAATTTGAGGTAAAAAATAAGAAAAAGAGAGTTTTTTAAAAGCATATCATCTCTTACGCAAAAAATAATTTAATTTATGATTAAATAGATTACTAATCTAACAAAAACATTAAAAAAACGATTTTTGCAAGTGCCAAGTAATTTATTATTATTATTTCAACTCAATCAGGGATTTGGATGTGACATAACCCTCTTTTTCAAGCCTTTTGCAGATTGAATTTTTGACATTTTAGTATTAGGAGTTAAGAAAGTCAATCAAACACTTAGACAAAATACTTGCTAATTAATTAGCAATTTTTTGCTTTTATTAAAAAGGTTATAGTCTCCAAACAAATCCTCACTAAAAATTTTATTAACTTAAGATAGATCTTAATTATTTTATATAAAATTAATTAAAAGAATATCCTTTTGGAAATAGCTGCTGCAACAAGAATTTATAAATAGCGAATCTCTTCTCTACTAATTAAAAAATGACAACTGAGGTAAAAAAAGACCCCTATCAATTATGGCAACTCCCTGTTAAAGATGAAACCAAGTATTTAACAGGTCTTAAAGTTAAAAACACCTTAAATCCTTAGAATTTAGTAAATTTTTGACTTTTAAGTTTAATAGCTTTTTTGCATAATAATTTTCATATTTGAATAATTTCTAAATTTTGTTATTTAAAGGTTGAATTCGTCCCTCACAAAGGCAAATAAGTTAGATTCTACAACTGTGGCCCTACAGTAAAGCATTTTCTAAGTTTACTAAGATTTTTAAACATTTTTTTCCATTATAATTTTAAATTTTGCAGCTTTTGTTTACTGCGCTGCATAAATTAATTGGATAGCGAAAAAGGAAAAAGCACAAATAAAAATAAAATAAATTTAGATAGGTCTTTTAATTAAATGAAATATTATATAGGTTTATGATTCTTCACACATTGGTCATGCCAGAACTTACATTTCTGCAGATATTATCAAAAGAATTATGGTTAAGTACTTTGGCTATGATGTTTTCCACTGTATGAATATTACTGACATAGATGACAAGATCATTAAAAAGTCAAATGAAAGTGGTGAAGAATTTACTGCCTTTGCCAGAAAATGGGAAATGGATTACTGGTAAGACATGGAAACATTAAATGTTGATAAGGTAATCAATCATTTTTATATAATTAATTTAAATAAGTTTAGCAATAAGCATTATTAAGCCTTTTTATTTAAACTTAATAGCCTGATGTCATAGTCAGAGTTAGCGAATATGTACCAGAAATTATTTCTTACATTGAAAAAATTATTGAAAATGGCTACGCTTATGTCGCTAATGGCTCCGTTTACTTCAATGTTGATAAATTCCACGAGTCTCCAACTCATTGCTACTCTAAACTCGAACCTCAAAGTGTTAATGATGCTTAAAAGCTAGACGAAGGTGAAGGTGCTCTTGGCAAAAAAGATGAAAAGGAAAAAAGATCTCCTAGAGACTTTGCTTTGTGGTAAGAAATTAAATATGATAAACATACATACATATAAACAAACAAATAGTTTTTATTATCATTTTGCATTTCAAAAAATAAAATCTTGTTAATTTAGAAGATTATTTAAAGGTTATTTAAATTAATTATTAATTCAACAGGAAAGCAAGCAAACCTGGTGAGCCCTTCTGGGATAGTCCTTGGGGCTAAGGTCGTCCTGGATGGCACATTGAATGTTCAACTATGGCCTCCGAAATTCTTGGATATCCAGTCGATATCCATATGGGAGGAGAAGACTTGAAATTCCCTCACCACGATAACGAATTGGCTTAGAGTGAAGCCTTTTATAATAAATAAGATTGCTAAAATCAATGGGTTAACTACTTCATGCATACAGGCCATTTGCACATTGATGGATTAAAAATGTCAAAGAGTTTAAAAAATTTCATTACCATTAAGCATTTATCCAGCCAACACAGCTAGCGCGTTTTAAGACTTCTCTTTATGAAATAAACATATGACTCTACAATGGATTACACCACTGATTCAATACATGAAGCTAAAACAAAAGATAAAAAGTATTCAGAATTTTATCTTACAATGAACGCCATACTTCTTTAATCAGAAATCAATGTCCCATAGAAGTGGGGTCCTAGAGAATTTGAATTAAGAGACTTGTTTGTTGAAAAGCAAGATAACATCCACAGGGCATTCTAAAAAAATTTCAATGTCCCTGAAGCACTTAAAGAGCTTGACGAAATCATCACTGCTGTCAATACTTACATTAAGGAAAAGCCTATCATTCATCTTCTCATCAGAAGTATTTTCAACTACGTTAAGCATATTTTCAATTGCTTAGGTTTAATTTATGAAAAGGTAATTAATTTTGATTCATTGTTTCGTTTGATAGAATAATTTTTATGGAAGGAAAGAGAAGTTTTTAATTAAATAAAATCAATTAATTTCTCAATTTCTAGAGTTTTATTTTAATATTTTACCACAAATTAAAAGAAATGAATGAAAAGTGCTAAATAATAAATTTTCGATTTGGAGTTAATTATATTTATTGTCTGTACTTTTTAGCATCAATCTTTTAGTTTTTTTTTATTATATAATTTTTATTTTGTCTGTCTAAGACATTTTTTATCATTTACTTTATTTTATTACAGCAACAAGCTTAAGCTAAGGATGACACCTTCATTCGCACTGTTGGATTGATTAGCAGTCTCAGAGATGAGATCAGAGGTGCAAACAAAGATTTGCAAGTTATCAACAAGGCAGCTATTAATGCTAAGTCTTCTCTTGGTGAAATAACCTTAAAACTAGAACCAAATGCTAGTGAAAGTGCTGTTTAGATTGCCACAGACTACATAACTTAAGTATTAAAATGTGTTGAAGATAACTAACTTTAACAGATTTATAAGGCTTCAGATGAAATCAGAGATGAAAAACTGATTTAGATTGGTATCCGTATTGATGATGGTAAACCTGGTGAGCCCAGTTTATGGAAAATCGATGATAAAGAAACTTTGCTAAAAGAGAAAGAAGAGAAAATACTCAAAGAAAAATAAAAAGAAGAAGAAAAGCGCAAAAAAGAAGAAGAAAAATTGAAAGCTATGAGTGTGAATCCAGCAGAAATGTTTAAAAATGATCCTAACTATAGCAAGTACCAATTTGATGAAAGAGGTATTCCTAGTCACGATGAAAAGGGCACTCCTCTTAAAGAAAAAGCTATTTAATCTTTTGTTAAAAAATACGATGCACAAAAGAAGCTCTATGAACAATACCTTGAAAAAACATCAAAAAAGTGATGTGATATTATCAAGGAATTAATGATAAAAATAATTTGTAAAGTGCATGTAAAAATGTATTCTAAATATTTTTAGCTATTTTTAGATTAATTATTTATTGAAAAATACAAAATGAATAAATTCTAAATTTTATTGTCAATATTGATTGATATTGATCAAGGAATAAAAATTTGTTTAAAATAAAAATATTCATGTATATATTTATTTAATAGTTGTTTAGCTTAATAGAATATATATTAAATTAGATCCAATCTAACTAAGCTCATCAAAATTCACTATTGTTTGGTATGTTGAAAATCTGTCAGAGAATCAATCTATTACATATTTACAAAATTAATTGTTTATAGAGTCTAGTAGGTTCATTAAAAAATTTATCTCTTTTTAATTGGAATATCACCCAATTACAAAAAACAAAATAGCTATTTTTGCTTTTATTTTTAAAAACCCTTTTAATTATCTCAACTGTTTGTTGTTTGTTTGAATTCGTTCATAAATTAGAATTCTTTTTATTTTATCTTTAAAGTATGAAAAATAAATTTTCAAAACTTTAAAAAAAAAATTGAATCAAAATAAAACCAAATAGAAATATTTTATTGAAAATACAACCAACTGATTTAATATTTTATTAATTTATCCTGCAAAACTTTTCAAGTTTAAAATGTTTTTTAATTAATTTAAAGGAAAAATTTTATATAATTTAAATTTATCATTTGATTTACTTGAATAAATTTATATTTCTTCTCTATTTTAATATACTTTCTCAAAAATTAAAATTTCTGCTCAGATTCAAGAAGGTTTCCTTATTTATTTTCAAAAACAAAAAGGATAAAACTACTCAAAAGTTGATTTTTGTATCTCAATTAAACAAATAAATGCCATTCAAAACTACGAACAAAAAAAGCTTGTATTTTCTCAAATTTATATTTTAAATGTCTCTTTTCTATATCATCCGCTTATTTTTGTAAATTTAAGAATTTGCTTTTCAAGCAATAAAATTAAATTAAATACTTAGGAATAAAAATGTGCCTGCATTAAGTTTAATCTTTATTTTTGATGTTTAACTAAATTGTTGTAATTGAATATCGCAGCCCGCCCACTCATTTTCTGATGTATATTCATTCGACAGAAGTAAAAAATTTATTTAATTTGAAAAAAAAGTTAATACTGTATTTTTAGATGGTAGTAGTAACTTGCATTTGTTTTTTGCTATGAAATGAAAGGCAAATTTATGCTTCGATTTACATCGTTTTACAGCAAAATTAAGGTGGGGATTCGATATTAATGTGGTCAGATATCAAATTATATGTTTAATTAAAATTGAGAATATAAAATGACTCTTATGTTAGATGGTATTTATCACTCAAATAGTTTTAAATATATCCTCAATACGCATTTTAATTATTCAATTTGTTTATTCCCAAATAATAATATAAACCACATGTTTTTTCATTCATTTTGAAAGGTCCTTTCCCTATTTAAATTTCCAATTTAGCTGTCAATAACTTAAATAAAGATTAATCAAAAAACAAAAAAGAAGAAATTAAAAAAAACTTTGTCTAAAATGAACAAATTACTCATTGCCCTCCCCGTTTTGGCTCTCCTCACCCTCGGTGCCGTCTTCGTCTTGAACAACAAGAACGTCGAAGCTACCACTATTGACTTCCACTCCTGGTAAGCTTGTATCACCACCAAGACCCCCATCTGTGATGATATCAAGAACAACGACACTGCTCTCTATGCTTGTTACGCCACCGCCAACAAGTTCCACGCTTTATACGGTGATGCTTCCCTCGATGCTGCCACTACTGAATGCAAGACCTTCTAAAACGACATCTAATCTTCTGATGCCACCGATAAGTTCACCGCCTCTTACACCAAGTGCATGAACTCCATCATCTCCACCCTTAACCCCAAGTCTGCCTCCGAATTCTTCTACACCAACATGTTCAGCAAGTACTTAACCTGCGGTGGTATGTCTGTTTGAGAAGCTATTAAGAGCAATAACTACTCTATAATATGAATAATAAATCATATAAAAATATAATACTATAATAAAAAATTACTTGTGATTTTGTATTATTTTATCAAATTTGTAAAAGATTCTTCATTTACAGCGAATCTCAAAATCCAAACTCTTTCTTTGCTTTACTTTATTTTACTTTACTTTTTTACTCTTTATTTTTCTCTATAATTCAAGTGAATTATGAGGTGTAAAATCTATATTTTTGATTTAGATTTACTACATAATAATCAAATATCTAAAAATCAATCATAAGTATAATTAATCAATTTTCTGTAATAGGATTTATTCCTAATTCCTTTAATGAAGTGTATCGAATGGATTCACTAAAAAGCATAAAATTTAGTATTTTCTGCAGATTATTTTTTGATTTGCAAATGCAATTTTTAAAAATGATAAACTAGGCATAAAAAACAAGATGAATAGTTTGTTTTTCATTAAATCAAATCCAATAAGAAAAATAAATAAATTTAGTTAAATATTTTTTAGAAATTCTTTTATGATAATGGATTCATTTATTTTATTTAAATTATTAATTTATCCATTTATTTATTTATTACTGCTATAAGGAATTCTAACTAAATATATTCATTTTTTTATTTAAATCTAGCTTAAATGAGTGTGTGTGTATTTGTGTATTTTTTACATATATTTCTTCTAAATATTCTATAAATATTTATTTACAAAATACAAATTTTATATTTTAAATAGTAAGGAAACTTTATTAAATTTTTATTTTGAAGAAGAAAGAAAATATAATTTAAAGATGAAGGAAATATTAAATTTATTCATTTATTTTTAATTATTTTTTGTTAGTAATTTCTATATTCTTTTATAAATTTGTCTCAAAAAAAATCTCTGTATACAGACTCAAATAGGATTGCTAATTCTTATAACTCTACTATACATAGCTTTCCAAGTACTCATTTCTTTAAATTAATCAAACGAATTCCAATAGTTGATGATATCTAATTTATTATATGAGTTTTTTATCCTCTTTTTTAATGGATTTGGACATATTAAAAATTTAAATTTGAAATTTTATATATTTTTTTGTGATTTAAGCTAAATATTTTCTAGAAAAAGAATATCATTTTATTTTTATTTTTATTTATAAATTATTGCAATAAGTAATCTAAAAAAATAATATAAATAAGTAAATAAATAAAAAATTATTTAGTTTCATAATAAATCAAAAGTTAATAGTATCAATTGTTTCTTCACATATTCTTTAAAATTAGACTTTGAGTAATATACCTTTAATATTGAGTTAAGCATATACATGCAGCAAGACCGAAGCAACATATATGAATTACTAAAAATATATTTCAATTGCTATTTATATTTAAAAAGGTTAGAGTAAACTTAAATTGCTAATTAAATTATTGAAATAGCAATCAATAGAGATATTAAATTGAATATTGTTTTGTTTATCATAGATGAAAAATTTTCTATATAAATTTTATTTATTTTATGGATATTCTCTGATAATTAGTTATTGAGTAGGAAACATATATTTAATAAAACAATTTATATTATTTTATAAATTAAAAGAAAATTTAAGATTAATAAAAAAAGATATCGAAATATGTTTCGAACTTGAATAAACAAAAAATAAGTAAAAAAAGTTAAACCAAATATTTAATTTTTTGATGATGAAATATAAATTTTTTATCAAACATTTCATCTTTTTGGTTTTATAATAAATTAATTTTGAAAATTATAAAATTTTGTGAGGTTTGTTAATCTGTAGTATATTTATTTATTTATATTTTATTAAATTCACTCACTATACATACAAGCAATACAGAATATTTTTTTTATTTTATTTAAAAATTCTGAGTGATATGCATTTCATCAAGTTTTTTATCATTAAATTTAAATGAACACCGTTTTTTAAACTAATCTTTTTATTTTAAGAATTTAACTCCTACATTTCTACTAAGCTTCAACAGTATCTCCACAAAATCTAATAGTTTAAATATTTATTTAATAAAATAGTTAATTTTACTAATGTCTATAAATATATTCAATTAAATTCTTAAAATTCATTATTAAAAACAATAAATTTTAAATTAAAAAACGGAGTTAGATTTAACAGATTTTTTCTATTTACTTTATTTTAGTTGATATTAAAAATAGTTAGAAATAAAAAAAATGATTTTTCTTTAGCATTAGCTTTGAGATTAGTAAGATTTGCTTAAGCCATAAATTAATATAATCCAAATATGGTTTTGGTTGCAATATTAACTTTTAAAATCAAAAAATTTGTATTGAATTAATTTTTTAATTTTATAAAAGAAAAAAAATAATAGTAAGTATTTATTCATTTATTTATTAATTGCTACAAGTAAATTAAATAGTTTAATTAAAAAGAAAAATAAATAAATAAACTAATATTTTTTTAATTTTTATCTTAAGAGTTTATTAAGAATAACTTAAAAAAAACTAAAAATCAATTAAGAAATGAATGATGTATTTTACCTAATTTCAAATTCAAGGTATATCAGATTAACGCATTTTGCTAAAGCAGAAAAGAAATTTTATTTAAAATCCTTTTCAATGTTATAGCTATTTTTAATATTAAAATAAAATAATCAGATTAATAAACTAAAGGAATCAAAAGCAAGCTAGATAAATTTTAGCTATCTTTTAAATTTTGAAAACAATAAATCAATCATTTATTCAAATTAAAGTGATATATTATAATTAATTTGTAAATAAATAATTTAGGAATCAAAATTTTAAGAAACAAATTTTTAAAATTCAAAATGAAAAAAATTTATTGAAAACTAATAATTATTAAAATTATGAAGATAGATGAATTAATTTATTCTAAGCTCATATAGAAACTAGAAAATAAACTACTAAAAAGTATAAATAAAAAGGAGAACAAACTTATTTTACTTTTTCCCTAAATAGAGTCTCAAACTTAAGAGATTACTTTAACATGGTATAGTAGGAGGAATAAAACATGGATGATTTTTTATTTTTTTTGAAGACGATCTTATTTAAAAAAATGAAAGTATGAGAAAAATTAAAAAATTATTAATATCATTTTTTTTCGAATAGTTCATTATTTAATTAAATAAAAAACAAGTTAGAAAAAAAAAATAGAAATCAAAAAACAAAATAAAAATAAAGTAAGCTTTTGTGAATAATTTTATGAATTAAATTAATACAAATCTGAAAATAATTTATTAAGTGTGAAATTAAAATTCTACGAAAAATTGATATCCAAATTCTAGAGATCTTTACGCTCAATTATAGTTGCCAAGTCCATATATTCCCAATGACGAAAAAACCAACAATTGCTTTTATAACACGTTTATTTAAAAATAGAATTAATAGAATTTTTAATTAAAATATGAATTTCTAAATTTCTATTTAAAAAAAAAAATCGAAAAAAAACCACTTCAAATTCTAATAATTTAATTAAAATTTTATTTCTTTCTTTTTTAGTTACATTCTTAATAAATTTAAAACTAATTATATGAGTCTATAAGTGGGACCAATTTAAAGAGAATTATATTATTAAGTTATTTTTACAAAAAAGATAGGATCACAGAATAGAGATTTTAGTTTTTTGCTATGAAAGAACCTAAAAGCTTAAAGTCTTCTTAATCCCAATATCTATTACAACTTTTATAATATTAAAATTATTTAATTAAAATTAGTATGAGAAAAAAATTCATAGAAGATGTTAAATACAAATATAAAAACAACATTAATTAAATAAATAAATAAACTAAGGTTTTTATTCAAAACTTGATTATCTAAATTAATTTAAATAAATGTGGATTGGTTTTTCATGATAATTTAAATAGATTTTTAATTAATTAAAAATAATAAGAGCATTACTTCGCTATTAGAGTTAATTTTTTCAAATTCTGGCATGAAGTTATGGCTGCTACTATATCATTTCCTCCTTTTGTTCCTATATGATTTAGACTAAAAAATATTATTCATCTAAATATACTTTAAATAAATCATTTACGTTAAATCTAAAATGAGCTCTGTCAAATTAGAAATGCTTTTAATGCAGGCTCCTAAACTAGAAACACCTTCGTCTAGAATTTTATTGCAACTATTAAAAATATGAACTAATAAGTTTAATTTTAAATTTCACAAATTAATTTTTATAACAATCTAAAAAATAAATTAAATATAAAAATATCAACACTTTATTATATTTTTAAATGTAAATAAAAAATTAAACAATAACCTTAAGTTAATATTTAATGAAATAAGCTTGCTACATTTTATTATCCCGTCGCATAATTTTTAAGTTCCAACTGCTTTAAGTTGACTCTTGCTATTTATTTATAATAAAAGTTAAGAAATAAATTTAATTATCATTCATAATTTCAATCAATTTAATTGAAAAATGAGAACTTTTAATTAGTAAATTAACTTAAACAATTAATTAAAAATTTACTCTAAATTTAAAGTTAAATATTGCACATTTTCACATTTTGATAACCTCTTGCCTATTAGAGAATTATTACCAACTCTATGATTGCTAAATAATAACAAAGAAATTATAAATAATTGCTATTAAATATTGATAAGCAATTAAATTTTTGTTTGCTTATTTGATCTACCAGCTAAAAGAAATAAATGAATTTTACCTTAAATCTATCACAAGCACAACATGCCTATCAAAATAAGAGCTATAAAACTTTTGAGTAGAAAAAAATAATATTAGAAGTAGAATTAATGTATAATTGATTACCCTTCTTAAACCTAAAAAAATTTTTTATTTCTTTTATGACATATTATTTATTATTTATTCTATTTGTTAAAATCTAACAATTTAAAAAGATCAAACCAAATCTTTTATTATTTTTATTATTTATGTAAACATATATGATAAAATAATTTATTCTTTAACAAAAAGTTAATTAATGTAAAACATGTGATGGAACTGACTCATCATTTTTTTTCATAAATGAGCATTTTATTATTCCAAATTAAGGAATTTTTGATTTTTAAACTTATTTTAATTCATTTTAAATTTTTAATTCAATACATTAATTATAAAAATTTAAATAATCCATTATATTTTTAAAAAAATATTTCTTTAATATCATCGAATTATATTAAATTTGAAATTCTATTTTTTTTAATGAATTTTTATTTTAATCCAAAAATTGAGTTGATTTTGTGTCAAATCAAACAATATCCTCGTAAGATTAAGAGATAATATTGCCTTAGTTAATTAATATAGGTATGTATATTAAAAGCTTTAATTAGCTTAAGTCTCAATTAAATATTGGATGTTTCATTTAACGTTGATAGAATTTTAATTAGAGACTACATAGAATAAATATAAATTAAAATGCATAAAAAGTTAATTAATCTATCAAATGTTTTTATTAATTTATTAATTTTAATTACCACTTTTAATCCATATTTTTTTCAAAGCCAAATTATATAATTGATTCGTATATCTTACTTCTAATTAACTAAAAGATTCTCTTACCTTTCGGCTTAGATGTTACTTAGGGTAAAAAAGGAATTTTTATTATAAGTCTAATGAATGCTAAGATTTTTTCTAGAAATATTCTAACTCCAGTTCCTGATTTACTTTAGATTTTTACTTGAAATAATGATATAGTTTAGTTATTATTAGCAGAAGAAAATAAATAGGTTATTCAATTAGTATTGTTAGGATAATTATTATAATTATGTAGCTAATTATATCTATAATATCTCTGTATTATATAATATCCTTTTTTTAACTATACATTACCAAAATTAGGAAAAAAATATAAAAAAAGTTCCATAATATATAGTTAACTATGAAGTATGCATTTGTTAATTTAGATTAGAAAGGCATAGAGTACACAACAAGCACTAGTTAAACCATAGAAATAGTAATTGCTATTATACAAGGAGCAAAGTAATTTTAGCTCAATTGTATAAAACAGGTAGGTATAATAAGTGTTTCAGTTATTAAATATATTAAAATAAAGTTTTTACTTAATTTAGAAGTTTTACGAGTATTGTTTTCTATTTTTTATTTAGTTATCTCAAAGAAAATTTTATTGCTGCTTTAAAAGGATTTGGTGTTGAGATAGAAATATATTTTATAATAAAATACTGCTGTAATCATAATTGATATTATTAAAAAAGTAATTTCTACACCTAACTCAAAAGCAGATAAACCTTTGATATAGTAAATCAATTAGGAATTAATTCCAATTACTAAAATAAATACACTAATCTGTATGTATTAAATTATTAAAGAACAAATTATTATTTCATAAGCCTTTTTGCATATGTATTAAACATTTTTGTGTTTGACTTTTTGAATTAAAATAAAAGAAAGAGTCATGCTAATCATAAGAATAATAAATAAGATTATCCCTGTTCCATTATTTAATAAGATATAAGAAGCTAGATCTGCTGATTTAAATCTGGCAGAGGAATACTAAACTTAACTCTCATGAGCAGCACTTTAGAATAAATTTAAATACTTCATTTATTGAGATGGTGTTTTTTCTAATAATAAAAATTATATGATTAAATATGCGTTTAATGCTCAATTAATTATTTTACCTTTCAAGGGTTGTAACAAACTATAAATTTGTTAAGGTAAATTGGTATCAACCAATAATATAAAAACAAATTTTTAAACATTTATTGAATTTTGAGCTATTGAAAAGCTAGAAGAAGATATAAAACTTTATAAAAAATTTTACAAAATTGAGCTATATTAAGCTCCCTCAGATATTATTTATGTTTATTGATGAATTTATTCAATCTTATCAGAGGAGAAAATTTGTGAACCATAATTTAAATAAACTTATTGGCATATCTATCCATACAAATCAAATCCTGGATTGCAGACAGTGCATATTTAATTGTTATTTTTATCACAAGTTTAACAATTATTCGAGTTGCACTTATCAGAACAAGTTCCACTATTAATAAATATTTAAACAAAATGTAAATTAAATTAATTTATTATTTTTAAATTAAACTGTAATGTAATGAGCATGACTAAATTAATGCAGCTAATATTTGTATATTGAGTTATATTAAATGAATTTTAATACTTTTGCAGTATTTTGTTTACGTCACAGACACATTTTGTAGAGGTTGAATCAATTATAAATGTTTCAGGACAAGAAGAGACACAAGTTTATTAAACTGATAAATAAAAATCTTAAGCACAAACTTTACAAACAGATTAGCTTGCACATTCTTTACAATTAGCCGGACATTACATACAAACATTATTTATATCAACATACCCAGAATTGCATGGACATTATTAACTGTAATTTAAAAAATAAATTTATTTTGTGAATTAAAAAAATTATTACTTTTATAAATTACTGTTTAGACGGCAGGTACATTTAGTATTCGTTGCATCTGGAATAAAAAGTGGAGGGCAAGAAAGTACACAGGTTTCTTAAACTGTCAAATAATAATTTTAAGCACAAGCTGTACAAACAAGTTGGTTATTGCATATTTTACAATTAGGCGGACATGGTTAACAAATATCATTTATATCAACATAACCATCATTACAAGGACAAGATGAACTAAATAAATATTTAAGAAATATTTTTAAATTTAATATTAAATTTTAAATAAATTACTTTTGTAAAGTACTATTTAGACGACAGATACATTTATTTTAATCTTTAATAAAATGATTAGGACATGATTAAACACAAGTGCCATCTAGATTAAGATAACTAGTTTGACAAACTTAGCAATTTTTTTAAGAAGTGCAAGTAAGACAATTTTAAGGGCAACTCAAGCAACTCCCATTAGAATCAAAAAATGTTGTATTACAGGGACAAGCTTGACTATTAGTTAATTTAAAATTTTTATTGTAAGTTAAAAGAAAATAAATGAAAAATTTTATGAAGACGAAAAAATAAAAATTGATACTTTTATAAAGAGCTATTAGGACGGCAAATACATATTATATTAGTATTATCTGATACAAATTAATTTGGGCATTTATCAATACATTAAAATTAGATATCTAAATAATAAGGAGACTAACACATTTAGCAAGTTGTCATTGATGCACAAATTTAACATTGAGGAATACAAAAATTATATGCTTAGTAAATGTTTATTAAATACTAATTAGATCCTAGCATAGCCTGAAAAGTGACAAACTTAATTTTAATAAAAAAGATTGATATTTAAAAATAGTAAAATTAAATGCATACATATGAAAAAGCATAATTAACAAGATGAGTGTAAGGTAATTTGTATATTTATGAGAATACTTAAGGATTTTAAGTAACTTAAACTTAATTATTTGAGGATATATATGCTATCTAATACGAATATTAACCAATAAATATCTTCTCCTAATTTTAATTTGTTATTTAATGTTTACTTTGAGGTTAGATAAAGTTTAATAATACCTGATACTACAAAAAAGTTTGATAATCTATGAAAGGCAAGTTTACTCCTGTTGATTAAAGTTCCTATAAATTTTCTACATTAAAGTACCTGAAAGCTTTTCTTTAAGAATCATATGCAATTATAATAAATATCTTATTTTAAAATGGGAAAGTTAGAATAAATATCTACTAAACATTTTAAATTAAAACTAATTACTGTCTAAAACTCTATCACATCAGAAACAAGATTGCTATTAGGTGAATTGTTTAATTTTATATATTTATTATCTTTAAATGTTGAATCTATTATTTGAACTTTAGTTAAGTAATCATCTATGAGATATAAGCTCCATTACATCTTAAAATAATAAAAAATAAATTTTAATTTTGGATAATAATACAATATTCAATTAAATAGTGCTTAGAGTGATATAAATACTTAATTAAAGCACTAATTATATATATATTTATAATTATGCTTATATAATTCATTAATTAGGGAATTCAAATTATCTAAATAATTATTTTTTTGACCTTTTTATAAGATTATTTGTAGTAGCTAAATTTATTTTTTATTAATTAAGTTTTATTTATGATTTTATAATCCTTGTATAATAGGGTTTTTCAATAAATAAAGATGGAGAAATTAATAAACTATTAAAATTTAATCTTACATTTATTAACAAAATATTTTAAGTATTTGGAAACGAGAGCTAAATGTCATAAATAGTTCCGTTTGTATACAAATAATCATCTAAAATTATATAGGTTTTTTCACTTTTCATTATCTTTCCAGAAGTTTTTGTACTAGTAGTAAATAACTTTTAAAATGTGGAACTTTGCACCAAAAATATATTTGAAGAGTCAAAACACAAATAATAGAAACGTGTTCCCTATTTTATAAAGTAAAAAAAATGTGCTTTCTTCATTTTAAAAGTTCATTTAATACTATATTCTAAATCTAAAGATTTGATATTGTGCATGGATAAGTAGCAGTTGGATATGATAGTGTTTTTAAATACCCAGATTATCCAGTAGTCATTAAATTCAAATCAATAGTCTAATACGATGTAATTCCATAGTAAAATAGGTATATTACATCCTTAATTATAAAAAGTTTTAAATCGTAAAAATTTATTACGTTTTAAAATAAATTAATACATTAACTAGATAATATTTCGTATGAATATCAATATTATTTAATCCATTTAAAAGATAAGTTGACAATATAACTCCTATTTTATTAATATTACTATATCTATAAGTAGAATCGCTCTAGGCTTAGTATATTAAAGAATTAGTTTCCTAAAAAAATTTATATATGAATAAATAAATAGATCAAAATAAAATGTAAAAATAAGATTTTTAATATAATTTACTTGAATAAAGATAATATCATTCTGAATCTGTATAGGTAACACATCTAAGCCTTTAGTTATTACATGTAATTCAATGATAAATGTAACTAAAAGAAAATTAATTTTCATATTTATTTCTTTTTTGGCAAATAAATTATTTTATTCAAAATTGTCCAGAAAAAAGAATTGAGTATTGAACAATTCTGGTTTTAAATATTCTAAATTGCTATTTTTTTTCAAAATCAAATAATTATAACAATTATTTTTTATTTGGTAAATTAATCAATTAGAACTATAAAAAATACATGATTAATTATTCGCTAAAATTTATATTTTAATTTCTAACTAAATCTTTTTATTGAAAATAATTATTGTAAATGTTAATATTTATTTCCCCTTATTTTAAAAATAAATAATAGAAGTAATGTGGAATTTAATGTTGTATAATTTAATATTAATTTTTTAATACATGGGGGATAATAATGGATTATATGGTAGCATTGCTAAAAGAACTTAAATATATATTTTTATGAAAATGTATGATTCAATAAAATTTAAATAATTTTAACATTATTTTGATACATTAATTTTTGTTCTATAAAATAGAAAAGTGTAAGTTTTTATCTAATTAATCGTTATTTATTTTTGATTACAATTATTTTTTAAATCTAAATGGATTTAATACCATTAAAAGAATAAATAAATCAATCAATCCTATCTAATTTTTGTAAGATAAAAATTCTATCAAAGTACTAGTGTAATACTAGTTGAAAATGACAAAACTTTGATTTAAAGATTTCAAATTTTTATCTAAAATTATTTTTTATGATTTAAACATACTATAAAAATATTTAGTTTGCTTAAAAAGTTCAAAAATAAATAGTAGAATTTTATTATATTAATTCTTTAAATACATTAAAAATGAATAAATAAATAAGTCAGTCTGTCAATCAATATAATTAAAACTGAGAATTGCTTTTAATTATTTATTTTATAAGTATATATAATTGATATCTATTTTGTTATTTTGAGGATAAAAAACTTTGAAAATTGGTAAATTCACTTTATAATTAAATAAAAAAATAAAATATTTTTAGTTTGTTATTTTCTCATTTCAACAATAAAAAATAAATATGTTTAAATTAGCTAAATATTCATGAGGCTTTTTGAAAATGATTTTTTCTTTTTAAAATAATTAATATACTTATTCTTACAATTATTCTGATAGATTATCTCCATATTTCATATATCGTAATTTATCTTTTTATAAATGTAATAAAAAACAATTACTATTAAATAAAAAACAAAGCAAATAATTTAAATTTTTGAAAAGAAAAAAAAATATCTAACATTTAAATTTAAGTAATAAAATACAATATATATAATTTGATTCAAGCATGCTAATGAATTTAATTGCATCTAAAATTTTATGGCTTTAAATAGCTGCAATTATTTTCGAAACTAAGAGACTGAAAGAATTTATCTTTTTAATTAAAATATTCCCACACAATATTTACCTACCTAAATATTTATTTTATATTTAATCTTAATTTGTTTTCTTCAAAGAGTAACCCATATAATGGATTAATGAAAACCCAAAATTATTACAATATTTTATTTATCTCGATGGTAAATTTTATTGTTAAGGAACTAATATCTAAATAATATATATCGCTGTATTAATATTATATGGTCATATATTTAAGCCTTAATATTGTTTAGAACTATCACTCATAGAAAAATATTTACATAAAAAAATAAATTACTGTAAAATAATTTTCAATATAGAGTCAAATCTGTATTAATAAATAACCTATTTTAATTTTAGGATGACGTAAATTTATTGTAATAGAATTATAAACACAATAAATATATAAATTATTTTTTTATTTCTTTTTTAAGGTTATTCAACTGAATTTTTTAATAAGGTATTGAAAAAGAAATAAAATTTTTTAATTTTCAACTGAAATAGATGAGTTTGAATGATTGAGTAAAATAAATACCAATACAGCGTAATCTTAGTAACTAACTAACTAATTTACAATATTAAATTTAATTTATTCACGCTTGTAAATTCAACATATTAAAAGTAAATTTCTATCGTATAAAGTAATTGGATTGGCCTTTAATTTCATATTATTTTTTTCAAAACTAAGAGACTCAATCGATTTATTTTTGTAATTAAAATATACCTTAAGTAATTTGATACTCTACTATTATTTCACTTGTTTTAATTCTAATTAAAAGTGTTATAAAATCAGTTTATAAATAAAACTAATAATATAAAATAATAAAAGGAGAATTCTATATCTTGAAATAATTAATTGACCTTAAATACATATAATTTTCTTCAAAACTTAAGAGACTGAAAGGATCATAGTTTGCAAATATAAATAATTATATAATATTATAGGGTAAATGAACTCCATAGTTAACTAGTTAATTTTAATCTGAATGATAACTTATTATATTTATATATATCTAAATAATAAAAATTATATGAGTGATTAAGTAGACATTTTGGAAATAATTTTACACACTAAATAACATCCTATAATAAAAAATTACAAAATTTATACATACAAATACTTATCAAATAATTAAGTGTTTTATAATATTGAAATTTTCCTTAGATATTCAAATTGATTTTTTTTATCATTTTAATTCAAAATTTTAATCTGAAATAAAAAATTTTTACAATTTTGCTATATTTTTTTAATCTTTTAAGTTAAATACTCTAAATTTAACTAAAGAATTTGTAAATCTTCTATAAATTAAATTCTAAGGAAAGAATTGAATACTAATTATTTTACTATTTATCAAGCTTTCTTCTTATTTTTGTAAAGAATTTTTTCTCTTCTTAATTAAATAATATATCTATAAAAAGATTGAAGTTAGCATATAAATAGTTAATCCAAATAAAATCAGTTAAATTGTTACTAAAAAACTAACGCTAACTTAATCTAAATATTCTGCATATGAAATAAAGTCTGGTTTTGAACTATAAATGTTCAAAATAAAAAACTAAATATATAATCCTAGCCATAAAGCTGAATCTAAAATAAAGTAACCATTAGTAAGTTTTGAATAGAAAGGTTTTAAGTATATTATGATAATTAGCGAGCTCAATTAAATAATTATTGTTATTATATTGCATATCATCCAATTTTAGCCTACTTATAAAAAACAAATAGGTATTAAAAATGACTCAAGTGTTTAGTAAATTATCATGAAGTTTCTTCTAATTTTGGATTCAAAAGTAACATCATTTTGTAATTTAACTCTATTTATTTCTTAGAAGTTTAATTATTTTTAAACAGGTGTGGTTCTATTAAGATAAAGGTATTGTTAATGTTATAATAAAATAATTATTAGAATAATAATAATCAAAAAAACTATCTATAATCCTACACTATTGAGTCCTATACTATTGACTTCGTATTTAAAAATGAATTATTTCATTTGTTGATTAATCCCAATCACAAAAATTGGAATAACAAGATAGAGATGTTGAATAATAAAGCAAGAAAATATTTTATTATACAGTATTAGCAATATTGATTTAACTTTCCTATTTTAAATTTTCTCTAGCATTAAGTAAAATAGAATGAATAAGAAACTGCAAATTAAGAACAAAGACAATCCTTATCCAGATGTTTCTAAAATATTAAATGAAATACCAAATTTATAGTATGAGTTATTTTGGTATTGATCTTAACTTGAAGCTGTAATAAAGGAATATAAAAAATTTATGTTTTTAAAAGTTTAGTTGGGACACTAGTCTATATTATTTAAATTTAATATTTAAAATTAAAAATTATTTAATTTAATATTTTACCAGTAAAAACCTCTAAAGCTGAATTTATTTATTATGGAAGAGTGTTATTGACTAATGTTAGGTAGCTTAGTTTAAAGCAAGCAAAACCATTAATGAATATGCCAAAGCTAGAAGAAGAGAACAAGTTTTAAATAAAGCTTAAAACTATTGTACTAGCTAATGAAACTGAAGATGCAGTCTGGGTTTTCTACCTTACCTATTGTATGGTTTGCTAAGAAAAAACATTCGATTTATAATCTAAATTATTTTAATGAGATTATACGCACTCTCCATCCACAAATGTATAATTTTCAATACAATTACATTTGTTACTAATAATTTTTTATCCTTTTTTATTGCATTCAATGCATGAATTATCTAAAAATAAAAACTTTTATGAAGGGCACGTTAAACAATCTTTGGATGAAGGTCCATTACAAGATTAGCAAGTTTAATAACAAGTTTCACATTTTTATACACTAATAGGCTATCCAGATTAGTTATAATCTATGCTTTTTTACAAATATTTTTATTGCGGGCAAGATAAGCAGTCACTAGATGATGGTCCATTACAAGTTAAGCAAGTTTTATCACAAGAAATACATTTTTATTCAACAAAAGTTTATCCTATTTAATTGCAATCAATACACGAGTTATCTGATAATAAATACTTTTATGAAGGGCACGTTAAACAATCTTTGGATGAAGGTCCATTACAAGATTAGCAAGTCTAATGACAACTAATACATTTTTATTGATCTAAATACTATTATGATTTGCATTTTAAACAATTAGAGTTAGAGGGTCCATCACATTCTAGGCAATCTGGATGGCAAGTTTAGTAATATTGACTATAGATAAAAAAATATGGATTATTTTTGATCTGTTTTAAAGGTATTTTATTAATATAATTGTTAAGTTTCATAAAGTTACTTTTCTTAAAGAATTATATAATTGCCTTATGGACATTACAAAAAATCTTTATTAGATAATCCAAAACAAGTTTATTTTGAATAATCACATGGGAGGCACTAACTAACGCTATTATTAATAAAAATGTTAAAAATAATACGAAATTTAAATAATTAAGAAGTCTTAATGTTTTTACGATGATTCTTAAAATAGATAATTAAATGTTGAACATGTCAAACAATCATGAACTGAAGGTCCATTACAAGTTTTACAAGATTCATGGCAAGGTTTACAACTACTTCCTCTAAAATGTTTAAAAAATTTATAATTAAAAATATTTTTTAGGGTATTAACTTGTTTAATTAAATATTAATAAATGCTTACTTTGATTTTATAACTAAATAATAAAATTATGGGCACTTCAAACAGTTTTTAGGTGAAGGTCCATCACAAGTTAAGCATGTTTTATCACAAGGCAAACATTAATTACCACTATCAAAAAAAAAATATGAATTAATAATAATATTGCTTACAACAAAATTATATTCAAATTAAAAGGTGGAGGTAAAATAGAGGAAATTTTTTTTTAAAAAAGTTGTCACTCTTTGATAACTAATAAAATTAGTGACTGAAAAATATCAACTTTTTTCCTTCACCCCCACTAAAAAATTAATAAGCTTACGATTAGTAGTAGCCTTCATTACATTATATTACACACCATTTATTTTATAAAAAATAATTTGGGCTGCATTATGAGCAGTAGCCTGTAGCCTTATCAATATTTTGACATCCTGGTAATATATTATATATTATTTGTAAGTTAGTAATTTCATTATTTTTTGTTTAATAATTAGAAAGATATTATGTAAATCCAACCTAGTATTTTATTTTATTAAATTAATTAATTAATTTAAATGAAAAATAATTTTACACTAGACCAGTTGAGTTAATAATAAGGAGTAGTATCTGTAGAATGTATTACTTATATTTTATTTTTCTATAAATCATATTGTAGCTCATAGTTATTATTGTCAGTGAAAATATTATTCTTATTTTATATTTTATTTTATTATTTAATATTCTCGAAAATTAATTTACCTAAAAATAGTTGATATGAAGATAACATATACTTATTGAATCTCCAAAGGTATCTATATACACTAAATCTTCTGCTGAATAAAAATTCATCTTATTAGTATAAAAAGCAATTATTGATTTCTATAATTTTTTAATTAATAATTAAATAAATTATTTTATTTTAACATATTTATTTTTATTTATAACAACATTAAAAAAGTTTAAAAAACTTGAAATTTGTTATCTATCTAATCTAAATAATTTTACGCTCTTAATTTCAATCACAAAAATCTTTTTATTTGTATCAGTAATTTAATCTATTTTCATTATGAACTTTTATTCATGAGTATCTACAGATAACTTTAATATTGATCTCTAGTCATCTTAATAGTAAATAGAGTATTTTTCCTAGTAAAAGAAGTATTTTTATTTTAGTTTAAATATTAAAGAAATTACACTAACTATAAAGAGCCAGCCAAATTTTTAAAAGTATATTGGTTTTTAAAAAAAATAGTTAAAATCCATTTATTATTTAGCTTAGATGATATTTTTTGAAGTAAAAAGTTTATCAAATGAAGACTCGCAAATAAGATATATGAAAGAATAGACTAGTTTGCTTGTTTCCTTTGCAAAGACCAAGTAATAAATATCATACTACCAATTTAAAAATTAAAAAAATATTAATTTTGTTTGTTCGTATTGTTACCATTTAATATTTTGAAAGAAAAAATAATTATAAAAATGAAAAGAAATAAGAGTATGAAATATATATAATATTACTGTCTTGAAAACTATAAAACCTAAATTGATAGAAGTAAATGGAAAAGTAGCATATTTTTTTTGAGTTAAAAAGCTTGGAGAATTTTGTTGCATTAATGAAAAATCGATGAGATAATAATCAGGTGCTCCATATTGAGTCAAGTATATAATATTCTATTGCTTTATAAAAATAAACTAAGTTTTAAATATAAAATTTAGAATTTATACTTCAGCAGTAAAGAAAAAGGATAATTTAGAACAATCATATGAAAAACTGTTTAGAGTATAGGTTGAAGATAACTATCCATTTATATCTAAAATACTGATCTTAAAAGTGTTAGAATTTTTATCATTATAAAATATTGCATTTTAATCCTATTTTTAGATGAAACAATGTTAGTTTATTAACTTTAAAAATAATTAAAATCATTATTTCCATTTTATTATTTTGGTATAAAGATATTTATTTTCTAACTTGCTAGATAAAAAGAGAAAGTGAATTTCAACTCAAACATGGTTTTACTATATTAAAAGGCTAAATAAATTACTTCGATGTATTTTGCGCAATCACTAATAATAGGAAATTTTTCTAAACAAAATGAAGTTTTCCAAAATTCTGTAATAACAAAAGTTATAATTAAGATATTTAACATTTACCTATTACTTATTTTCTCCTCAAAATTTCAAAAAATTAAATATCTTTTAATTAATTAATAAAATAGCTACTATCTCTCTTTTATTAGGTCAAAGATTAGTGTTCTTCAAAAAGCAAATCAAAATAGCTTTAAATGATTTTAAAATAGGGGTCTCTGTTGATTTTGTTACAGCCAATAATTTTATTCAAACCTCTCTCTTAATTTTTAATATTCAATCATAATGTAACAGAATCAACCATACCCCTGCTTATTAAAATAAAATTATAAATTCAAAAAATGGTTTTATGATTAAATTATATTTATCAGAAAAAAATATTGCTCTATTTATAAAATGATTATTTATTCATTTATTCAGAAGAAAATATTTAAGTAAAATTGAATATCTTTTGATGTACTTTTAACTTTCTATTATTTATTTATTTATTTTCCATAAATCTTCTAAATTTTAATTTTGTGGTAAATTAGTAAAGATTAAGATTTAATTAATGTTTTTCATTTTTTTCGGACGCTAATTTTATAATTTTTGTCGGCAAATATAAATTCTGTATTATTAATATTTTAAGCTATAAAACTTAATAGATAACTAATTTGTATTTAATAACATATCTTTTTGAAGTTTTTTATTTAAATGCAAATGATTTTCATCTTAGATTTACACTTTACACAAAAATTAATTAATTCTTAGAGATCAATATTTTTATTACCATCCATAAGATGTTAAAAGATTTCAAACAGTTCTTTGTATTTATTTAAAAATTAGTTAGTAATTTGGATGGCTTTTATTTATCAAAATAAATTTATATTAGTTTTTATGATTTCCAAAATGATTATTCTTATTTGCTTTTTTATCTTTCTCCTTAACAAACAATAGAATTAGTTTCAAATAGATAATTATTAAAATTCACTTGCTTATAAAGAACATTAATTAAAAATTGCAGTCATTCATTATTGTATTTTTATGTAAATGAATTAGAAGGTAAATAAATTAATATTTTTTTAGTTTCCTACAAATCTTCAATCCTACTTACCATTTTTAGAGGTAAAAGATAGTATAACAGATTAAGCTTAAGAATTCTTTTAGTGTTTCATTTGATTATGAGGTAGAAAGTATGATACCTTAAAATTTGCGTCAAAAGATATTGATAATAGATAAAATATATTTTAATTATTGTTTTAACTAAAATAAATGGATAAATACCAATTCATTTGCATTATTAGATAAATATTTTTTTATTCTATAGCAATTTGATAATATTCATAAGCTTTATATTTAATTAGCAGATTTTTTACTTTTAAATTTAGATTTAGATATATTTTTATATTTTAAATAATAAACCTACTATCATATGTTGAATATTTTTGAAATACAAAATTAAAAAAAATATTATTTATTTATAGGCTCATTTCCTATTTGAAATAAAATAGCAAATATTTTACTTTTAAATTTAGATTTAAATTACATATATTTAAAGAATTATAAACAAACCCATATCAAATAATTCAATAAGAATAAAGCTAGAATAATCTAAAAACAAATTGAATATATTACACTAATTGTAATTCTAATAAGATCTAAAATAGAAAATTAAAAAACAATTAAATCAATAGTTTCAAATATATAATTAAATACTTATTAGCTACCTTAATTCATTTCAACTAAATAATTTAATTTTAATAAAAAAATAAAGAAAATAGTAGAACTAATTATGATAAAATTAATAAATTGTTAAATGTTTATTAAATTAATAAATTGATAAATAACATAATATTTTAATAAAATTAATAAATGTTTAATAAATTAAATCATTATTTATTAGTCGAAGTGCGATCCGAGATAAATATTTTGTTATTATTATTATGATTTTATATTTAATTATTTAATATTCTATTATAAGAATTTTATTTGATAAATGTAAAAATAATTAAAATTGTAAATAAAATTATAAGTGCACGAAACTGTGCACCTTGATTTAATTAATAAAATGATAAAAATAAATAATAAGATTTAACTGTTTTTTATTTTATTATTATTTATAATTATAATTGATAAATACAATTAATATTAAGATTATTTTATAATTATTAAATAAATGATTTATGCAAACATTTAACATTAAATTAAAATACAATATTTAAAATTATTTATTTTAAACATTTATTAAATTTAATAATTGATAATAATGTTAATACTAAATAACTAATTAAAATATTTAATAATTTGATAAATGATTATAATTTAAAAAGATAAATCAAATAATGATTAATTTAATTAAAGAGTAGAAAATATTTATTTTAAATATTTATTAAATTTGATAATTGTTAATAATGTTAATACTAAATAACTAATTAAACATTTATTAAATTTGATAATTAATAATATTCTTACTACTAAATAATTAATTAAATATATATTAATTTAATAAATTAATAATAACACAAATATTAAACAATAAATTTTTTACTACTAAATAACTAATTAAATATTTATTAATTTAATAAATGATTATAATTTAAAAAGATAAATCAAATAATGATTAATTTAATGAAAGAGTAGAAATTATTTATTTTTAAACATTTATTAAATTTGATAATTGATAATAATGTTAATACTAATTAGCTAATGAAAATATTTAATAATTTAATAAATTAATTATTACACAAATATTAAACAATAATTTAATAAATTAAATACTATATTAAAAATTATTTATTTTTGATAATTAATGATAATAATTTAAATAATAAATTGATAATTGTTAAGTTATTAAAAATATATTAAACTGATTAAATCATAATATTAAATAAAAATTACATAGAATAAAAAAATATTAATTTTAAATAGTTATTTATTTTAACAAAAATCATATCAATAAGAATGCATTTAACTGATAATATTTTAAAATGATAAATTGATTTAATTAAAAGATAATAAAAAGATAATAATTATGTGATTTATTAATAAATTATTACATATTTAATAAAATATCATATACATAAAAATGATATTTGATTGAGTAACTACTTATCAAAATGTAAATAAATACATAAATTATTATTTAACTTTTATTTTATTTGTTATAATGATTTAATTAGATTAACAATTTATAAATTGGAAATTATAATTAAAAGATATAAATAATATTTGATAATAATCTTTTACAAAAAAGTAAAATGATAATTTATTTAACTTGTAGGCAAAACATTTTAAAAAGACTTTAATTTTGACTAAAAATATATTTAAAATTTAAATAAATTATTTCTTTTAATTAAAGATATTATATTAATAAAACGATCAAAAGACTGTTAAAAATTGAATAATAAATATAAAATAGGAAATTAGATACAAATAAGGAGTAGGATTATTAATAGGATTTTTAGTTGAATTCTTGGGTTAATATGGAATTTGCAGATTAGCAAAGGTTGCAAAAGAATACTATGAATTCATAGAAAATTAAATTTGTGGATGTAGCAGGTGATATCAAAGAAATAAAATAAAAGAGGATCATATATATAAATGAGTGCATGAAATCACATACTGAACTATAATAAAATAATATTAAAAGGTTTACAATTAATTTATTTTTTTAAACATTAAAGTTTTCGAGTAATCTGAACATTCTTAGAAATGTGATTAAGAATCCATTTTGCGTGTCTTTACACAGAATTAAGCAGTCAATTGAGAAGTATCATTCTTAAACTAAGATTATAAAAAATATTTATTATATATTAAAGAAGCATTGATGATTTAAGTAAGAATTTACCTTCAATCAAATTGGATTTCAATTTATCCATTTTTAATCCATTCTAATGCTTTTTCATATGCTTAGATTTTTGCATCTTCATCTCCAGGAATAATATTCTTTAAAGTAATTTTACTATTAATAATAATTTCATCATCAGTAGGATGAAATTCTTGATTGCGTTTTATTTTTTTTTCTCTAATCATATCCCATTAATAATTAGTTAAATTAAACTATTTTGAAATTATATTGTGCATTAGATTCAACTTATTTTGATCGTTTATAGATTTTAATTCATCAACAGAACATTCCAAGCGTTTAGCCAATTAACTATACAGCACAGTGGTAATCTGAGCTCTATGAATCTTTGCAAGATATTTTTCACATTCTTACTAATAAAATTCTCTGTTAATTATTTCTGAACGATTTAACATTACTAGATTGCGAATCTGTTTATCTTAATCAGCAGTTTTTTCTTACAAATATACAATTTTGGTTTCTAAGTGGTGAATCTGTTTCTTTTAATCAGCATTTTGTACTTTTAAGTCTTCAATTATATAATCTTTACTTAAAACATCACATTATAACTATAATATTTTGTCGTTAAGACTATTAAAACCACTTGACATTTTCTCAGCCATTTCTTTTAAAGTCTTTGATAAAAATTCATAATCATCTTTATTACTTTCTTTGTTAGTGATCAATTATTAAAAACTTTAATCCTCCTATTTCCTATTAGTTTTTTATTCTCTTTCTTCAGCTGCAAGCTTTCTAATACGTTATTCTACATTTTCAGTTCTTGAGATATCATCATCTTTTGCCTCATCAGTTTTAGATATATCATCTTTCTGTATTGTATTACCCTTTATACCTCCTTAAGTTGATTTATTAGCTGGCTATTATATGGGTTATTGTGGAGATTAGGGGTGTTTTGCATTTTTAAAATCTAGGATAATCTTTTTTGCTTAATTTCTTTGCTTATAATATAATTCTTTATCTTTCCCATCTAGTTAAATTGCTTTTTTGTAAACTCTTTTCACTTTATCTCTCTAGGTTTTGGTAAGGCAAGTTTTGTAATATTCAATAAGATCCTAATTCTCTATAAATTTCATTAGATCTTTCTATTTATCATCTTCAGCCATGGTGAAACGAATGTTAAAATATCAGTTTACTTATTTGTGAGAAGAATATTATTTATTTGTTTAATTAATTAATTATAGACTAATAAATCAAATTTCTATTTTAAAAAATATGTTTATTATAACACATAAATTTAATATTATAGATATCTTGATTAAGTATGAAGCAAAATTGAGTAGCAACGAATAACATTCTAACTAAATATTTCTTTTGTAAAAATTGAATTGTGTCTAAAAAGCAAATTTTTTGAATTTAATCAAATATTTTATTTTAGATTTAAATGCTTAATTTTTAAATTATAATTTCCTTTTTTTTACTGTTTATGATTTTTAATTAATTTACTGGTTTAATAATTATTTTCTTTATATCAAATTAATTAAAATCAAATTATTAAATTAAATTCTATTATATTATTTTTATCTATTTTTATTATCTTATTAATAAGTATATCAAATCAGAATATTAAATCAAATCATTAAATTAAATTACTCAATTAATTCATAATAAATATTTATTTTTTTTTAAAATGTAATTAAAAGTAAAATATTACTATATTATTAAATAAAATGCTATTATAAAATTTTAAATTAATTTGTTATATTATTTATCAGATAAATTAATTAATTTTAAACAATTAGAAGAACATAATAAATATTTATTTGAACTATAAAATGTAATTAAATTTAAAATATCATTTTATATAAAGTAGTTGGTAGTCGAAGTAGTTTGTTAAGGGAGGGTATAAAAAAAAGTGTTTGTATGAATATTAAAAAGAATAAAAATAAAAGAATCGATTTTAAAAATCTATAATTTCTTAAATCAAAATCAAATCATCCTAAATATTTAAAATTAATTAAGAAATTTTTGATTTTTTAAATTTATTTTAATAGATATTTAATTTTGTATTCAATACATCAATAATAAAAATTTAAAATAAAGCATTTTATTATTAAAAAAAATATTTCTTTAAAATTATCGGATATTATTTAATTTGAAATTCTATTATTTTAAATAAATTCTTACTTTTCTAAATTTTAAATTTATTTTGTGTCCTAAAATACTTTTTAATTGTAAGAATTATTAATCATAAAATACACTAGTCGGACTAAGAGAAAATATTGATTTTACTAATTAATTTAGGTATATATATTAACAGCATTAATTAGCTTAAACCTCAGTTAATTATTAGATTTACTGTAGGATAGAATTTTAATTGGAGACTACATAGAATAAATATAAATGCATAAATAGTTAATTAATTAATCAAATGTTGTTATAAATTTATTAATTTTAATTACCACTTTTAATCCATATTTTTTTCAAGGCCAAAAGATCAAATTTATTGGAATATTTTACTTCTAACTAACTAAAAGATTCTTTTACCATTTGGTTTAAATGTTACTTAGGGTAAATAAGGAATTTTTTTTATAAATCTAATGAAGATTAAGGTTTTTGCTTTAAATATTCTAACTCCTATTCCTGATTTATTTTAGATTTTTTATTGAAATAACGATATAGTTTAGTTATTGTTAACAGAAGAAAATAAACAGGTTATTCAATTAGTATTGTTAGGATAGTTATTATAAATATGTAGCTAATTATATCTATACTATCTTTATATTCTATAATATCCGTTTTTTAGCAATACATTACCAAAATTAGTAAAAAAATATAAAATAAGTTCCATAATATATAGTTAACTATGAAGTATGCATTTGTTAATTTAGATTAGAAAGGCATAGAGTACACAACAAGCACTAGTTAAATCATAGAAATAGTAGTTGCTATTATACAAGAAGCAAAGTAATTTTAGCTCAATTATATAAAACAGGTAGGTATAATAAGTATTTCAGTTATTAAATATATTAAAATAAAATTTTTACTAACTTTAGAAGTTTTAAGAGTATTGTTTTCAATTTTTTATTTAGTTATCTCACAGAAAATTTTATTGCTGCTTTAAAAGGATTTGCTGTTGAGATAGAAATATATTTGTTAATAAGTTACTGCTGTAATTACAATTGATATTATTAAAAAAGTAATTTCTACACCTAACTCAAAAGCAGATAAACCATTGATATAGTAAATCAATTGGGAATTAATTCCAATTACTAAAATAAAGACACTAATCTGTATGTATTAAATTATTAAAGAACAAATTAGTATTTCATAAGCCTTTTTACATATTTTTTAAACATTTTTGTTTTTGACTTTTTGAATTAAAATAAAAGAAAGAGCCATGATGATGATAAGAATAATAAATAAGATTATTCCTGATCCATTAGTTAATAAGATATAAGAAGCTATATCAGCGGATTGAAATCTGGCAGAGAAATACTTAATTTAACTCTCATGAGCAAGACCTTAGAATAAATTTAAAAACTTCATTTATTGAGATGGTGTTTTTTCTAATAGTAAAAATTATATGATTAAAAATGTGTTGTATGCTCAATTAATTATTTTACCTTTCAAGGGTTATAACAAACTATAAATTTGCTAAGGTAAATTGGTATCAATCAATAATATAAAAATAAATTTTTAAACATTTATTGAATTTTAAACTATTGAAAAGCAAGAAGAGGATATAAAATTTTATAAAAAATTTTACAATATTGAGCTATATAAAGCTCCTTCAGACATTACTTATGTTTATTGATGAATTTACTCAATCTTATTAGAGGAGAAAATTTGTGAATCATAATTTAAATAAACTTATTGACATGTCTATCCATACAAATCAAATCCTGGATTGCAGACAGTGCATATTTTATTGTTATTTTTATCACAAGTTTAGCAATTGTTTGAGTTGCACTAATCAGAACAAATTCCACTATTAATAAATATTTAAACAAAATGTAAGTTAAATTTATGATTTTTAAATTAAACTGTAATTGAATGAGCATGTCTAAATTAATGCAGCTAATATTTATATATTGAGTTATATTAAATGAATTTTAATACTTTTGCAGTATTTTGTTTAAGTCACAAACACATTTTGTAGAGGTTGAGTCAATTATAAATGTTGCTGGACAAGAAGTGACACAAACTTATTAAGCTGATAAATAATAATTTTAAGCACATACTGTACAAACAGATTAGCTTGCACATTCTTTACAATTAGGTGTACATTACATACAAACATTATTTATATCAACATACCCAGAATTGCATGGACATTATTAACTAAAATTAAAAAAATAAATTTATTTTGCGAATTAAAAAAATTATTACTTTTATAAATTACTGTTCTGACGGCAAGTACATTTAGTATTCGTTACATCTGGAATAAAAAGTGGAGGACAAGAAGGTACACAAGTTTCTTAAACTGTCAAATAATAATTTTAAACACAAGCTGAACAAACAAGTTGATTGTTACATATTTTGCAATTAGGCGGACATTACGTACAAACATTATTTATATCAACATACCCAGAATTGCATGGACATTATGAACTGAAATTATAAATATAAATTTATTTTATGAATTAAAAAAATTATTACTCTTATAAACTACTGTTCTGACGGCAAGTACATTTAGTATTCGTTACATCTGGAATAAAAAGTGGAGGACAAGAAGGTACACAAGTTTCTTAAAATGTCAAATAATAATTTTAATCACAAGCTGAACAAACAAGTTGATTGTTACATATTTTGCAATTAGGCGGACATTACGTACAAACATTATTTATATCAACATACCCAGAGTTGCATGGACATTATGAACTGAAATTAAAAAAATAAATTTATTTTATGAATTAAAAAAATTATTACTCTTATAAACTACTGTTCAGACGGCAAGTACATTTAGTATTCGTTACATCTGGAATAAAAAGTGGAGGACAAGAAGAGACACAAACTTATTAAGCTGATAAATAATAATTTTAAGCACACACTGTACAAACAGATTAACTTGAACATTCTTAACAATTAGATGGACATTACATACAAACATTATTTATATCAACATACCCAGAATTGCATGGACATTATGAACTGAAATTATAAATATAAATTTATTTTATGAATTAAAAAAATTATTACTCTTATAAACTACTGTTCTGACGGCAAGTACATTTAGTATTCGTTACATCTGGAATAAAAACTGGAGGACAAGAAGGTACACAAGTTTCTTAAACTGTCAAATAATAATTTTAATCACAAGCTGAACAAACAAGTTGATTGTTGCATATTTTACAATTAGGCGGACATTACGTGCAAACATTATTTATATCAACATACCCAGAGTTGCATGGACATTATGAACTGAAATTAAAAAAATAAATTTATTTTATGAATTAAAAAAATTATTACTTTTATAAATTACTGTTCTGACGGCAAATACATTTAGTATTCGTTACATCTGGAATAAAAAGTGGAGGACAAGAAGGTACACAAGTTTCTTAAACTGTCAAATAATAGTTTTAATCACAAGCTGAACAAACAAGTTGATTATTGCATATTTTACAATTAGGAGGACATGGTTAGCAAATATCATTTATATCTACATAACCATCATTACACGGACAAGACGAACTAAATAAATATTTAAGAAAAAAAATGTTGTATGACAGGTACAAATTTGACTATTAGTTAATTTTAAAGTTTTATTGTAAGTTAAAATAAAATGAATGGAAAATTTAATTAAGGTGAAAAAATAAAAATTGATACTTTACTAAAGAGCTATTAGGACGGCAAATGCATTAGTTATAAATATTATCTTATATGAATTAGGTTGGACAATTATCAACACATTAAAATTAGCTATCTAAATAATGAGGAGAATAACAAATTGAGCAAGTTGTGGTTGATGCACAAATAAAACAGTGAGGAGCACAAAAATTATATGCTTAATAAATTTTTATCAATTGCTAATTAGAGTCTTGCATAACCTGATAAGTGACGGACTTTATTTTGATAAAAAGATTGATATTTAAAAAAAGTAAAATGAAATGAATACATATGAAAAAGCATAATTAACAAGATGAGTATAAGGTGATTTGAATGTTAGTGAGATTCCTTAAGGATTTTAAGTAACTTAAACTTAATTATTTAAGGGTATATATGCTATGTCATAAGTATATTAATCAATAAATATCTTCTTCTAATTTTAATTTGTTATTTTAATATTTATTTTGTGGTAAGATAAAGTTTAATAATACCTGATACTAAATAAAAGTTTTATAGTCTATGAAAGGCAAGTTTACTCCTGTTGATTAAAGTTCCTATAAATTCTCTACATTAAAGTACCTGAAGGCCCTTCTTTAATAATCATATGCAATTATGATAAATATCTTATTTTAAAATGGGAAAGTTAGAATAAATATTTACAAAACATTTTAAATTAAAACTAATTACGGTCTAAAAATCTATCACATCAGAAACAAGATTGCTGTCAGCTGGATTGTTTAATTTTATAGATTAATTATCTTTAAATGTTGAATTGATTATTTGAACTTTAGTTAAGTAATCATCTATGAGATATAAGCCCCATTTCATCTTAAAATAAAAAATAAAAAAATTTTTAATTTTGGAGAATAATAAAATAATCAAATAAATGGTGCTTATAGTGATATAAATACTTAACCTAAGAGCTAATTATATAATATTTATAATTGTGCTATTCAATTCTTAGAATTTTTAAATTGAAGAAAGGTTAAAATATATAATAAATGAAAATTTTTTGGAATTTTCTACTTTCTTAAAGAGTATTTAATTCGTTAATTAAGGAATTCAAATTATCTAAATTATAATTTTTTGACACTCTCAAAAATAAGATTATTTGTAGTATTTAAAATTATTTTTTACTTAATTAAATTTTATATATTATGCTATAATCAATATATGATTGGGTTTTTCAATTAATAAAGAGAGAGAAATTAATAAATTATTAAAATTTAATCTTACATTTATTAACAATATATTTTAAGTATTTGAAAACGAGAGCTAAATGTTATAAATAGTTCCATTTGTATACAAATAATCATCTAGAATTATATAGTTTTTTTCACTTCTCATTCTCATTCCCTAAGTTCTTGTACTAGAAGTAAATAAATTTTAAAATGTGGAACTTTGCACCAAAAATATATTTGAAGAATCAAAACACAAATAATAGAAAAGTGCTCCCTATTTAATAAAATAAAAAAAAATGCCTTCTTCATTTTATAATAACTTTTAGTACTATATTTTAAATCTAAACATTATAGATTGTGCATGGAATAGTAGCTGCTGGATATGATAATGTCTATAAATACCCAGATTATCCAGTAGTCATTAAATTCAAGTCAATAGTCTAGTACGATATGATTCCATAATAAAATAGGTAAATTAAATTCTTAATTAAAAAAAAATATTAAATCATAAAAATAGATTACTTTTTAAATAAATTTATACATTAACTAGATAATATTTCGTACGAATATCAATCTAATTTAATCCATTTAAAGGATAAGTTGATACAATAACTCCTTATTCATTAATAGTACTATATCTATAAGTAGAATCACTTTTGGCTTAGTAAATTAAAGACTTAGTTTCCTAATAAAAATAAAGATAAATAAATAAATAGATCGAAATACAATTTTAAAAATAAGTTCTTTCATATAATTTACTTCAATAAAGATAATATCATTCTGAATACTTATAGGTAACACATCCAAGCCTTTAGTTATTACAAGCAGTTCAATCATAAATGTAGCAAAAAGATAATTAATTTTCATATATATATATATACTTCTTTTTTTGATAATAAATTATTTTGTTCAGTCCAGAAAAAAGAATTATGTATTGAGCAAGCCTGTTTACAATTATTGTAAATTATTATTTTTTTTCTAAATCAAATAATTATAACAAATATTTTTTATTTTGTAAATTAATAAATTAGAACATTTACTTATTAAAACTATTGATTAATAATTTGTTAAAATTTCTATTTTAATTTCTAATAAAGTGTTTTTATTTAAAATAATTATTGTATATTCTATATTTATCACCCTTATTTTAAAATATATAATAGAAATTATGAAGCATAACTAATCTTAGGAAAAATTTAGAAATTCTTAATCACATTGTAATTTATTTAAGTAAAAAATACATTATATATAATTTGATTCAAACAAGCTAACAAATTCAATTACATCTTAAATTTATGGCTTTAAATAGCTGCAATATATTTTTTAAACTGAGATACTGAAAGAATTTATCTTTTTAATTAAAAAGTTAGTTTAATCTTAATTTGTTTTCTTCAAAGAGCAACTCACACAATGAATTAATAAAAACCCAAAATGATTACATTATTTCATTTATCTTGATGCTAAGCTTTATCTTTAATGAACTGTAATCTAAATACTATATATCGCTGTATCAATATTATATCGTCATTTAATTAAGCCTTAATATTGTTAGAAAAATCACACATATATAAATGTTAACATAAAAAAATAAATACTCATATATAATTTTCAATATAGAGTTAGATTTGTATAAATAAATAATCTATTTTAATTTTAGAATGAGGTAAATTATTTATTGTTAATCAAAAAATGACAGCATACAAAACAAATCCATAGAAAAAAAATTTATGAAAAATAATAATTATTTTAATGCTTATTTAATAACAACAATAGAAATATCTTTTTAAATAAATAAAAACTATTTTTAATTTAAAGTAATAAAATATTATTATATTTTATAGTATTAATAGAATATTTAAAAATCATTTAATATCTAAACTTGTTTATATTCTTTTTATGAAAAAGAAATAAACTTTTTAAATTTTCAATTGAAATAGATAGTAGTTTAAATGATTGTATAAAATAAAGACTAAAACTGTAATCTTACTGACTAATTTAAAATATTAAATTTAATTTATTCACGCTTGTAAATTCAATATATTAAAAGTAAAATTTTTATGGTATAAAATAATTGATTGACCTTTAATGCATATTATTTTTCGAAACTATAAGAATGAATGGATTTATTTTCATAATTAAAATATACCTATAGTAATTAGATATGTCACTTTTATTTCACTCCTTTTAATTCTAGTTAAAAGTGTAATAAAATCAGCTTATAAATAAAACTAATAATATAAAATTATAAAATGAAAATTCTATCTCTTGAAATAATTGATTGACCTTTGATACATTTTATTTTTTTCAAAAATTAGAGACTGAAAATAATTATTTTTGTAATTAAAATATAAGTTAAATAATTTGATACTTCAATATCATTTCACTCGTTTTTATTACTAATTAAAGGTGTAATCAAAGTTTGTAAATATAAATAATTATATAATATTAAAAGGGAAAATAAGCTCTATAGTTAATTTGTTAATTTTAATCTGAATGATAACTTATTATTGTATTAATTATATATATAAATATTTTATCTAAATTATAAAAATTTAAAGAGTGATTAAGTACACATGAAATTTATACATAAAAATACTTATCAAGTAATTAAGTATTTTATATAATTACAATTTTTATTAGATTTCCAAATTAATTTTTTTATCATTATAGTTCAACATTTTGTTCTGTAATAAAATTTTTTTACAAATTTGCTAGATTTCTATCATCTTTTAAGTTAAATGCTCTAAATTTAATTAAAGAAGTTGTAAATCTTCTATAAAGTTAATTCTAAGGAACCAATTCAATACTAGTTGTTATAATATTTGCCAAACTTTCTTCTTATGTTTGTAAAGAATTTTTTCTCTACTTAATTAGTTAATATATTTATAAAAAGACTGAAATTAACAAATAAACGTTTAATCCTAGTAAAATCAGTTGAATCGTTACTAAAAAACTAACACTTACTTAATCTAGTTAGTCTGCATATGAATTAAAGTTTGGTTTTGAACTATAAATGCTCAAAATAAAATACTAAATGTATAATCCTAGCCATAAAGCTGAATCTAAAATAAAGTAACCATTGGTAAGTTTTGAATAGAATGGTTTTAAATATATTATCATAATTAGCTAGCTCAATGAGATAATTATTATTATTATATTGCATATCATCCAATTTTAACCTGCTTATAAAAAGCAAATAGGTATTAAAAATGACTCAAATATTTAGTAAATTATCATGAAGTTTCTTCTAATTTTGCATTTTAAAATAGTATCATTTTATAATTTAAAACTAGTTATTTCTTAGAAGTTTTATTATTTTGAATCAGGTATGGATTTATTAAGATAATTGTATTCTTAATTTAATAACAAAATAGTTATTAGAATAATAATTATCAAAAAAACTATCTATACTCCTACACTATTGAGTCCTATACTATTGAGTTCTGCTTTAAAAATGAATTATTTTATTTGTTGATTAATCCCAATCACAAAAATTGGAATAACGAGATAGAGATATTGAATAATATAGCTAGAAAATACTTTACTATAGAGTATTAGCAAAATTGATTAAACTTTCCTATTTTAAATTTTCTCTATCATTAAGTAAAATAGAATGAAAAAGAAACTACAAATTAAGAACAAAGCGAATGCTTATCCAGATGTTTCTAGAATATTATACGAAATACCAAATTTATAGTATGAATTATTTTAGTATTAATCTTAACTTGAAGTAGTAATAATAGAATATAAAAAATTTATATATCTAAAAGTTTAGTTGGGACACTAATCTATATATTTTAAATTTAATACTTAAAATTAAAAAATTATTTAATTTTATATTTTACCTGTAAAAACCTGTAAAGATGAATTTATTTGTTAAGGAAGAGTGCTATTGACTAATGTTAGGTAGCTTAGTTTAAAGCAAGCAAAACCGTTAATGAATATGCCAAAGCTAGAAGAAGAGAACAAGTTTTAAACAGAACTTAAAGCTGTTGTACTAGCTAATGAAACTGAAGATGCTGTCTAAGTTTTCTAAGTTATCTATTGTATAGCTTGCTAAGAAAAAATATTCGATTTATAATCTAAATTATTTTAATTAGATTATATGCACTCTCCATTCACAAATTTATAATTTTCAACACAATTACATATGTTATTAATAATTTTTTATCCTTTTTTATTACATTCAATGCATGAATTATCTAAAAATAAATACTTTTATGAAGGGCATGTTATACAATCTTTGGATGAAGGTCCATTACAAGATTAGCAAGTTTAATGGCAAGTTTCACATTTTTATCCACTAATAGACTATCCAGATTAGTTTTAGTCTATGCTTTTGTACAAATATTATTATTAAGGGCATGATAAGCAGTTACTAGATGATGGTCCATTACAAGTTAAGCAAGCTTTATCACAAGAAATACATTTTTATCCAGCAATATATAATCCTATTTAATTACAATCAACACATGAATTATCTGAAAATAAATATTTTTATGGAGGGCATGTTAAGCAATTTTATGATGTAGGTCCATAACAAGATTAGCAAGTCTAATGACAACTAATACATTTGTATTTGTCTAAATACTATTATGATTTGCATTTTAAACAATTAGAGTTAGAGGGTCCATCGCATTCTTAGCAATCGGGATGGCAAGTTTAGTAATATTGACTATAAATAAAAAAATATGGATTATTTTTGATCTGTTTTAAAGGTATTTTATTAATATAATTGTTAAGTTTCATAAAGTTACTTTTCTTAAAGAATAATATAATTGCCTTTTGGACATTATAAAAAATCTTTATTAGATAATCCAAAACAGGTTTATTTTGAATAATCACATGGGAGGCACTAACTAACTCTATTATAAATACAAATGTTAAAAATAGTAAATAATTTAAATAATTAAGAAATCTTAATATTCCTACTACGTATCTTAAAGTAGATAATTAAATGTTGAACAAGTCAGACAATTATGAGCTGAAGGTCCATTACAAGTTTTACAAGATTCATGGCATGGTTAACAACTATTTCCACTAAAATATTTTTAAAATTTAATAATTAAAAATATTTTTTAGTGTATAACTTGATTAATTAAATGTTAATAAATGCTTACTTAGAATTCATAAGTAAATAATAAAATGGTGGACACTTCAAACAGTTTGTAGGTGAAGGTCCATCACAAGTTAAGCATGTTTTATCACAAGGCAAACATTAATTACCACTATCAAAAAAAATTATATGAATTAATAATAAAAATATTGCTTATAACAAAATTATATTCATATTAAAAGGTGGAGGTTATAAAGTTGGTGATTTTTTTTAAAAAAAGTTGTCACTCTAAGTAAAAAATAAATAAAATTAGTGACTGAGACATATCAATTTTTTTCCTTCACCCCACTAAAAAAGTAATAAGCTTACGATTAGTAGTAGTTATCATTACATTAGAATACACACCATTTATTTTATTAAAAATAATTTGGGCTGCATTATGAGCAGTAGCCTGTAGCCTGATCACTATTTTGACATCCTAATATCATATCTTATTTTATTTGTAAGTTGGTAATTTCATTATTATTTGTATCGGAATTATGAAGATATAATATAAATCCAGCCTAGTATTTTTATTTAATTAAGTTAATTAATTTAAATGACAAATAATTTTACACTAGACCAGTTAAGTTAATAAGCAGGGATATCAATTGTAGAAAATATTACTTATATTTTATTTTTCTATATATCATATTGTAGCTCATAGCTCTTTTAGTGAGACAAAATAAAATTCTTATTTTATATTTTATTTTATTATATAATATTTTTCGAAAATTAATTTACCTAAAAATAGATGTTATGATTTTTACATACACCATTAGAACCATTCATTGAATCTCCAAAAGTGTCTATTTACTCTAAATTATCTGCTGAATAAAAAATTATCTAAGTAGTATATAAAGCAATTATTGATTTCTATATTTTTTTAATTAATAATTAAATAAATTATTTAAAATTAATAAATTTATTTTTTTTATAACAACATTTAAATAGTTTAAAAAACTTAAAATTTGTTATCTATCTAATCTAAATAATTTTACGCTCTTAAATTCAATCACATAAATCTTTTTATTTGCATCCGTAATTTAATCTATTTTCTTTATGAACTTTTATTCATAGGTATCTACAGATAACTTTAATATTGATCTCTAGTCATATTAATAGTAAATAGAGTATTTTTCCTAGTAAAAGAAGTATTTTTATTTTATTTTAAATATTAAAGAAATTACACTAACTATAAAGAGCCAGCCAAATTTTTAAAAGTATATTGGTTTGTTTAAAAACTAGGAAAAATCCATTTATTATTTAGCTTAGATGATATTTTTTGAAGTAAAAAGTTTATCAAAAGAAGACTCGCAAATAAGATATATAAAAGAATAGACTAGTGTGTTTGTTTCCTTTGCAAAGACCAAGTAATAAATATCATACTACCAATTTAAAAATTAAAAAAATATTAATTTTGTTTGTTCGTATTGTTACCATTTAATATTTTGAAAGAAAAAATAATTATAAAAATGAAAAGAAATAAAAGAAAGTATGAAATAAAATATAAAATATTACTGTCTTGAAAACTATAAAACCTAAATTGATAGAAGTAAATGGAAAAGAAGCATATTTTTTTTGAGTTAAAAAGCTTGGAGAATTTTGTTGCATTAATGAAAAATCGATGAGATAATAATCAGGTGCTCCATATTTAGTCAAGTATATAATATTCTTTTGCTTTATAATAATAAATTAAGTTTTAAATATAAAATTTAGAAAAATAAATATACTTCGGCAGTAAAGAAAAAGGATAATTTAGAACAATCATAAGAAAAGCTGTTTAGAGTATAGGTTGAAGATATCTATCTATTTATATCTAAAATACTGATCTTAAAAGTGTTAGAATTTTAATCATTATAAAATATTGCATTTTAATCCTATTTTTAGATGAAATAATATTAGTTTATTAACTTTAAAAATAATTAAAATCATTATTCTCATTTTATTATTTTGATTTAAAGATAACTATTTTCTAATTTTCTTGATATAAAAAAAGAAAGGGAATTTCAACTCAAACATGATTTTATTATATTTTTTAGTTATAGGTCTAAATAAATTACTTCGATGTATTTTGCGCAACCACTCAAAATAGGAAATTGATCTAAACAAAATGAAGTTTTCCAAAATACTATAATAAAAAAAGTGATAATTAAGATATTTAGCATTTACCTTTTACTTATTTTCTCTTCAAAATTTCAAAAAATTTAATATTTTTTAATTAGTTAATAAAATAGTAACTATCTCTATTTTGTGAGGTCAAAGATTATTCAGCTGTTCTTCGAAAAGCAAATCAAAATAGCTTTAAATAATTTTAGAATAGGGGAGGGGTTTCGGTTGATTTTGTTACAGCCAATACTTTTATTCAAACCTCTTAATTTTAAAAATTCAATCATAATGTAACAAAATCAACCGTTACCCCTCCTCTGTATATTAAAATAAAATAAAATTATAAATTGAAAAATATTTTAAAATCAAATTATATTTAACAAAAAAAATATTTCTCTATTTGAAAAATGATTATTTATTTATTTATTCAGAAGAAAATATTTAAGTTAAATTGAATATCCTTTGAAGTTATTTATTTCCATAAATCTTCTAAATTTTAATTGTGAGGTAAATTCGTAAAGAGTAAGATTTAATTTAAGCTTTACATTTTTTTTGGACACCAATTTTATAATTTTTGTCGACAAATAATATATAAATATGAATTGAGTATTTTAAACTTCTTAAGCTATAAAATTTAATAGATAACTAGTTTGTATTAAATATCAAATCTTTTTGAAGTTTTTTATTTAAAAGTAAATGATTTTCAACTTAGATTTACACTTGATGCAAAAGTCAATTAATTAATTCATAGAAATCAATATTTTTATTACTACCATATAAGATATTTAGAGATTTCAAATAATTCTTTGTATTTTTTTAAAAAATTAGTTAGTAATTTGGATGGATTTTATTTATCAAAATAAATTTGTATTAGTTTTTATGATTTCCCAAATTATTATTCTTATTTGTTTTTTTATCTTTCTCCTTAACTATGAAGTGAATTAGTTTCAAATAGATAATTATTAAAATTCACTTACTTATAAATCTCGTTAATTAAAAATTGCAGTCATTCATTATTGTTTTTTTATGTAAATGAATTAGAAGGTAAATAAATTAATATTTTTTTAGTTCCTACAAATCTTCAATCCTAATTACCATTTATAGAGGTAAAAGATAGTATAAAAAATAAGGCTTAAGAAATCAAAAAGGGTTTCATTTGACTATGAGGTATAAAATATGATACCTTAAAATTAGAGTCAAAAGATCTGCTGAATGATAGATATAATATATTTTAATTATTGTTTTGACTAAAATAAATGGATAAATACCAATTCATTGAATGTAAATATTTTTTTATTCTAAAGCGATTTCATAATATTTATGAGCTTTATATTTAATTAACATATATATATTTTTCTTTTAAATTTAGATTTACTTATATTTTGATATTATAAATAATCTAAATTTATCATATTTAATATATTTGAAATACAAAATAAATAAAAAATATAATTTATTTCTGAGCTCTTTTCCTATTTGAAAAAAAATAGCAAATTTTTGACTTTTAAATTTAGATTTACATATTTATATTTAAAGAATTATTAGCAAGCCTATATTAAATAATTCAATAAGAATAAAGCTAAATTAATTTAAAAACAAACTGAATATATTACACTAATTATAATTCTAATTGTATCTAAAATAAAAAATTAAAAAACAATTCAATTAATTGTTACAAATAAATAATTAAATAATTATTAGCTATCTAAATTTATTAAAATTAAATAATCTAATTTTAACATATAAATAAAGAAAATAGTAGAACTAATTTATAAAATAATACAAATTTTAAATAGTCTAGATGAAAGTTCAAGAATTTTTGATTTTTAAAACTATTTTAATCTATTTTAAATTTTGAATTAAACACATTAATTATATAAATTATAAATAATGCATAATATTTTTTTTTTAAATTTATATTGACTTTGCTAATAAATATAGGTATGTATATTAAAAGAATTAATTAGCTTAAGCCTCAACAAATTATTGTAGGTTTCATTTACTGTTTTTTAGAATGGAGATAATATAACTGAATAAATAGTTAATTAATCAATCAAATGTTGTTATTAATTTATTAATTTTAATTACCACTTTTAATCCATATATTTTTCAAAACCAAAAGATCAAATTTATTAGAATATTTTACTTCTAATTAACTAAAAGATTCTCTTACCATTCGGTTTAGATGTTACTTAGGGTAAACAAGGAATTTTTTTTATAAATCTAAAGGGTATTAAGGTTTTAAACATAAACGTTCTAACTCCTGTTACTGATTTACTTTACGTTTTTTCTTGAAATAATGATATAGCTTAGTTATTATTAACAGAAGAAAATAAACAGGTTATTCAATTAGTATTGTTAGAATTATTGTTATAAATATGTAGCTTATTATATCTATAGTACCTATGTATTCTATAATATCTGTTTTTTAGCAATATATTACCAGAAATAGGAAAAAAATATAAAAAAAGATCCATAATATATAGTTAACTATGAAGTATGCATTTGTTAATTTAGATTAGAAAGGCATAGAGTAAACAACAAGCACTAGTTAAATCATAGAAATTGTAATTGCTATTATGCTAGCAACGTAGTAATTTTAGCTCAATTGTATAAAACAGGTAGGTATAATAAGTATTTCAGTTATTAAATATACTAAAATAAAGTTTCTACTTAATTTAGAAGTTTTACGAGTATCGTTTTCAATTTATTATTTAGTTATCTCTTAAAAAATTTTATTGGAACTTTCAAAGGATTTTTTGTTGAGATAGAAATATGTCTATTAAAAAATTACTGCTGTAATCATGATTGATATTATTAAAATAGTAATTTAAACACCTAATTCAAAAGTAAATAAATCATTAATATAGAATTTCAATTGAGAATTAATTCCAATTATAAAAATTAAGACGCTAATCTCTGAGTATTAAACTATTAAAGAACAAATTATTATTTCATAAGTCTTTTTGCATATGTTTTAAATATTATTATGTTTGACTTTCTGAATTAATATATAAGAAAGAATCATGCTGGTGATAAGAATAATAAATAATATTATTCCTGATCCATTAGTTAATAAGATATAAGAAGTAAGATCTACAGATTGAAATCTGACAGAGAAATACTAAATTTAACTCTCATGAGTAACGCCTTAGAATAAATTTAAAAACTTCAATTTTTGAGATGGTATTTTTCCTAATAGTAAAAATAAAATGATTAAAGATACATTTTTATACTCAATTATTTATTTTACCTTTCAAGGATTGTAGTAAATTATAAATTTGCTAAGGTAAATTGGTATCAACCAATAATATAAAAACAAATTTTTAAACGTTTATTGAGTTTTGAACTATAGAAAAGCTAGATGAAGATATAATATTTTATACAAAATTTTACAATATTGAGCTATATTAAGCTACTTCAGATATTACATAAGTTAATTGATAGATTTATTCATTCTGTGAACCATAATTCAAATAAACTTATTGGCATGTCTATTCATACAAAGCAAATCCTGGATAGCAGGCAGAGCATATTTTATTGTTATTTTTATCACAAGTTTAACAATTTGAGTTGCACTAATCAGAACAAATTCCACTATTAATAAATATTTAAACAAAATATAAGTTAAATTAATTTATGATTTTTAAATTAAACTGTAATTTAATGAGTATGTCTAAATTAATGCAGTTAATATTTATATATTAAGGTATATTAAATGAATTTTAATACTTTTGCAGTATTTTTTTTACATCACAGACACATTTTGTAGAACTTTAGTCAATTATAAATGTTGCAGGACAAGAAGAGACACAAACTTATTAAGCTGATAAATAATAATTTTAAGCACATAATGTACAAACAGATTAGCTTGCGCATAATTTACAATTAGGTGGACATTATAGGCAAACATTATTTATATCAACATAGCCATCATTGCATGGACATTATGCACTGAAATAAAAAAAATATATGTTTATATAAAAAATTAAAAAAATTATTACTTTTATAAATTACTGTTCAGGCGGCAAATACATTTAGTATTTGTTATATCTGGAATAAAAGGTGGAGGGCAAGAAAGTACACAGGTTTCTTAAACTGTCAAATAATAATTTTAAACACAAGCTGAACAAAAAAGTTGATTATTGCATATTTTACAATTTGGTGGACATGGTTAACAAATATCATTTATATCAACATAGCCATCATTACAAGGACAAGATGAACTAAATAAATATTTAAGAAATATTTTTAAATTTACTATTAAATTTTAAATAAATTACTTTTGTAAAGTACTATTTAGACGACAGATACATTTTTTATTATTTTAATCTATAATAAAATTATTAGGACATGATTAAACACAATTACCATCTAGATTAAAATAACCAGTTTGACAAATTTAACAAATAGTTAAAGAAGTACAAGTAATACAATTTTAAGGGCAATTCAAGCAACTCCCATTAGAATCAAAATATGTTTTATTACAGGGACAACTTTGGCTATATGTTAATTTAAAATTTTTATTGTAAGTGATAAGAAAATAATTGAAAAAGTTAATTACAATGAAATAATAAAAATTAATACTTAATTAAAGAGCTATTAGGGCGACAAATACATTTTTTATTATTTTAATCTATAATAAAATTATTAGGACATGATTAAACACAATTACCATCTAGATTAAAATAACCAGTTTGACAAATTTAACAAATAGTTAAAGAAGTACAAGTAACACAATTTTAAGGGCAATTCAAGCAACTCCCATTAGAATCAAAATATGTTTTATTACAGGGACAACTTTGGCTATATGTTAATTTAAAATTTTTATTGTAAGTGATACGAAAATAATTGAAAAAGTTAATTACAATGAAATAATAAAAATTAATACTTAATTAAAGAGCTATTAGGGCGACAAATACATTTTTTATTAGTACTATCTAATACGAATTAGGTTGGACATTTATCAGCACATTAAAATTAGCTATCTAAATAATACGGAGACTAACAAATTGAGCAAGTTATCATTGATGCACAAGTTTAACAGTGAGGAACACAAAAATTATATGCTTAGTAAATGTTTATTAAATACTGATTATATCCTTGCATAGCCTGAAAAGTGACAGACTTAATTTTGATAAAAAAGATTGGCGTTTAAAAATTAGTAAAAGAAATGCATACATATGAGAAAGCATAATTAACAAAATGAGTGTAAGTTAATTAGTATGTTTATGAAAATACATAAGGATTTTAAGTCACTTCAACTTAATTATTTGAGGGTATATATGCTATGTTATACTAATATGAACCAATAAATATCATGTTCTAATTTTAATTTATTAAATTTTAATATTTATTTTGTGATAAGATTAAGTTTAATAATACCTGGTACTACAAAAAAGTTAGATAATCTATGAAAGGCAAGTTTACTCCTGTTGATTAAAGTTCCTATAAATTCTATACATTAAAGTATCTGAAGGCAAAACTTGAAAAATCATAAGCAAATATTATCGATATCTTTAAAAATATTTTCAAATGGAAAATTAAGAATAAAAATTTACTAAATATATTAGAATAAAACTATTTACTGTTGGAAAATCTATCACATCAGAAACGAGAAGGTTTTTGGGTGTATTATATAGTTTTACAGATGCAATATCTTTAAATATTGAATTGCTTATTTACACTTTAGTTAAGTAATCATCTATGAGGTATAAGTTCCATTTCATCTTAAAATAAAAATAATAAATTTTTAATTTTGGATGATAATAATAAAATATTTAAATAAATAGTGCTGAGAGTGATATTAATACTTGATTAAAGAGATAATTATATATTTATTTACAATTAATCTATTCAAATCAGGATTTTTAAATTGAAGAAAGGCTAAAAAATATAATAAGAGAAAATTTCTTTGGAATTTTTTTTTCCTTCTTAAAAAATATTTAATTAATTAATTAGGGAATTCAAATCATGCAAATGATATTTTTTTTGACCCTTTCATACAATTATTTGTTGGAGATAAAATTATTTTTTATTTAATAAAGTATTTATTTATGATTTTATAATCTGTGTACGATTGGGTTTTTCAATAAATAAAATGAGATAAATAAATAAATTATTAAAATTTTATCTTACATTTATTAACTAAATATCAAAAGTATTTGCAAATGAGAGCTTAATATTATTAATAGTTCCATTTGTAAACAATTAATCATCTAAAATAATATAACTTTTTTCATTTCTCATTCCCAATCCCAAAGATTTTGAAGTATAAGCTTTTGTAGTAGTAAATAACTCTTAAAATATTAAACTTTGCAGCAAAAATAAATTTGAAGAGTCAAAACACAAATAATAGAAACATGCTCCCTATTTAATAATAATAAAAAAATGTGCTTTCTTGGTTTTAATAGAATCTTAAGTACTATTTTATAAATCTAAATTGCATTGGTTGTGCATGGATGAGCAGCTGTTGGATAATATAATGTTTTTAAATATCCAGATTATCCAGAAGCCATTAAATTCAAGTCTATAGTCTGGTACGATATAATTTGGTAGTAAAATAGGTATATTATGTTCTTAATTAAAAAAATATTAAATAATTAAAAATAGATATCTTTTTGAGAAAAATTTATACATTGTCTATATAATATTTGGTTTCAATATCAATATTATTTAATCCATTTAGCAAATAAGTTGATACAATAACTCCTTAGTCATTAATAGTGCTGTATCTATAAGTAAAATCGCTATTGGCTTAGTAAATTAAAGACTTAGTTTCCTAATAAAAATGATAAATAAATAGATCAAAATACAATTTTAAAAATCAGATTTGTCAAATAATTTACTTCAATAAAGATAATATTATTCCTAATCTGTATTGGTAAAACATCTAAGCCTTTAGTTATCATAAGCAATTCAATTATAAATGTAATAAAAATAAAATTAATTTTCATATCTATTTCTTTTTTGGTTAATAAATAAATAAATTATATTATTCAAAATTGTCCAGAAAAAGAATCGTGTGTGAGTTTAATTTTTCTGTCTTCAAATATTCTAAATTATTATTTATTTTCTTGATCAAATAATTATAGCAATTATCCTTTCTTTGTTAAATTAATAAATTAGAACTTTTACTTTAAAATACTATTGATTTTGTTAAGATTTGTATTTTAATTTCTGTTAAAGTGTTTTTATTTAAAATAATTATTGTATATTCTATTTTTATCCCCCCAAAATTAAAAATATATAATAGAAATAATGTTGAAGGTATAATATTATTTCATAATTTAAAATTAATTTTTTATAAACGATTGATTAAAATGGAATATACGGTAGAATTGCTAAAAGAGCTTAAATTACATTTTTATGAAAAAATACGATTCAATAGAATAAACATATGTTAAATATTTTTAAAATAGTTTTGATACATCCATTTTTGTTCTGAAAAAGGAAAAGTGTAAGTTTTATTTGATTTTATGAGTTTTTATTCATTTTAGATTACAAATATTTAAAAAATCTAAAAGAATTTAATACCACTAAAGCAATAAATAAATTTATTAATCTTAAAATAATACGTGTAAAATAAAAATACTATCAAAGTATTATTGTACTGTACAGAAAAAGTGAAAACCTAGATAAATGATTTCAAATTATTTATCTAAAATTATTTTTTATGGTTTCAATTAGAAAAATATTTTTATTTGCTTAAAAATTTAACAGTAGATTTTTATTATATTAACTTTTTATTTACTTAGAAAATCAATAAATAAGTCAATCAATCAATAAAATAAAGACTTTAATTTGCTACTAATTATTTATTTATTTTTACAAATAATATATGATTGATAATAATTGTGTGATTTTGAGGATAAAAATTAGAAAATAAATTGATAATTCCACTTTATAATGAAATAAACAAATAAAATATTTTTAGTTTCATATTTTTCTATTTTAACAATAAGAAATATATATTTATATTAATTTTACTAAATACTCATAAATTTTTTTGAGAAAGGTTTTTTTCTTTTTAAAATTATTAATTAATTTATTCTAAAGATTGTTAATATGTATTTTCTCCATCCATATTTCATATATTGTAATTTAGTCTTTTGTAAAATTTATAAAGATCTTTACAAAAAAAAAAAGCAATATTCAAATAAATTTAAATTTTTTTAAATAAAATAAAAATCTAACATAGTTAACCTAATAAATTAAAAATACATTATGTATAATTTGATTCCTGCTCATAAATTCAATTAAATTTAAAATTCTATGGTTTTAAATAATAGCAAAAAAATTTCGAAACTAAGAGACTGAAAGGATTTATTTTTTTAATTAAAATATATCCACAAAATATTGACCTGAATATATATTTTTAAGACCACAAAATATTGACATGAAGATATATTTTTTATTTTAATCTTAATTTTTTTTCTTAAAAGAGCAATTTACTATGAGTAATAATACAAAATTAAAACAATATTTCATCTCTCTTGATAGTAAATTTTATTGTCAATGAACTGTAATCTAAATAATATATATCAATCACTCTTTAAAAATTATATCATCATATATTTAAGCCTTAATATTGTTAAGAATATTCAAGCAGATATAAATGTTTACATAAAAAAATAAATTACTCAAAAATAATTTTCAATATAGAATCAGATTTGTTTGTATAAATGAATAAAAAAATAACCTATTTTAATTTTAAAATGAGGTAAATTTTTTGTAAAGTAAAAAAAGATAGCATACAAAAAAAGCAAACAAACCAATTGAAAAAGCATTTATTAAATATAATAATTATTAACACATTATTTGGATATGTTGTTGGCTATTATACATTTTTGAGTAAATATCTTTAACTAAATACTATGAATTTAAATGATTATTTAGTAAATTTTTTAAAAATATTAAGTAATGTTCAAACAAGATCTTTATCATTTCGATTTCTTAAATCGCAAATAAATCAAGGAATAATCTTACAATCATAGCTTATTAAAAAAATCAATAAAATTAAATATTTTAAAAACTGTATTAATTTTTTATTCATTCATTATTATTTTAAATACGTTAAATACTTTGAATAAGTTGATACTTTAAAAAATTTTTAAATATTTTTCTCAACTAAAATTAAAAATCATACTTAGATTCTAAAAAATTCTATATGTTAACCTTAATTTTTTCCTCCATTATCTACAAAAGTTTTAGTTATTTCCTTATTTACAAATGTATTTAATTTATATATACTTTTGATAAAAATAAAAATTATTATTTAATTTTTCCAAATTATTCAAAGTATTTAACATTATATTAAAGAAATTCTTATTTTTATAAATTTATTTTGAGGTTTTTTTGTCATTATTAAGGTCCAATAATATATTTTAACTGTGGAAATTATTGTTTAAGCAATATACTAAGAGGATAAAGAGAGAATATTGATTTTATTAATTAATATAGGTATGTATATTAAAAGCATAAATTAGATTAAATCTGAGTTAATTATTGGAGGTTTTATGTACTGTTGTATAAAATTTTAATAGAAAACTACATAGAATAAATAAAAACATAAATGTATAAATAATTAATTAATCTCTCAAATTTGAAAATTAGTTTTATTTTTTTAATTACTACTTTTAATCCATATTTTTTTCAAAGCCAAAAGATCAAATTTATTGGAATATCTTACTTCTAATTCACTAAAAGATTCACTTACCATTCGATTTCTATTCTATGTAGGGTGAACAAGGAATTTATTTTATATATCTAAAGAATATTAAGGTGTTTGATATAATTCTAATTCCTGTTACTGATTTACTTTAGATTTTTACTTGAAATAATGATATAGTTTAGTTATTATTAACAGAAGAAAATAAACAGGTTATTCAATTAGTATTGTTAGAATAATTATTATAAATATGTAGCTAATTATATCTATAGTATCTCTATATTCTATGATATCCGTTTTTTAGCAATATATTGCCAAAGTTAGGAAAAAAATATAAAAAAAGATCCATAATATATAGTTAACTATGAAGTATGCATTTGTTAATTTAGATTAGAAAGGCATTGAGTATACAACAAGCACTAGTTAAATCATAGAAATTGTAATTGCTATTATGCTAGCAACTAAGTAATTTTAACTCAACTGTATAAAGCAAGTAGGTATAATAAGTATCTCAGTTATTAAATATACTAAAATAAAGTTTGTACTTAATTTAGAAGTTTTACGAGTATCATTTTCAATTTATTATTTAGTTATCTCTTAGAAAATTTTATTGGAACTTTCAAAGGATTTTATGTTGAGATAGAAATGTATTTATTTAAAAATTACTGCAGTAATCATGATTGATATTATTATAATAGTAATTTATACACCTATATCAAAAGTAAATAAACCATTAATATAGAATTTTAATTGAGAATTAATTCCAATTATAAAAATTAAGACGCTAATCTCTGAGTATTAAACTATTAAAGAGCAAATTATTATTTCATAAGTCTTTATGCATATGTTTTAAATATTTTTGTGTTTTACTTTTTTAATTGAAATAAACGAAAGAATCATGCTGATAATAAGAATAATAAATAATATTATTCCTGATCCATTAGTTAATAAAATATAAGAAGCAAGATCTACAGATTGAAATCTGACAGAGAAATATTAAATTTAACTCTCATGAACAGCACCTTAGAATAAATTTAAAAACTTCATTTTTTGAGATGGTATTTTTCCTAATATTAATATTAAATAATTAAAGATTCATTTTATGATTAATTTATTATTTTACCTTTCAAAGATTATAACAAATTATAAATTTGCTAAGGTAAATTGGTATCAACCAATAATATAAAAATAAATTTTTAAACGCTTATTGAGTTTTGAACTATTGAAAAACTTGAAGTAGATATAATATTTTATAAAATATTTTACAATATTGAACTATATTAAGTTAATTCGCGTATTAAATATGTTTGTTGATGAATTTATTCAATTTTATTAGAGGAGAAAATTTTTGAACCATAATTTAAATAAACTTATTGGCATTTTTATCCATACAAATCAAATTATGGATAGCAGGCTGAGCATATTTTGTTGTTATTTTTATCACAAGTTTAACAATTTGATTCGCATTATTCAGAGCAAATTCCACTATTTTATATTAATAAATATATAAATAAAACGTAAGTTAAATTAATTTATGATTTTTAAATTTAAATTAATTTTAATACTTTTCCAATATTTTATTTCCGTCGCAGACACATTTTGTAGAGCTTGAATCAATTATAAATGTTGCAGGACAAGAAGAGACACAATCTTTTTAAACTGATAAATAATAATTTTAAGCACATAATGTACAAACAGATTAACTTGCACATACTTTACAATTAGGTGGACATTACATACAAACATTATTTATATCAACATACCCAGAATTGCATGGACATTATGAACTGTTATTAAAAAAATATATAAATATTGTATTTTAACATAATTCGATAACCCAAAATTTTTTCATGAAAATGCAAGTATAAAAATCAATTATTGCAGGGGCAACTTTGGCTATTTGTTAATTTAAAATTTTTATTGTAAGTTGAAGCAAAGTTAATGAAAAAGTTTATTAAGATGAATATTTAAAAATTGATACTCGATTAAAGAGCTATTAGGACGACAAATGCATTTTTTATTAGTTTCGTCTAATATAAATTAGGTTGGACAATTATTAACACATTAAAATTAGCTATCTAAATAATATAGAGACTAACAAATTGAGCAAGTTATCATTGATGCACAAGTTTTACAGTGAGGAACACAAAAATTATATGCTTAGTAGATATTTATCAAATACTGATTAGGTCCTTGCATAGCCTAAAAAGTGAAAGACTTAATTTTAATAAAAAGATTAGCATTTAAAAATAGGATAATAAAATACATACATATGAAAAAGCATAATTAACAAGATGGGTGTAAGGTAATTTGTACGTTTATGAAAATACATAAGGATTTTAAGTCACTTCAACTTAATTATTTGAGAGTATATATGCTATGTTATACTAATATTAACCAATAAATATTATGTTCTAATTTTAATATATTAAATTTTAATATTTATTTTGTGATAAGATAAAGTTTAATAATTAATACCTGGTACTATAAAAAAGTTAGATAATTTATGAAAGGCAAGTTTACTCCTGTTGATTAAAGTTCCTATAAATTCTATACATTAAAGTATCTGAAGGCATTTCTTGAAAAATCATAAGCAAATATTATCGATATCTTTAAAAATATTTTCAAATGGAAAATTTAGAATAAAAATTTACTAAATATATTAGATTAAAACTATTTACTGTTGGAAAATCTATCACGTCAGAAATGAGAAGGCTTTTGGATAGATTATTTAGTTTTACAAATGCAATATCTTTAAATATTGAATTGCTTTTTTACACTTTAGTTAAGTAATCGTCTATGAGATATAGGTTCCATTTCATCTTAAAATAAAAATAAAAAAATTTTATTTTTGATAATTATAAAATTAAAGAGATAATTATATATATATATTTACAATTACTCTATTCAAATCTAATGATTTTTAAATTGAAGAAAGGAAAAAAATCTTAAAGGTATTTATTCATTAATTAGGAAATTATTTTTTATTTAATTAATTATTTATTTATGATTTTATAATCTGTGTACGATTGGGTTTTTCAATAAATAAAATGAGATAAATAAATAAATTATTAAAATTTTATCTTACATTTATTAACTAAATATCTAAAGTATATGCAAATGAGAGTCTAATTTTATTAATAGTTCCATTTGTAAACAATTAATCATCTAAAATAATATAGTTTTTTTCACTTCTCATCCAAGATTTTGAAGTATAAGCTTTTGTAGTAGTAAATAACTCTTAAAATGTGAAACTTTGCAGCAAAAATATATTTGAAGGGTCAAAACACAAATAATAGAAACATTCTCCCTATTTAATAATTATGAAAAAAATGTGCTTTTTTTGTTTTAAAAGAATTTTAAGTACTATTTTCTAAATCTAAACTGTATTGGTTGTGCATGGATGAGCAGCTGTTGGATATTTTAATGTTTTTAAATATTCAGATTATCCAGAAGTCATTAAATTCAAGTCAATAGTCTGGTATGATCTAATTTGGTAGTATAATAGGTATATTATGTTCTTAATTAAAAAAAATATTAAATAATTAAAAATAGATATCTTTTTGAGAAATATTAATACATTATCTATAAAATATTTGGTTTCAATATCAAAATTATTTAATCCATTTAACATATAAGTTGATACAATAATTCCTTAATCGTTAATTGTACTATATTTATAAGTAGAATCACTACTGGCTTTGTAAATTAAAGACTTAGTTTCCTAATAAAAATTATAAATAAATAGATCAAAATACAATTTTAAAAATCAGATTTGTCAAATAATTTACTTCAATAAAGATAATATTATTCTGAATCTGTATAGGTAATACATCTAAGCTTTTAGTTGTTATTAGCAATTTAATGATAAATGTAAAAAAAAGAAAATTAGTTTTCATATTTTTTTCTTTTTTTGCTAATGTAATTATCCAAAATTGTTCAAAAAAAAAATTGCACGTTGAGTTTTATTGTCTGTCTTCAGTTATTATAAATTATTGTTTATTTTCTTAATCAAATAATTATAACAATTATTTTTTTATTAGGCGAATTAATAAATTAGAACACTTTACAATAAAATACTCTAGATTTTGTTAAAATTTGTTTTCTAATAATGTGTTTTTATTTAAAATAATTATTGTATATTTTATTTATATCCCCCTATATTAAAAATATATAATAGAAATAATGAGGAATGCATTAATTTTGCCCAAAAATATTTATTCCTCGTACACGATTCGTACAATCTTATAGAGGAATTACGGTATGTTAAATAGTTTAAAATTATTTTGATACATCTGTTTTTGCTCTAAAAAAAAAAATGGAAAATTGTAAGTTTAATTAGATTTTTTGATTTTTTATTGATTTTAGATTACAAATAATTAAAAAATCTAAAGGAATTTAAGACCACTAAAACAATAAATTTATCAACCCTAATCTAATTTGTGTAATATAAAAATCTTGTCAAACTATCGATTTAATATCAGTAGAAAATGACAAAACATAGATTAAAGATTTCAAATTTTTATCTAAAGTTATTTATTATGATTTAAAGAAACTAGAAATGTATTTATTTTTCCTTAAAAAGTTTAAAAATAGGTGATATATATTATTATCATTCTTTAATTACATTAAAAATAAATTAATAAACCAATCAATGAATGAATTAAAACTTAAATTTGCTATTAATTATTTATCTTACAAATATAATTGATATTTTTTTTTATGGATACAAAATTTTGAAATAGGTTTATTACTTTATAATAAAATAAATATATAAATTAAATATATTTTGTTATTTATTTTACTATTTTAAACAATAAAAATATTAATTTCTAAACTAACTAAATATCTATAAGATTTTTTGAAAGAGGTTTTTCTTTTTAATATTAATTCTAACAATTATTCTTATGTATTTTCTCCATATTTCATATATCATAATTTATTCTTTTATAAAAGTAATAAAACACTTTTCAAATAAATAAATAATATCCAATTTCTTTTAATTTTACTATATAATTTAAATATTTGATGTAAAATAACTATCTAATTAAAATACATTATATATAATTTGATTCAAGCATGCTCATAAATTTAATTAAATCTAAAATTCTATTGTTTTAAATATTGCAATTTTTTTCTTAATAAAGAGAGTTAAATGATTGATTATCTTTTTAGTTAAAATATATCCACAAAATATTAACCTGAATATATATTTTTCATTTTTATCTTAATTTGTTTTCTTCAAAGAGTAATTTTTCACAACAAATAATAATCCAAAAGTATTACAATATTTAATTTCAATTGATAGAAAATTTTATTGTTTGCGAACTGATTTCATATGTCACTATATCAAATATATATCATCATATATTTAAGCATTAATTTTTTGATTACAATCACTCATTAAAAAAATAAATTACTCAAAAATAATTTTAAATTTAGAATCAGATTTGTATAAATAAATAACATATTTTAATTACCAATGAGGTAAATTTTTAATAAATTAAAAATCGATATCATACAACAAGCCAATAGAAATAACATTTATTAAAAAAAATAACTATTTAAAAAGATGCTAATTTTATAACAAAAATAGAAATATTTTTTTAATGAAATTATACAATTTTATAATAAAATTATTTTAGAAAAAATAACATGTTTCTAAATTTTACAGTATTAATAGATTATTTAAAAATCATTTAATACCTAAACTTATTTTTATTCGCTTTAATACATAATTTGGATTTATCATTGGTTTTTTACACTTTTGAATAAAAATCTTTAATTAAATATTATAAATTTAAATGAATAATGCTCAAATAATATCTCTATCAGTTTTATTTATTATTTTGAACTAAAATAAATGAATGAATAAATCTTAAAATCATATTTTATTTTAAAAACTCTATTAATTAATTTTTTAATTCTTTCATTATTATTTAAATAACAGAAAATCATATAATTAATATTTTAATAATATCACTAAATTATTAGAACAGTTATGGAAAATAGACACTAATAAAATCTTACTGATTTGCAAATTATTTAAACTCTACTTTCAAGCTAAATAAATTTATTAAAAAAATAAAACATTTTATTAATAAAATACAATTATAAAGTATATATAATAGAATAGGTTTAACCTTTCAATAAAAAGAGATAGACATCAAAATCGAATTAAGTATTTTATTTATTAATTGCTTTATATTCTTTATTATTTTTAATTTTGCTTCATTTCATAGTTAAAATCTAGCTTTTTTTTTTTTTTGAAATATCTTATGAATGAATGCTTTGCTCGTTTAAAATGTATTTATATGTTAGTAAATTTAATATTATTGTTTTTAAATAATTTAAATTTATTTGCATCTAATTTTATTTTTTAGTAGTTTAAATTGCAATCAATATTTTAGCAATATTGATTAAGTCAGAAATAATTTTTAAAAATAATTGTAACAAAGTTAACTAATATATAAAATTTAATATGTTAAATTCTAAATTATTGAAATATCTTTTTGGAGATATGATTGCTCTAATATTATGTTATCCTAATATGGATATTTTATTTTTGTTTTATAAGAAATTAGCTTAACAGAATATCTTTATTTTAAGATAAATATGAATAAGAAAACCTAAAATTATAATTATTAACTCCTAAAATTATTTTTAAATCTAGAAATTTATCATAATTAGCTTTCAAATACATTAGAGAATAAACAGATTTCAGCACAGAAAGAATTATCTAATAAATTTTAATGATATATGTGATCCCTGATAATAAGATATTTCAATCAATCAATAAAATTACATAATATTAATCAAAAACAATAATGTAGCTTTGAGTTTTCTAATAAGTATTTTTTTAAATTGGATTTTCTATTGACTTAAATTTTTAAAATTAAAAAACTTTTCTTTATTGGAAAATTCAAAAGAATTATTTCTTTTTTATAGTTATTGAAGTGAATTTTATATTAAGGTGTAGAAAAAGAAAAAAAACTTTTTTAATTTTCAACTTAAATAGAGAGTAGATAGATGGTAGTTTGAATGGTTGTATAAAATAAAAACCAATACAGTGTAATCTTACAAACTAATTTACTAATATTAAATTTAATTTATTCATGTTTGTAAATTCAACATATCAAAAAGCAAAAATTCTATGCCATAAAATAATTGATTGATGTTTAATGCATATTAATTTTTTTTAATTTAAGAGAATGAATGGATTTATTTTAATTAAAATATTCCTTAATTTGATACTTCACTATTATTTCACTTGTTTTAATTCTTACTCGAAGTGTAATCAAATCATCTTAAATATAAAATTATAAAAGTAAAAATTCTATGGCTTAAAATAATTGATTGACCTTTAATACATATAATTTATTTAAAACTAATATAATGAAAGGACTTATTTTTTTAATTAGAATATACCTTCAATAATATGATACTTCAATATTTGTACACTCGTTTTTATACTAATTAAAGATGTGATCAAAGTTTGTAAATATAAATAATTATATAATGCAACTGAGCGTCATAGTTAGTTAATTATAATATGAATGATAACTTATTATTGTATCACTTATATATTTATATTTTATCTAAATAATAAAAATTTTAAGATTAATTAAGTAGAAATTTTGGAAATAATTTTACTCACTAAATCTCATATAAAAAATTACTAAATTTATACATACAAATACTGATTAAGTAATTAAGTTTTAAATAATATAATAATTTTCTTAGATATATAAATTGATTTTTTATCATTTTAATTCAAAATTTTGGTCTGTAATAAAAAATTTTTACAACTTTGCTAAATTTCTTTAATCTTTTAAGTTAAATACTCTAAATTTAACTAATGAAGTAGAAAATCTTCTATAAAACAAATTCTAAGGAATGAATTCAATATTACTTATTATTCTATTTTGCAAGCTTTCTTCTTATTTTTGCTAATAATTTTTTCTCTACTTAATAACTTAATATACCTATAAAAAGACTGAAATTAGCAAATAAATAGTTAATCCCACTAAAATCACTTAAACGGTTATTAAAAAACTAACACTCACCTAATCTAAATAGTCTACATATGAAATAAAGTCTGGTTTTGAACTATAAATGTTCAAAATAAAGAACTAAATGTATAATCCTAGCCATAAAGCTGAATCTAAAATAAAGTAACCATTGGTAAGTTTTGAATAGAATGGTTTTAAATAAATTATGATAATTAGCTAGCTAAATTAGATAATTATTATTATTATATTGCATATCATCCAATTTTAGCTTGCTTATAAAAAGCATATAGGTATTAAAAATGACTCAAATGTTTAGTAAATGATCATGTAGTTTCTTCTAATTTTGCATTCAAAAATGACATCATTTTATAATTTAAAACTAGTTATTTCAAAGAAGTTTTTTTATTTTGAAACAGGTATGGCTCTATTAAGATAAATGTATTGTTAATGTAATAACAAAATAGTTATTAGAGTAATAATAATTAAAAAAACTATCTATACTCCTACACTATTGAGTCCTATATTATCGAGTTCGTATTAAAAAATGAATTATTTTATTTGTTGATTAATCCCAATCGTAAAAATTGGAATAACGAGAAAGAGATACTGAATAATAAAGCTAGAAAACACTTTATTATATAGTATTAGCAATATTGATTAAACTTTATAATTTTAAATTTTCTTTAGCATTAAGTAGAATATAATGAATAAGAAACAGCAAATTAAGAACAAAACCAATGCTTATCCAGACGTTTCTAGAATATTATATGAAATACCAAATTTATAGTATGAGTTATTTTAGTATTAATCTTAACTTGAAGCAGTAATAATAGAATATAAAAAATTTATATATCTAAAAGTTTAGTTGGGACACTAGTCTATATATTTTAAATTTAATATTTCAAATTATAAAAATTATTTAATTTAATATTTTACCAGTAAAAACCTCTAAAGCTGAATTTATTTGTTATGGAAGAGTGTTATTGACTAACGTTAGGTAGCTAAGTTTAAAGCAAGCAAAACCGTTAATGAATATACCAGAGCTAGAAGAAGAGAACATATTTTAAATAAAGCTTAAAGCTATTGTACTAGCTATTGAAACTGAAGATGCTGTCTAGGTTAACTATTTTACCTATTGCACAGCTTGCTAAGAAAAAACATTAGATTTATGATCTGAATAATTTGTTTTATTTAAATTTTAGTCTTAATTAGATTATTCGCACTATCCATTCAAAAATTTATAATTTTGAGCACAACTACATGTGCTTCTATTAATAATCTATCCTATTTTATTACATTCAACACATGTATTATCTAAAAATAAATATTTTTTTGCTGGGCATGTTAAGCAGTTAACAGGTAAAGGTCCATAACAATTTAGGCATGTTTAATCACAAGGTAAGCACTAATTAACACTATAAAAAAATAAATTATAAGAATTAATAATAATATTGCTATAAACAAAAAAATTATATTCGTATTATAGGGTGGAGGTAATATATTGAAAATTTTTATAAAAAAAGTAGCTACTCATTATAATGAATAAAATAAATGGTTGAAAAATATCTACTTTTTTCCTACACCTCCCTTAAATAGTAAAATAGTAATCAGCTTACGATTCGTAGTAATGTTCATTACATTATGGTACACAGTATTTATTTTATTAATAATAATTTGGGTTGCATTATGAACAGGAGCTTGTAACATAATCGCCATTTTTACATCCTGGTATTTAGCAATATAATAGTAGTATATTGGTAATATAATTTTGACCATTATTATTGTTGAAAAGATATTATGTAAACCCAACCTAGTTATTTTTATTCTATAAAATCATTTAATTTAAATTATAAAGATATTTACGCTAGACCAGTAAAGTTAAACAATAGGATATCTTTAATTATTTTAATTTATTACTTATATTTTATTTTTCTACGAATCATATTGAAGCTCATATTAATCTTAATGCGAGAAAATAAAATTCTTATTTTATATTTTAAAATATTATAAAATATTTTCTCAAATTAATTTACCTAAAAATAGGTATAATGATTAGTACATATATTTAACCTATCTCCAAAAATATCTATTTACTCTAAGTCATCTGCTGAATAAAAAATTAGCCCACTACTATATAAACCAATTACTGGTTTCTATAATTTTTTAGTTAATAATTAAATAAATAAGTTTATTTATAAATTTATTTTTATTTATAAAAATATTAAAAAATTAAAAATTTTATATCTATTTTAAATATTTTACGCTCTTAAATTCTATGACAAAAATCTTTTTATTTGAATCTGAACTTTAAATATTCTTTAAGAACATCTATTCTTGAGTATCTACAGATAACTTTAATAACTATCCATATCCATCTTAATAATAAATGGAGTATTTTTCCTGATAAAAACAGTATTTTAATTTTCTTTTAAATTATTAAATAAATTACACTAACTATTAAGAGCCAACCAAATTTTTAAAAATATATTGGTTTGTTTAAAAATGAGTCAAAATTAATGTATTATTTAGCTTATATGATATTTTTGGAAGTAAAAAGTTAATCAAAAGTGGACTCGCAAATAAGATATTCGAAAGAATAGGCTAGTCTCGCTGACTGATTTGCAAACACCAAGTAATAAACATCATACTACCAATTTAAAATTTAAAAAGTATTAATTTTGATTGTATTGTTACCATTTAATATTTTTAAAAGAATAAAATAAATATAAAAATGAAAAAAAATAAAAGTAAGGAATAGTATATATAATATTACTGTCTTGAAAACTAAAAAACCTAAATTTATTGAAGTTTATGATAAAGAAGCATATTTTTTTTGAGTAAAAAAATTAGGAGAATTTTGTTGCATTAATGAAAAATCGATGAGATAATAATCAGGTGTTCCATATTGAGTCAAGTATATAATATTATTTTGCTTTATGAAAATAAATTGAGTTATAAAGATAAATTTAGAAAAATAAATATACATCAGCAGTAAAGAAAAAGGATTATTTATCGCAATCATAAGAAAAACTGTTTAGAGTATAGGTTGAAGATATCTATCCATTTATGTCTAAAATACTGATCTTAAAAGTGTTAGTATTTTTATCATTATAAAATATTGCATTTTAATCCTATTTTTAGATAAAAAATGTTACTTTTTTAACTTTAAACTTAATCAAAATCATTATATTCATTTTATTATTTTGATTTAAAGATATTTATTTTTTAACTTGTTTGATATTAAAATGATAGGGAATTTTAACTCAAGCACTATTTTTACTATATTTAAAAGTTATAAATCTAAATAAATACTTCTATCTATTTTGCGCAATCACTGATGATAGGAAATTGATCTAAACAAAATGAAATTTTCCAAAATTCTATAATAAAAATGATAATTAAGATTTTTAGCATTTATCTTTTACTTATTATCTCTTCGAAATTTCAAAAAATTTAATATTTTTTTAATTAATTAATAAAATAACAACTATCTCTCTTTTATAGGTAAATGATTATTTAGTTATTCTTCAAAAAGCAACTTAAAATATTTTTAGTATATTAAAATAAAATTAGAAATGCCATTTGTATGTATTAGTTTATTTTTTTCAAAAAAAATACAATTAAATATTTAAAATACATTTAGTAGTTAGTTTCATGAGAATAATAGTAAAATTGAATGTTTTTAGATACTACTATTTAGTTTGTTCAATTTATTTATATATTTTCCATAAATTTTCTTTTCTTCTGAATTTTAATTGTGTGGTAAATTTATAAAGAATATAATTAAATTGATTTCTTTTCAAAAAAAAAAACCCATTATATTTTGGGTACCAAGTCTTAGTTTTTTTTATGGAGATAAATATTAAAACAATATTTAAAACTTCTAAAGCTATTAATAAAACAGATAAGATAATTAATTAGTCTTTAAGAGCAACTATTTTTGAAGTTTTTTATTTAAATGCATACATACATACGATTTATGTCTTATTACAGTATACACTAGACTCTAGAATTAATTAATTTATTATTTATCAATATCCTTATTTTTATCCATATGAATCTATTTTAATGGATTTATTTACATATATTGATATGAAGTGATGAAAAATAAAATTTACTAGTACTTATTTTAAAACTATAATTTGGATGGCTTTAATAGTCAAAATACATTTAAATTAATTTTTGGGTGATTTGTAAAATCACAATTCTTATTTGCTTTCTATCTTTGATCTTAATAACCAAAAGAATTAGATTCTTTAGATTTAAAAAGATAATTATTAAATTTCCTTTCCTTATAAAGCTTAATTCTAATTTACAGTTATTATATAATACTTATTATTTAAATATTCAATTATAGGGTAAATAAATTAATACTTTTTGAGTTTCCTACAAATTTTTGATCCTATTCATTAAAGAACAATCCTTTTTTTAATAAACCCACTCAAATTAATTACCCCCTATTTATTTTAGATAATATATATTTTTTTAAGATCAACATAAAATAAAGGATTTTTAGTTCAGTTAATATTAATGTAAATTAAAAAGAATCTTCCTTTCTTTTGTGTAAAGGAAAATGAAAAAGTATTCTGAGTTAAGAAAGTTAAATAATTAGGTTTAAAATAAGATAATTAAACTTAGTATATGATTTAAAATTAAATTAAATCTTTCTTAATTTAATCATAGTTTCTACTCTAAAGTTTTCTTCTTCAACTTAAATATAGATGATATTGATTGAGTAATTGCATAAAAAAAGATCTATAAAGTGTAATCTTACTAAGATTTACAAATATTACATTAATTTATTCATGTTTATAAATTTCAATATCAAAAGTAAAAATTCTATGGTTTAAAATAATTGATTGACATTTAATACATATTATTTTTTTCAAAGCTAAGAGACTGAATGGATTTATTTTTATAATTAAAATATGCCTTCATTAATTTAATAGTTCAATATGACTTCGCTCGTTTTCCTAATTAAAAGTGTAATCATAACTTGAATAATATTAATAGTATAAAATTATAAAAATAAAATTTCTATGGCTTAAAATAATTGATTAAATTTTAATGCATATTATTTTTTTCAAAACTAAGAGACTGAAAGGATTATTTTTATAATTAACACATACCTTCAATAATTTGATATTTCAATATCATTTCACTTGTTTTCATTTTAATTAACATTTTTATTAAAGCTTGTAAATAAAAATAATATTATAAAATTGAAAAATATTTAAAGATTAATAAACTCCAGAGTTAGTTAATTTTAATCTTAATAATATCTTTTGATTTTATTCATAATATATATTTTATCTAAATGATATTTTTTTAAGAGAATTAAGTAGACAGACATTTGGAAAATAAATTTATTCACTAAATAAAATTCAATTATAAAAAATTATGAAATTTATACATAAAATACTTATCAAGTTATTTAGTATCATATAAAATTACAATTTTTATTAGATATTCAAATATTTTTTATCAATTTAATTCAACATTTTGGTCTGTTATAAAAATTTTTTACAACTTTGCTAGATTTCTAAAATCTTTTAAGTTAAATACTCTAAATTTAACTAAAGACATTGTAAATCTTTTATAAAATAAATTCTAAGGAACGAATTAAATATTACTTATTATATTATTTTTCTAATTTTCTTCTTATTTTTGCAAAGAAGTTCTTCTCTACTTAATAAATTAATATGCCTATAAAAAGACTGAAATTAGCAAATAAATAGTTAATCCTAGTAAAATCACTTGAATTGTTATTAAAAAACTAACACTTACTTAATCTAAATAGCCTGTATATGAAATAAAGTCTGGTTTTGAACTATAAATGTTCAAAATAAAGAATTAAATGTATAATACTAGCCATAAAGCTGAATCTAAAATAAAGTAACCATTGGTAAGTTTAGAATAGAATGGTTTTAAATATATTATGATAATTAGCAAGCTCAATTAGATAATTATTGTTAATATGTTGCATATCATCCAATTTTAACCTGCTTATAAAAAGCAAATAGGTATTAAAAATGACTCAAATGTTTAGTAAATGATCATGAAGTTTCTTCTAATTTTACATTCAAAAATAACATCACTTTATAATTTAGCACTAGTTATTTCTTAGAAGTTTTTTTATTTTGAAACAGATGTGGCTCTATTAAGATAATTTTATTGTTAATGTAATAACAAAATAGTTATTAAAGTAATAATTATAAAAAAAGCTATCTGTATTTCTACACAATTTCCTCCATAATCAAAAATAAATTATTTTATTTATTGATTAATCCCAATCACAAAAATTGGAATAACGAGATAAATATATTGAATAATAAAGCTAGAAAATATTTTATTATATAGTATTAGCAATATAGATTAAAGTTTCCTATTTTAAATTTTCTCTAGCATTAAGTAAAATAGAATGAAAAAGAAACTGCAAATTAAGAACAAAGCTAATCCTTATCCAGATGTTTCGAGGATATTATATGAAATACCAAATTTATAGTATTAGTTATTTTAGTATTAATCTTAACTTGAAGGAGTAATAATAGAATATAAAAAATTTATACATTTAAAAGTTTAGTTTGGACACTAGTCTATATTTTTAAAATTTAATATTTATAATTCAAAAAATTATTTAATTTAATATTTTACCAGTAAAAACCTGTAAAGCTGAATTTATTTGTTATGGAAGAGTGTTATTGACTAATGTTAGGTAGCTTAGTTTAAAGCAAGCAAAACCATTAATAAATATACCAAAGCTAGAAGAAGAGAACAAGTTTTAAATAAAGCTTAAAACTGCTGTACTAGCTATTGAAACAGAAGATGTTGTCTAGGTTTACTATTTTACCTCTTGTATAGCTTGCTAAGAAAAAACATTCGATTAGTAATTCAAATAATTTGTCTTATTTTAGTTTTAGTTTTAATTAGATTATATGCACTCTCCATTAAAAAATGTATAATTTTCAATACAATTACATATGTTTCTAATAATTTTTTATCCTATTTTATTGCATTCAACGCATGAATTATCTAAAAATAAATATTTTTTTGGTGGGCATGTTAAACAATCATTAGATGAAAGCCCATTGCAAGTTTAACAAGTTTAGCTGCAAGATAGGCAATTTTTTCCATCAATAAAATATCCGATTAGATTACAATCAACACACTAGTTATCGGGAAATAAATACTTTTATGAAGGGCATGTTAAACAATCTTTAGATGAAGGTCCATTACATGATTAGCAAGTATAATGACAAGGTTCACATTTTTATGCAACAATAGACTTTCCATATTATTCTTAATCTTTGCTTATATACAAATATTTTTATGGCGGGCATGATAAACAGTTACTAGATGATGGTCCATTACAAGTTAAGCAAGTTTTATCGCAGGTTATACACTTTTATTCAACAATAGATTATCCTATTTAATTACAATCAACACATGAATTATCTGAAAATAAATACTTTTATGAAGGGCATGTTAAGCAATCTTTGGATGAAGATCCATTACAAGATTAGCAAGTTTAATGGCAATCTTCACATTTTTATCCAACAATAGATTATCCAGATTAGTTATAGTCTATGCTTGTGTACAAATATTTTTATGGTTGGCATGATAAGCAATTACTAGATGATGGTCCACTACAAGTAAAGCAAGTTTTATCACAAGAAATACATTTTTATTCAACAATAGATTATCCTATTTAATTACAATCAACACATGAGTTATCTGAAAATAAATATTTTTATGGAGGGCATGTTAAGCAATTTTATGATGTAGGTCCATAACAAGATTAGCAAGTTTAATGACAAACCTCACATTTTTATCCAACAATAGATTACCCAGATTTATTATAATCTGTGCTTTTTTATAAATATTTTTATGGCGGGCAAGATAAACAGTTACTAGATGACGGTCCATTACAAGTTAAGCAAGTTTTATCACAAGAAATACATTTTTATTCAACAATAAATTATCCTATTTAATTACAATCAACACATGAGTTATCTGAAAATAAATATTTTTATGGAGGGCATGTTAAACAATCTTTGGATGAAGGTCCATTACAAGATTAGCAAGTATAATGACAGGCTTCACATTTTTATGCAACAATAGACTTTCCATATTATTCTTAATCTTTGCTTATATACAAATATTTTTATGGTGGGCATGATAAACAGTTACTAGATGATGGTCCATTACAAGTTAAGCAAGTTTTATCGCAGGTTATACACTTTTATTCAACAATAGATTATCCTATTTAATTACAATCAACACATGAATTATCTGAAAATAAATACTTTTATGAAGGGCATGTTAAGCAATCTTTGGATGAAGATCCATTACAAGATTAGCAAGTTTAATGGCAATCTTCACATTTTTATGCAACTATAGACTATCCAGATTAGTTTTTATCTATACTTGTCTTCAAATATTTTTATGGTTGGCATGATAAGCAATTACTTGATGATGGTCCACTACAAGTAAAGCAAGTTTTATCACAAGAAATACATTTTTATTCAACAATTGATTATCCTATTTATTTACAATCAACACATGAGTTATCTGAAAATAAATATTTTTATGGAGGGCATGTTAAGCAATTTTATGATGTAGGTCCATAACAAGATTAGCAAGTTTAATGACAAACCTCACATTTTTATCCAACAATAGATTACCCAGATTTATTATAATCTGTGCTTTTTTATAAATATTTTTATGGCGGGCAAGATAAACAGTTACTAGATGACGGTCCATTACAAGTTAAGCAAGTTTTATCACAAGAAATACATTTTTATTCAACAATAAATTATCCTATTTAATTACAATCAACACATGAGTTATCTGATAATAAATATTTTTATGGAGGGCATGTTAGGCAATTTTATGATGTAGGTCCATTACAAGAGTAACAAGTCTAATCACAACTAATACATTTCTATTTATCTAAATACTATTATGATTTGCATTTTAAACAATTAGAGTTAGAGGGTCCATAGCATTCTTAGCAATCTTCATGGCAATTATTGTATAAATATTGACTATAATAAAAAAATAACTATTATTTTTGATTTGTAAAGATATATATTTATATATAAATATATATATAATTGTAAGCTTCAAAAATTTACTTTTCTTCAAGAATTATAAAATTGCTTTATGGATAATTCAAAAAATCTATTTTAGATAATCCAAAACAAGTTTATTTTGAATAGTCACATGGGAGGCACTAACTAACTCTATTTTAAATAAAAATGTTAAAAATAGTATGACATTTAAATAATTAAGAAATCTTAATATTCTTACGGTTATTATTAAAATAGATAATTAAATGTTGAACATGTCACACAATCATGAACTGAAGGTCCATTACAAGTCTTACAGGTTTCATGGCATGGTTAACAACTACTTCCTCTTTAATATTTTCAAAATTTAATAAATAAAAGCTATTTTTAGGATATTAACTTCTTAAATAAAATATTATAAAATGAAAAATCATACTTTGATTCTATAAGTAAGTAATAATATAGTGGACACTTTAAACAGTTTGTAGGTGAAGGTCCATCACAATTTAAGCATGTTTTATCACAAGGCAAACATTAATTACCACTATTAAAAAATAAATTATATGAATTAATAATAAAATTGCTTTTGATAAAATTATAATGATATTAAAGAGTGGAGGTTACATAGTGAAAATTTTTTTAAAAAAAAGCTCCTATTATTTAAATAATAATGAATAAAATTAGTGGTTGAAAAGTATCAACTTTTTTCCTCACCCACCTTAAAAATGAATCAACATACGATTAGTAGTATTTGTCGTTGCATTATGTTACACATTATTTATTTTATAAATAATAATTTTGGTTGCATTATGAACAGAAGCCTGTAACACTATCACTATTTTCACATCCTGGTATTTTATTATATAATATTTGTATGTTGGTAATTTCATTTTGCTTTGCATCATAATTAAAAAGATATTATGTAAATCCAACCTAGTTATTTTTATTGTATTAAATAAATTAATTAATTTAAATGAAAAAGAATTTTACACTAGACCAGTAGAGTTCAAAAGCAGGAATTTAATTATTTTAATAAATTACTTTTATTTTATTTTATTATGAATCATATTGTAGCTCATAACAATCTTAATGAGAGAGAATAAAATTCTTATTATACATTTTAATTTATTATTTAATTTATTCGAAAATTAATTTACCTAAAAATAATTATAATGATTAATGCATACTTTTAAAGAATCTCCAAAAATATCTATTTACTCTAAATCATCTACTGAGTAAAAAATTAGCTAAGTAGTATGTAAAGCAATTATCTATTTCTACTATTATTTAATTAATAATTAAATAAATTTATTTAAATGTTAAAAAAACTTTAAAAACTTAAAATTTGTTATCTTTTCTAAATAATTTTACGTTCATAAATTCAATCACAAAAAACTTTTTATTTGGATCAGAAGCTTAATCTATTTTCTTTAAGAACAACTATTCATGAGTATCTACAGATAACTTTAATATTGATCTCTAGTCATCTTAATAATAAATGGAGTATTTTTCCTGGTAAAAAGAGTATTTTTAATTTAATTTTAAATATTAAATAAATAAATTACACTAACTATAAAGAGCCAGCCAAATTTTTAAAAGTATATTGGTTTGTTTAAAAACTTAGTAAAATCCATTTATTATTTAGCTTATATGATATTTTTTGAAGTAAAAAGTTAATCAAAAGTGGACTCGCAAATTAGATATAAGAAAGAATAGACTAGTTTCTTTGTTTCCATTGCAAAGACCAAGTAATAAACATCATACTATCAATTTAAAAGTTAAAAAAAAATTATTATGTTTTTACTGTTGCCATTTAATATTTTGAAAGAACAAAATAAAATCAAATGAAAAGAAATAATGTATGAAATAGTAAAAATAATATTACTGTCTTGAAAACTAAAAAACCAATATTGATAAAAGCATATGGAAATTAAGCATATTTTTTTAGAGTTAAAAAGCTAGGAGAATTTTGTTGCATTAATTAAAAATCGATGAGATAATAATCAGGTGTTCCATATTGAGTCAAGTATATAATATTCTTTTGCTTTATGAAAATAAATTTAGTTTTAAAAATAAAATTTAGAATATATACTTCAGCGGTAAAGAAAAAGGATAATTTTTCGCAATCATAAGAAAAACTGTTTAGATTATAGGTTGAAGATATCTATCCATTTATATCTAAAATACTGATCTTAAAAGTGTTAGTATTTTTATCATTATAAAATATTGCATTTTAATCCTATTTTTAGATAAAATAATATTACTTTATTAACTTTAAAAATAATCAAAATCATTATTTTCATTATATTATATTGATATAAAGATATTTATTTTTAGCTTGCTTGATACAAAAAGAAAAACAGAGGAATTGAAACTCTAATACTCTTTTTGAAATATTTGTAAGTCTAAATAAATTACTTCTATGTATTTTGCGCAATCACTGATAATAGGAAATTTATCTAAGCAAAATGAAGTTTTCCAAAACTCTAATATAAAAGTGATAATTAAGATATTTAGCATTTAGCTTTTACTTATTTTCTCTTCAAAATTTCAAAATAATTAATATTTTTTAATTAATTAATAAAATAGCAACTATCTCTCTTTTATAAGGTAAAAGATTATTTATTTATTCTTCAAAAAGTAAATAAAAATAGATTTAAATGATTTTAGTATATTAAAATACCAATTAGAAATACACTTAACAGAAAAAAATATTTTTTCATGTAAGTAAGGATTATTTATTTATTTATTAGTTTAGAAGAAAATATTTAAGTAAAAGTTGAATATCTATTTATAGTACCTTTAGTTTTGTTCTATTTATTTATTTTCCATAAATTTTCTTTTCTTCTAAATTTTAATTGTGTGATAAATTTATAAAGAAAGAATAGGATTTAATGCTTGCAATTTCAAAATAAATATTCTATTTTGTTTTGGAAACTAAGTTTAGAATTTTTGTTGATAAATAATTTATTAATATGAATTCAACATTTTAAACTCGCTAAGCTAGCAAAAAGATCTAATTGAAAAAATAATTTGTATTTAATAGAAACTATTTTTTAAAGTTTTTTATTTCAAAATTAAAGATTAATATCTTTGATTTTACACTTAACTCAAAAATTAATTAATTTATTTATTTATTTTTATCAATATTTTTATTGCGATTCATAAGTGTTTTCTATTTTAATAAATTTCTTAATATAGGTATTAAGAGATTTCAAATCAATTGTTTTTGTTATTATTTAAATACTAGTACTTTGCATAGTTTCTTTTTATCAAAATAAATTTGTATTTGTTTTAATTATTTCTAAAATCATCTTTCTTATTTGCTATTTTATCTTTCACCTTAATAATCAACAGGATTAGATTCAAAAAGAAAATTATTAAAATTCATTTGCTTATAAACCTCATTAATTAGAATTTACTTACATTCATTACTTATTGTTTTTATATACAAATTAGAAAAAAATAATTCAATCAATAATGAAATACCTATGAGTGATCTTAAGATAAAATACTTTTAATGCATTTTACCAAATAGATTTTTATCAAACTCCAAATAAAAAAATAATAGTATTTATCCAAATGCATTTCAAATATTAGATAAAATATCTAATTTTTATAAAATATTTTACAATTAATTCTGGATTGTAGATGATAAAAAGTTTTATGAAATTAAATTGTTTTTAGCTAGATTTAATTTGAATAGTTGTTAGAATTTTTTTTATTTTAACATTTTTATTAAACCTCATATTACTTCAATGAAAACACCCTAATTTCATGAAGGGTAAAAACAGACATTTTAAAGAGATCTCTAAAATTTAAAAATAGTTAAAAAAAGTTTTTTGGGTTTTTTTTAATATTATTTAATTTATTTACCTCCTATTTTGAGTAATGTGTTATAGTTAATTAATTGAATATTTTAAAACTTGAATTTATCATAAATTTTTAATTTTATAATTAAAATGTATTTCTGTAAATAAAATTATATTTTAAATTTTAAGTTTTAAAAATAATGCAAAAAAATTAATATCTCTATATATTGGCAGTAATTTTTATTTGAATTAAAGTAACTTAAAAAAAACATTCAAAAAAACTACAAAAATATAATTTTATATTTATATATTTACTTATTTATAATTATAAATTCATATTTTTTTCAATAAAGCATTATCAAAGTTTCAGAAAGCTTTTCCTCCCTCACATGCATCTACCAAAAGTGCAGCCTCCAACACAGCAACTTTTCTTTTTGCAGCTTGCAAAAGGAGCTGCACAGTCAGTTCTTAATTGTTCCTTACCAGCAGCACTTGAATTAGCTTTAAGGGATCTAGCTTAGACAGATGAAGATGGGTTCATACTGACAAGAATTACCAAGACTAATAAGATCAATATTGCCTTCTTAAATTACATTTCTATTATTTTTATCAATTATATTTAATTAATTTTTTTATTTATGATTTATAATTATTAGTTGATCTAAAAATTGAATATATAAATCATATTTTTACTAATTATGCTGAAAATTAAGTTTTTATTTTGATGAATTCTAATATCGCATATTAGCATATATCATTTTTTTTAAAATGCATAATAATTATTAACACTTTATATATAAATGTAAACTAAAAATCCAAAATTATTATTTGATTATTTAAATTAAAAGATTTTATTTAGGTTTCTAACATTATATTTATGACGGGCTACATACATTCTTTTCTTTATATAAAATAATCATTTTTTAAGGATTTATTATTCACAATATTGCTTATAGTTCTTAGATTAAATGGCAAGAGAAATGAGTTAAATAAGCATACTTTCTTGTAAATAAAAATAATTTTATTAAAAAAAGGTGCTTAAATATATGCAAATCAAACTATAAAGCATTATATTATTCAATGTATATTTAATACATGACTTCATATTTTTTTATGAGTTGTTAACTCTTTTTGTTTAGATATAGAAGATACCCTAACTTATTATTTTTGAAATTTAAAAATGAGTTTTAAATTAATCATAACTCAATTATTAGATTCAAAATTTTTGATTTTTATTCATAACGTAGAAGTTTTTTAAATTATTCAATTCAAGCTTCTATTAAATCAAATTATCTTATTTCAACTAACTAAACATAAAAATAATTTTACAAATATTTAACTATTAAAAAAATAGTTTTTAAGTGTTTAACCATAATCATTTTTAAATAAATCGAATTAAATTCTTATGAAAATAATTTATAAAGTCTAAAGAAATTTCATTTTTGCCTGAATTGATTAAAGCTAAGTTTATCAAAAACGTCAAATTTTTTGATAGGATATTTTTATTAACAGTTTAGAAATTTAAAAAAATGGAGTTAAGAAAAAAATTTTCTATTAAAATCCTACTTGCTAAACAGAAAATCATAAGTTGATAAAACAGGTAAAATTTAAGTTTTTTTATAATTCGTCATTTTTAGTGAAAAAATACATTTTCCTTTATTTATTTTTGTAATGACTCTTTCTATAAAATCTAAAAACTTACTTTTTATCTTATCTCAATTTATATATTTTGCCTAAGAAGAAAAATAATAATAAGATATATTTTTTCAGCTTTCTTTCTGTAAAAATCTACTAAAAATCTTAAAGTAAATAAACATTGTAAAATGTATTTCATTAAATATTAACTAACAATTTTTAAATATTTATATCCTGCCTAATAATTCTGTATTTAAAAAAAAGAATAATAAATTGCTACTTTTATAGATAAGATTTCAGACATGGCGAAAGTAGCTTGTTAAAATTTAAAAATAAAAAAATTTCTGCCAATAATCGAAACTAAAAGCTAATATATTCTCAAAATATAGCCTTTAAAAATGTATAATTTATCTAATTTGACTTAAATCTATTATCATTTTAATAATTATTGCATTTAAATTGAAAAAAATTCTAAATCCTATTGAAAAATATTCCTTTTAGTTTATATAAAATTTTGAGATAATAATAAATTAATATATAATTGTATCAAATAAAAATTAAATTATTTATTAGGCACACTCTATAAGAAAGTTTAATTATTATGAATTAAATTTTTATTAGGAATTCCTTTTTAAATGATTCCTTTAATTGTTTGTAAATATATATTTTATGAAATATTATCATAAAAATGGATAAAAAATTAATTAACCTATCTTATCTTCATGGTAATATTATTAACAACAATAATTTAAAAATGAAAAAGGAAAATAAAAATCAATACCATAGAAATTTGTATAGCTTAGGATAAATTATATAAGCAAATGGTATAGCAGTCTTTTTATAAAGTAGAGTTAAATAATTTTTTAATTTTGGATAGTCTCTACTAATTATTATTTAATTAAAAGAAATTAGTGTCAAAAAAAATAGATTAAGTTTTGAAAATCTTATTTAATTTGTTTTTCAAATTTTTTTGCAGTATTCATTCTGAAATTTCAAATATTTTTCAAACTGATAATTTTAAATAAATTAAAGGCAATAAAGAAAGCTCAAAAATGGAGAATTATTATTCATGAGACTATTCATAAGAGTCTGAATAACAAAGGTTTAAACAGGCCTTTTACATTAAGAAACAAAAACATAGGAATTAAAACAGAAAAATGAATATATCTAATTAGTTTTACTAAAAAAGATAAAAAAAAGATGGTCGAGTCTGATTTAATTACTAGTGGCTATAAGATTTCTAAATAAATAAATAAATAACTTTTAGAAGACTTTTCATTTGTTATTTAAAAATGAAAACAAAACAGAAAAAGAGACACATTCGAAGATCCTTTAAAAATAAATTTAATAAGAAATAGAACTGGAAAAATCATAATTTGATAAATAAATTTGCTCAGAAGAGGAGATCAATCCAATCATAATCATGAAAAATTATAATAAGTTTTGTATAAGTATTTATCAAATAATTTTATGTTGTAACAAACAAATTTTCAGATGCAAAATTACTATCCCTGACTGAAAAAGGAAATCTCGACTTCAAGAAAAATCATTACCAGACTTAATCAGAAAATTCAGAGGAAAAGAAAAAATTTTAAAGTATCCTTCCAGAGATTGGTAGAAAAGAAAGGAAGGACTCATGTTACCCAAGATTTTGGAGAGTATTATGAAATTATTTAAGAAAATTTGAAGATGAGATGATTGAAATAGCAGTTAGCCTTGCTGTATAAAACTTTTAACTTTGAGTAACCTTATGAAGACAGATATAATATCCAAGAATTTCTCTAAGGAATTAACATTCTGGGATAACAATTCTTACAATATTTTTAAAACTCTATTATACTTTCTGAAGAATTTAGACAAATCTTTATTAAATCTAAATGAATAAGTTGAAAAATAGAAATTAAAGAAATAATCAGGAAGAGATTTAATTACAATATAGAGTGATTTTTAGAGTGTACATTTATTATATGATAATTTATGAAAAATAAATAGGAACTTTTTGAAATGATTAAATAAGACTTTCCTATTTCTATCAATATTGTATATTATTATTGGAATTCTTTATCATAAAAAACTTTTTTGTCAATTACTGTGTATTTTCTTAATAATAGCTTTGAATTTTTTTTCTTTGTCAATTAACAGAGGGTATTAATTTTTAAAAAAATATTTAATTTTAATGTTTTTAATAAAAAAAATATTTATTTTATTTTGCTATTATTTATCTTAGGCATCTTTTGTTAATAGATTTAAAAAATAAAGTTTTTATTAATGATAAGTAGTAAAAAAATAGATTTTTATCTATTAAACAAACAAACATGATAAATTAATGTAAATAATAAGTAATTAAAAAATTAATAATATTTCAGATTAAATATCTCAAATTTTTTATAGTTAAACTATTTCTTATATAATTTAATAATTTTTACTAGTATTATTTTATTAAAAAAAGATTAATATATCTGTTCTAGTGTAATAATAATAATTTCAATTAACATGAGAATTTAAATTAAAAAAATCCTTTAAAAACTAAAAAATAAACTTTTATGTGAATATCATAAGAAATTAATTATCATATTTTTTGCTTAATTGGAACTAGAATTTTTACAATACAAATTATGAATTTATATAAAGAGATTTATTTTTCAGATTATTATTAATTTTGTTTGTTTTAAATGTTCTTATAAAATTAGAAATAGAAAGTAGACTTAATCATATCTGCTTGCTTTTTCCTTATTTTTCAAAATAATGGGGGATCTAATAATAATCTAGTTAAGTAAATAAGTAACAAAGAAGGTAAGTCATATGATCATAAATCTTCAAAATTAATAGTTATTTAGAATTTTAAGAAGATATGAATTTATTTAATCTACAATTCTTTTTGTTTGATTGATTATATTTACTATTTAGTTTATCGATTGTTCTAATTTTAAAAGTATTTAAGGTTTCATTCAGGTGTGTTTTTCAAAAATCTAAAATAAAAAATAATCAGTTGATGTGTTTTTTAGGTTTTTTATGGGGGATAGATTACAATTGAATTAAATGGTATAATTTGCTAATTAAAATTTTTAAATTAATTATTTAATGTGATAAATTAATACTTAATGGTTTTTATTGACTATACTTAAAGTGTTCTAGTTATTCCTAAAGAACCAAAAATTAATGCTGAGAAATACTTTCATTAACTATTAAGTATATTACTTACAATATTTATATCTAAAATTATTGATAGATAGATAGATTATATATTTTTATGTAGCAAATTCTATATTCACTTTCTTGTTTACATTGAATCAATAATTTTACCCATTTCTACTTTTAAATACTTGTGTTAGAGATTAACAAATATCTATAAATAATAATTAAAATCTACTAGTGTTTTATATCAAAAATAAATTGCCTTAAATGAAACTAACATTAGCAATTCTTTCTCTTTTTACATTTTTAAAAACATGTTTGTGTTTCCATGAAATCCCTCATATGCTAGTCCTAGGCATAGCTAAGAGAGAATTGATGAAAAATGATATGGAAATATACAACATAACTGCTAAATACTTTGACACCTATTCTATTTCTGGACTAGATACTATTTCCACTACTTCTTATGAAGAAAATGCTGTTTGGGGTGATGACATTAAAACCTACGGAGATGTTCAAAAGGCTATGGGAATGTGGCATTTCATAGGAAATAAAGACAGTAACCCATATAATCTTACTTTGTATAAAGATCCTATGGCTGACTCAGAAAATGCCTTAAACGCATATGCTAATATTGTTAAAACTTTGACTAATAAAAATTTCGTTGGCAAAATTACTGAATTCAAAGTGAGTATGTTGAAAATGCTTGTTCATCTTGTTGGGGATATTCATATGCCTCACCACACTGGTACCTATTACAACAAAACCTTTGTAAAAGAAAAAGGAAAAGATATCTATTCTGGTGATAAAGGAGGTAACAAATAAAAAATTCAGTTCTACACTTCAACTGGTAAAAAAGAAAAAACAGATATTCATTTCTACTTTGACTCATCTTGCTTCTTTTACACCTGGACTAGCAGACTAGTAAGACCTTTAAACGAAACTTTCAAAATCTACTTCGAAAGAGAACTTGAAAGAATTATGGCTCAATATCCCAAAGAATCTCTCAATATCAATTACACATGTAAAATTTTAACGATTTTAATAATTAATTTATGCAATTAACTAAAATTTTTTATTAACTGATAAAATCTAAAAAAAATATATTGATTTGATTTTACCAAAATTTATCAGACTTTTTTTTCATTCAAACATAATTTATTTAAAATTCATTTTATAATATAATAGAAACCTTTGACGACTGGGCTGAAGAAAGCTGGAACATAGCTTTAACTGATATTTATCCATTCTTGATGTAAAATAATGTAATTCGTTATGGAGATGCGTTTTACAATAGCAGCTTCAATATGATTTAAAAGAGAATTGTTGTTGCTGGGTATAGACTTGCCCATAATTTATAAACTATTTTTGCTGCTGAAAAAGGAAAGATAGATTTGAGTACTTCCCTCTCATATGAAAGTGAAAAGACTACTATTATCATTAATAATCAAATTCCTCTCGATAATAATACTTCCACTCAATATGATTCTAATAAAGTTATGGCAGTTATTTTTGGAGTCTTATTTGGATTAACACTAACTTCATATATAATTTTTATGATTTACTTTAAAATAACTTATTCTGCCATAAAGTCTTAAAATAAAATTTCATCAGATTTCTTTAATGCTAAGAATGGAAATATGCAAAAAATTCCAAGCACTGAAACTAATGAATATAAAGCTTGACTTATTTATAATAAAAAATTTCAATAATATTTTGTTTGATTAAATAATTAAAATATTTACTATTTGTGTGTAAATTAATTAATCTTCTAATTTAAAATTCAAATAAAATTATTTTTCAAAATATTTTCTTTTTAAATTTAAATATGATGTAATTTAATAAATATTCCCTAGCATACAAATTAAAAACAATGCATTTTAAATTATAATAATTTTAAAAAATTAGTTATTTATTTTAAAAATAATTTCATATTAATAATTGTTTAATTACAAATTTATAAAAATACCTAAAGAAGATTTAAACACCTACCTACCTCTCTTTAGTATTTTACATCAATTAATCAAATAAATCTATGTATTAAATAAATTTTCAATCTTATGTACATAAAGTTAATCAATTGTTATCAAAAATTTTTCTTATTTAATTTTCAAAAAATGAGATGTTATTATTTATAAATGATAAATTAAAAATGATCAAATAGAAGTATGATTGAATGTTTTGGTTATATAAAAGTAAAGTCTGATATAAAAATCTATTTATACTTGCTTAATTCTTACTATTTAATAAAATTAAAAATAACTATTATTTAATTTTTTGAAAAAAATAATGCTTATTATTTAATAAGATCTTCCTTATACTTTGTAAACAATAAAATATGCCAAAATATATTTTTGTAATTTAAAAATAATAAATAAAATTATGATTTAATATATATTTCTAATCAAATATAAAAATGTAAACACTTTTTCAAAATTTTAGATTGATGTCCCACAAAATATTTAAAGTTAAGCCCTTTTTATGAATTTTGTATTGAATTAAATTATACGAATTACTAGAATTTTTGTATTATGATGTATTCATTCTCCGTTATAGTAGATATAATTTATAATTATATCCTCTAAAGATTTCTATCATAAAGTTATGAAATAAAAATATACTACTTATTGTTTTAAAATATAGTAGATTATTTCTTTGAAGTTTTTAAATAATAAATTTATGGATGCATAGCATAATTAGCATTATTTTATTTGCTATTGAGACTCTCTTTTAAAAATTTAGTGAATTAAAATTAACAATTATGGCTTCTTGAGCCTGATAAAGAAAATGGGGGACTTAATAAGAAAAAGTTAAGTAAATGATATAAATCTTCGGTGCTAAAACTAAATTTTAGAAAATATCTAATTAATAGTTTTATAATTTTTATCTTCCATTTTTTAATAATAAATAAATTTATTTTTTAAAAAAAAATATTTTGTTATTCTAAAGTTTTTGTTTGTTCACCATTTTATGCTTTTAGGTATTTTTTTGCAAATTAATAAAAACAAACTATTAAATTCTTGTAATATGTATTTATTAATATGTGGATTTTTGTAATTAATTAAAAAATATATCTTAATCGCAAAACGATTTGTAATATTTATTAAATGTTAGAAAAAATCATTAAATGGTTTTAATTAACTATACTTAAAATGTTCTAGTTATTCCATAAAAACTAAAATTTAATTTTCAGACTTGTGGTTATAAAGTTAAAATATCTTGCTTAAAATATTTATATTGAAAGACAACAGACTGACTTATATACTGATATTTTACAGAAACAATACATTTATATAATTTTTGTTAAGCTGTTTCTATACACATTTTTATATTTATTTTTTAAAATTTAATTTTAGCAATACCTTTATTTAAATATTATCATTTTCCTTACATTAAATTTATAAATATTAAATAATTAAATCATTAATATCTACAAAGATTTTCTATTTAAAGTAAAATGAAACATAGCTTAGTTCTTCTTTCTTTTTTTGTACTCTTTCATACTTGCATTTGCTTCCATGAAGTTCCTCATATGCTCATCCTTGGTATAGCTAAGAGAGAATTGATGAAAAATGATTAAGAAATTTACAAAATTACTGCTAAATACTTAGACACTTTTTCTGCCTCTGGAATAGAAACTATTTCTACTACTTCTTACGAAGAAAATGCTGTTTGGGGTGATGATATTAAAACTTATGGTGACGCTTAAAAAGCTATGGGTATGTGGCATTTCATAGGAAACAAAGATAGCAATCCTGAAAATTTAACTTTAGTAAAAGATCCTATGGCTGACTCTGAAAATGCCTTGAATGCCTATGACAATATAGTTAAGACATTCAAAAACAAGAGTTTCATAGGTAAGATAACAGAATTTAAAATTATGATGTTAAAAATGCTTGTTCATCTTGTTGGAGATATCCATATGCCTCACCACACTGGTAGTTATTATAATAGCACAATTGTAGGTCCTAATAAAGAAATTTGGGGTGACAGAGGTGGTAACAGATAAAAAATTAAGTTCTATACAAGCACTGGTAAAAAAGAATCTACTGATATTCACTTCTATTTTGATTCTTCTTGCTTTTACTATAATTGGAAAAGCAGACTTCAAAGACCTTTAAATGATACATTCAAAGCTTATTTCGAAGCAGAACTTGATAGAATAATGACTCAATATCCCAAAGAAACTCTTAATATCAATAACGCATGTAAGAAATTGAATTTAAATTTATTGATTTTAATATTTCAATTAGTTTGAATTTCAATTATTTTCTTCATAAAAAATTAATCTGATAAAAAACCACAAAAATAAATTAATCAAAATTCACCAAAATTGTCAGAATTTATAAATTTATTAAAAAAAATAACATAATTAAATAATATTTTCAAAATAATAGAAACATTCAATGACTGGGCTGAAGAAAGTTGGAACATAGCTTTAACTGAAGTATATCCTTTCTTATTGAAAAACAATGAAATTCGTTTTGGAGATGCATTTTATAATAGCAGCTTCGATATGATTTAAAAGAGAATAGTTATTGCTGGATATAGACTTGCTTATACCTTATAAAATATGTTCGCAGCAGAAAAAGGAAAGATAGATTTAAGTACTCCTCTTACATATGAAATTTCTTAAAAAAATCCATTAGACAACGGAGATAAATCTAAAGATAAAGATACAACAGTAACTGACAACAAAGATAAACCTATTGATAATAATAAAGATAAATCTACTACTGATAACAAAGACTAGCTTCCGAATAATAATAAAGATAATACTCCTGTAATTAATAATAATAATAAAGATACAACTACAACACCTGATAAAGAAAAGTTAGTTGATAATAATCAAGATAAAAATACAGATTCCTATAGTAATAAATTTACTGAAGATTTATCAAATAAAGCTATTGCTGTTGTTTTTGGTGTTTTATTCGGTTTGACATTTTTTACTTTAGTTGCCTTAATGATTTACTTCCATAAAACAGTTACAAGTTTAAAGTCTCATCATAGAGTTTCCACAGATTTTTAAGAAGCTAAGACTTTAAATATGTAAAGAATTCCAAGCACTGAGTAAAATGAAAATAAACTTTGATTGATTGATATATTTAAAAAGTAAAAAATATTTATTTGTGATATAAACTTAATATAAATTAAATATTGTATAAATTTATTTATTTATTACATTTAGTTATATTGAATGAATTAAATTAATAATAATATTTTACTAAAAAACACTTCTTTTCTTTTTAAAAGTGAAATGAATATAAAATATATTTAATTTATAATAATTAGTAACGTTTTTAAAAATAAACACTTTATTTACAAAACATAAAAAGGATTTTACTTTTCATGAGTTTAAAACTTGCTTAAGGCATCACAAAAAATAAATAACTCATAATGTACTCTTATTCTTCTATCTAATTTTTTAGAACAAAATTTGCAGAAAAATAAATTTAATTGTAACTTTATTAATAGCTTATGAAGGTAAAAATATTACCTAAATATAATTGCTATTTGTTTTAAGTATTTTATTGTTTTGTGTTAAGCAAAAATTTCAAAATAACTCTAGTATTTATTTATTTTACATATTTTTAAAAAACAAATTACAAATTTAAGAAAAATTAATTTTAACATTAATTTAAAACTGAATCAATTATATTCTATTTTTAGTGAAGCAGATAATTAAATTTATTAAGTAAAACTTCTTCAAACAATTAATTAATTTCTTCCTTTATGGATATTCTGAAATTTATTGATTTAAATGAAAACAATTGAAATATGAATTATTAATTTGTTAATAGTTTTACTCTCTTCTAGTTTTTGCTTAGCTTTTTAATTACTTTTACTGATAAAGATAAAACCATTTAGGGAAGATTTTATAACAATTTAATTTATAAAATAAATAAAATGCAATAACTTATATTATTAATAGTAGAAGCATAATTATCTGTATTAGAGCAAATAGTGGTCTAAAGTATATAATTACTATGATTTGTGATATTTAATAGACAATAGAAATAATATTTATTGTTATCTCGTTTTTTATTTTTATCTTATTATTTCATAGAAATTTAAGATATCTATTTAAGAATTTAATTTATTAAGATATTAAAATAGCTGTTAAAATTAAGCCCTAATAAGTAAGTATAAAATGACTTTCAATTTTATTACAAATTCATCATAACTTCAAATATTTATATATTATTTTAATTGTGTGTTGACTCTAATAAAAAATATTGAGATTGCAAGCTAGAATTAATAAATGATGAAATCAGAAAATAGTATATTAGTGCTCATTTATTTATTAATATTTTTTTTATTTGGATATATTCATAAATGTTTTTACCATTATATATAAAAAAATTAAAAATTTTTGATTATCAAATTAAATATTTATTTTATGAAAGACTCCTTAAATTAAAGCTTTTTTGAAGAAAAATATTACCATAATATAGTTAGCAATAATAAAATTAAGTGAATAAAAAAACAAAAAATCTATGAGTATGCTAAAAATAATTTTTTATAAGTAAAATAAAAAAATTACATCTTTTTAAATTTGTTATGTATAAACAATAATAAAATGTTAAAATAAATTGATTGATTAAATTATAGATAAATAAAGATAAAATATCAATATTTTTTTTTGCTTCTGAGCCAGTATTTCGAATTTGATATTAATGAGAACTGATTTTGAAAAGACATTTCTAATTCGTATAAAGATAAAATTTTAGGTTAAATTTGTGGATTTTATTAAGCCAATTTCAAAAAGCTATTCTAATAATAAGACAATTATTGTTTATTACTTTTCTATTATCTTTTTTACTTGATTAGATCATATATTTTAACTATAATTGCAAGTACCATATATATAGGGTTAATAAGTAAAATCATTTGCACATTAATTAAAAAGGATAAGCAACAATTATCTAGTGTTTTAGCATAGCTATTATAGTCACTTTTAGACATATAAAAATTAATAATATAATATTAAATCATTAGTCCTATCCACAATAGACAATTTATCATAAAGTATAAATTAGTAAGCTTAGATTTAAATGGTCTAGTATATATTGTAATTGTTAATAGTAACAATTGCAATATTAAATAAGTAATAGTCACAATTTACCAGCTAAAGTTAAATTAAATGAATAGAGTTGGAGTTAAAAGAGATTCAAAAAATAAATTTATCAAAACAAAGTATCTAGCTAATTTTATCTCGTATATGGCGTCATTTAAAATCTTTTCTCTTGTGATTTCATAAAAATTTAGATTTACTTAAAGAGGTTTTTATAGGTTAAGATATTTAAATTACCAATAAAATATTGCGACAACCAAAATAATCAGAAAAATTATAAAGGGGATCTTAAATTCTAAACCTATGATATTAGATTTGTTAATAAATTCTTTTATTTAAACATTAATTCCTATGATAAATATAGACATTGTAAGCTATAAATAAGATATTGTCAACCCAGAGAATATACTGTTGTATATAGTTTTTGAAATTGATTAGACCTTCTAGTTGCTAATCTTTTCAGTCAAAATGTAAAAAATCACTATTAGGGAGAAACAAATCAAAAAAACAGAAATAGCTGAACCACAGTTAAATACAATATTGTAAGAAAGATTGATATTCTCAAATTTGATATCATAGTAATAAATGCTCTCTTTTGGGATAAAATAATTCAAGAAATTAAGGAACTTGAAAGACTATGTCGGAATTTGATCTAGGTTATTTATTTAATATTTTTAATCATATAAAATATTTTTAATTGATAAATTAATTAATTACCTTTTTATGCATTTAAAAGTTAGAAAACAGGATTTGGTAGATTGCATTCAACTATTGTCAAATATGAGAGTTTTTAGCAAGACAATCCAGAAGTTACAATACTAAAACTAGAAGATGAAAAAACATTTGAAATTGAATTGAGCGCTACTGTGCTAATTGTAGTTACCTATGAGGATGTTGAAACTTATTAAGCAACTTCTTTTACTTTATCCTCAGTAAATTTTACCGAATCATATACTTTGAACTGTTAAAGACAAGAATTATTTGATTAAATGTAACCTTCTGAACAATTTAAACAATCTTTATTACTTTTTTATGTACATCCTTAGCATGACTTATCACATTAGAAGCAATTTTGTTAATTAAATTAATTAATAGAATTTTATCCTTTAACACAATAAGTGTTTTTAGGTTGTTTTTAATAACATTTATTATTTTGATCGCAATATAAAATTTGATTTTAAATATTAACACATTTACTTTCTTCCTCAAAGAAAAAGCAATAATTTATATTTTATTAATTACAATCTTCCTTTGAATTAAGATCTTCACAATTTTAGCATATTTTTTTCTTTGAATTCTAAATTATTTAAAAATTTATTGATTTAATTATTTTGTTTGCTTGTTTGTGGGTAATATTTTACTACAAATAAAAAATCTTCTTTTTATTAAAATAATGAGTAACAAAAATAATAAGTTTTCGTAGACATTATTAGTAAAGAAAAAATTAGTAAAAATTAAAAATAAATAAATAGTGTAAGATAAGTTTTTGTAGATAAATAATTAAATTTTTTACGTAATATCCTTTTTTACAAGTGCATTTATGATTATCTAATAAGAAATCATCACCACAAGCAGTACAATTATGAGAGTCTAAACATTAAATACATCCATCGCTGCAAGTATTGCAATTTCTTTATTCATCACAAGTATTACAATCACCATTACATTTAAAGCAAACATTTTAACTATCACAAAAATAACCTACAGGATGACTAGTTTAGCATTTGTTATTAACAAGATAGTAATTTGAAGAGCACATATTACATTTAGAACTGTCTACAGTACAATTTTAACAATTTGTTACTTGGCACGGTTCACACTTATAACTAGAGGGATTAGATCCTTATGCTAATCCTTTGCAAAGTGAACACACCCCAGATTATAGAGAATAACCATATTAACAAGATAGACATTAAAACTAGCTATTGCAGGATGTGCAAAACTAAGGGCAAACATAACATTCTTAGTTTTATTAAGAAGAATTAGAAGGACAATTACTTTAACATGTAGGAAGCGAAGATGATTAGCTTATTACTTTTAAATAAGTGTTAGAACACTGTAAGCAAATTTTTTACTTGTAATCGCATGTCTAGCAATTTTCGGTGCAGTATGTTGGTGGTTTATTAGTACAAATATTTTAAGAATCGCATTAAACATAATCTGGAGTAGAATTTAAGCAGCTGTTTTAATATAGATAAGGTTTTGTTGAAGATTAATCGCATTTCTAACATATTTAAATATCATCTAAGCACTAATTACATGAATCGACTGAACATTTAGTGCATATTTTTGTACTTTTATCACAAAAAGTACCTGTTGGCTAGTCATTGGAGCATATTCCATTAAATAAGAATTTACTTACACATTATGTACAGGTGTTCAAATCACTTTTACAATATAAACAATCAGTATTTAAACAGTCTTAGCAAATTTAATTCTAATCGCAATAAACATTAGTTGGTTGATTCATATCGCATATATAGTTAGCTTATATGGACAGTTTCAATAAAAAGAAAACAATTATTAAAGTGTTTAAACAGATCATTTTTTGATTGATTTTTTACTTAATTAATTTTTACCTTGATAATTTATAATAAATAATTGATTATATTATTTAAAGAACTAAAAATTAATTTATTTTTAAATAGTATTTAAACATATTTATTTTTTTAGATTATAAGATAAATAAATAAACATAAAAATTGAATAACCTCAATAAATTTAGTAATTAAAATAACCTTTAAATTTTTTAGACACACATTAATATACTCTGTAAACAAATTTAGAACGTTAATTTTATTTCGTTAATGTTTACCTCATTTAATGCTATCTGCTTATTAATTTACAATTTAAAGTATTAAATTAATTAATTAACATTCCAATTATTTTGATAATTTATTAAATATTCTCTGATAATTATTTTACTATCAGGAAATATATTTAATAGAATAATAAATATTTTATATAAATTAAAAGAAAATTTAAAAGTAACAAAAAAAGTATGGATGGATCAGAGATGTTAAAGAATCCAAATATCCGATAAATTAGGATTCGAGAATCTTTCAAGTTTTAAAATATTCTAGACAAATATATTCTCTATTAAAAATCTAAAAATATTCGGTAATTGGATTTTATAAATAATATTTTTAAATTTAAAATTATTCGAGTTAAAATTTTCTCTATATTTTATAAAAAAAGTAGTAACTTTTACAAAAAATTATTAAAAAATTTTTGATTAGCTAATTAAATAATTAATTAATGAAAGATTCCATAAGCTGTAATTTTTTAGAAGAAAAATATTATCACAAATAATTAATCATAATAAAACTAAGTTGTAAAAAAAAAAAAAAAATCTAAGGATATATTTAAAATAATTTTTGATAAATAAAAAAATAAATAAATTACATCTTATTAACTGTTTAAGTATATACAATATTTTAGATAATAACTTGTGGTTGGTTGATAAAAGTTTGAAATAAATTGAATGATTAAAATGCAGATAAATAAAGATAAAATATCAATATTTTTTTTTGCTTCTGAGCCAGTACTTCGTATTTGATATTTGAGAGAACTGATTTTGAAATGACATTTCTAATTCATATGTAGATGAAATTTTAGGTTAAATTTGAGAATTTGATAGATCCAATTTCATAAAGATATTCTAATTAGAAGAAATATCAATTTATTATTTCTATCTTTTCTATTATCTTTTTTACTTGATTAGATCATATATTTTAACTATAATTGCAAGTACCATATATATAGGGTTAATAAGTAAAATCATTTGCACATTAATTAAAAAGGATAAGCAACAGTTATCTAGTGTTTTAGCATAGTTATTATAGTCACTTTTAGACATATAAAAATTAATGATATAGTATTAAATCATTAGTCCTATCCACAATAGACAATTTATCATAAAGTATAAATTAGTAAGCTTAGATTTAAAAGGTTTAGTATATATTGTAATTGTTAATAATAATAATTGCAATATTATATAAGCAATAGTCACAATTTACCAGCTAAAGTTAAATTAAATGAATAGAGTTGGAGTTAAAAGAGATTCAAAAAACAAATTTATCAAAATAAAGTATCTAGCTAATTTTATCTCGTATATGGTGTCATTTAAAATCTTTTCTCTTGTAATTTCATAAAAGTTTAGATTTACTTAAAGAGGTTTTTATAGGTTAAGATATTTAAATTACCAATAAAATATTGCGACTACCAAAATAATCAGAAAAATTATAAAGGGGATCTTAAATTCTAAACCTATAATATTAGATTTGTTAATAAATTCTTTTATTTAAACATTAATTCCTATGATAAATATAGACATCGCAAGCTATAAATAAGATATTGTCAACCCAGAGAATATACTGTTGTATATAGTTTTTGAAATAGATTAGACCTTCTAGTTGCTAATCTTTTCAGTCAAAATGAAAAAGATCGCTATAAGGGAGAAACAAATCAAAAAAACAGAAATAGCTGAACCGCTGTTAAATACAATATTGTAAGAAAGATTGATATTCTCAAATTTGATATCATAATAATAGATGCTATCTTTCGGAATAAAATAATTCAAGAAATTAAGGAACTTGAAAGACTAGGTAGGAATTTGATCTAGATTATTTTTATTAATATTTTTAATCATTTTAAACATTTTAATTGATAAATTAATTACCTTTTTATGCATTTAAAGGTTAAAATACTGGACTGGGTAGATTACAATCAACTATTGTCAAGTACGAGAGTTTTTAGCAAGACAAACCAGAAGTTACAATGCTAAAACTAGAAGATGAAAAAACATTTGCAATTGAATTGAGCGCTACTGTGCTAATTGTAGATGCCTATGAGGATGTTGAAACTTATTAAGCAACCTCTTTTACTTTATCCTCAGTAAATGTTACCGAATCATATACTTTGAATTGTTAAACACAAGAATTATTTGATTAAATGTAGCCTTCTGAACAATTTAAACAATCTTTATTACTTTTTTCTGTACATCCTTCACACGATTAATCACATTAGAAGCAATTTTGTTAATTAAATTAATTAATAGAATTTTATCCCTTAACGCAATAAGTTTTTTTAGGTTGTTTTAAGTAACATTTATTATTTTGATCGCAATATAAAATTTGATTTTAAATATTAACACATTTACTTTCTTCCTCAAAGAAAAAGCAATAATTTATATTTTATTAATTACAATCTTCCTTTGAATTAAGATCTTCACAATTTTAGCAGATCTTCTTTATGGAATTCTGAATTATATAAAAAGTTAAAGTTATGGATTTAATAAATATATTTATAGGTAATATTTTATAAAAAACAAAAATTCTCTTTTAAAAGAAATAAGAAATAAAAATCATAAATATTTGCTTACATTATTTCTAAAGAAGAAATTAGTAAAAATTAAAAATAAATAAAAAGTGTAATTAATTAAATTTTTACGTAATATCCTTTTTTACAAGTGCATCTATGACTATCTAATAAGAAATCATCACCACAAGCAGTACATGTATTAGAATCTAAACATTAAATACATCCATCGCTGCAAGTATTGCAATTTCTTTATTCATCACAAGTATTACAATCACCATTACATTTAAAGCAAACATTTTAACTATCACAAAAATAACCTACAGGATGACTAGTTTAGCATTTGTTATTAACAAGATAGTAATTTGAAGAGCACATATTACATTTAGAACTGTCTACAGTACAATTTTAACAATTTGTTATTTGGCATGGTTCACACTTTTAACTAGATGGATTAGACCCTTATGCTAATCCTTTGCAAAGAGAACACACCCCAGATTATAGAGAATAACCATATTAACAAGATAGACATTAAAATTAGCTATCGCAGGATGTGCAAAATTAAGGGCAAACATAACATTCTTAGTTTTATTAAGAAGAATTAGAAGGACAATTACTTTAACATGTAGGAAGCGAAGATGATTAGCTTATTACTTTTAAATAAGTGTTAGAACACTGTAAGCAAATTTTTTACTTGTAATCGCATGTCTAGCAATTTTCGGTGCAGTATGTTGGTGGTTTATTAGTACAAATATTTTAAGAATCGCATTAAACATAATCTGGAGTAGAATTTAAGCAGCTGTTTTAATAAAGATAAGGTTTTGTTGAAGATTAATCGCATTTCTAACATACTTAAATATCATCTATGCACTAATTACACGAATCGACTGAACATTTAGTGCATATTTTTGTACTTTTATCACAAAAAGTACCTATTGGCTAGTTATTGGAGCATATTCCATTAAATAAGAATTTACTTACACATTATGTACAGGTGTTCAAATCACTTTTACAATACAAACAATCAGCATTTAAACAGTCTTAGCAAATTTAATTCTAATCGCAATAAACATTAGTTGGTTGATTCATATCGCATATATAGTCAACTTAGAAGGAAAGTTTCAATAAAAAGAAAACAATTATTAAAGCGTTTAAACAGATCATTTTTTGATTGATTATTAACTTAATTATTTTTTGCCTATATAATTTATATCAATTGATTATATCATTTAAAGAACTAAAAATTAATGTACTATTAAATATTATTAGCTCTAAACTTATTTTTTTTAGATGATAAGATAAACGAGCATAAAAAATTGAATAATCTCAATAAATTTAGGTGTTAAAATAACCTTTAAATTGTTTAAGCACATTTAAATATACATACTATTTAAACAAATTTAAAAAGTTAATTTTCTTTTATTAATTTATATCATTTTTTTTTACATAAATTATTTAATGGTATCTGCTCTGCCTATTACTTTAAAATTTTTAATATTAATTAAAACTTAAAATATTTTGATAATTATTTATAAAAATTAGAATAGTAGGTAGGAAATATATATTTAGTAGAAGAATAAATATTTTTTATAAATTAAAAAAAAATTTAAAAACAACTTTCAAAAATTTTTAATAATTTCCCAAAATAGTTTGGATATTATTTGATTATTAAATAAATATTTTCTTTTAAAATAATTAAGCATATTAATAATATTATTAAATAAAAATCTATTTTTAATTAATAATTTAATATCTGAAATTTCATATTAATATTAAAAAATTGTAAAATAAATATTCTATTATAAAAATTAAAATAAAATTATTAAATTAATTAATCTACTTTATAGCAAATCCAGGAATTAAATTCTTAATTCTCCACATCCATAAGAATTTAATACCTTAAATTACTATTAAAAATAAGATGTTTAGTTCTATGCAAAAAATTGTAACTAAACAATGAAATAAACTTAATTATGATTTAGCAGATACTTTAACGCTTTTAAAAATTAATATTTAAAATCAATCAATAAAATTTATTTTCAGTGTTTGTTAAACATTTAGAGTAATTTTTATTAGCTGCTTTTTCAATTTTTCTTTTAGACCAATTGAGGTCTTTCTTATCTTTGTTTTCACTTTATTGTAATATGTTTATGTTTTCAAGATATTTAAGATAGATAGAGTTGTGAGTTAAATTAGTTCATTCAAATTCTGTAGATCCAATTATTTAATGGATGGGCGATTTCTTTTTCAATTCAATAGTATTGTTTGAATGATATCTGGAATTTCAAAAGAATTTTGATCTAATAGTTAATCAAAAATTCTAAAGTAAGTATTTAGCATTAATTATATTAAATTAAAAATAAATGAAATAGTTTAAATATCAAAAATCTATTTACATTTCACTTTACTTAAGGATTTGAAAATTTCAATAGTAAGGCTATTGTTAACTAAAATTAATTGAGATAGCATTTAGCAGCTTAATGTAGAATTGATTACAGTAAATCATAAAGTTAAAAAAATATTTTAAATATCACTTAGAGAAATATTAATACTAACTTTAGCCTAAAATGTTATATTTACTTACAAAATTATTTATTCTATTTTTAAGGAGTGTAAATAATTACTTATATTGTAAATAATTTTTCACTTTAAAATAATACCATCTTCACAACTTATGTATTAAATATTAGATTCATCTATATATTATTGAAAAAACACACTGCATTATAATGTTTAAAAAGGGATTTAATTATTTATTAATTGCTTAGCAGAAATATGCGCTAGGTGGTTTTATTCAAAGTATTCATTTTAATATTTATAATAAAAAATCTTATTTTTCATATCTACAAATTTATTGTCATCATCAAAATAATAAAATTAATTTTGTATTTATTCATAATAAATTTACTGAGATAAATTGAATTGCTTTAAAAATGTATGCATACAAAATTAAAAAGATTCTTCCATTAAATATAAATTAGGAAAAATAATAATGATGATTTACTCAATTTTTTTTCATTTTTTGAAGATTTAGTGAGGGTTAGATTTAATAAGATAATTATTTGTATTATAAATTTGATTTTTATAATTAAAGTAATTTTCTATCTGAATTTCATCTATTTAAATTAAAAAGAGTATTAATTTTTATTTACATAATAGCATTATATGAATTAAAATTCCTTATTGTTTAAATAAATATTTTAACCTTAGGCTTTACAAGTATTTTATCTAAACACTATGCATGTTTATATTAAAAATATTATCAATTTCTATATTTATCACAAGTTGTGCATTTTATTTTGCGTGATATGTGTATCTATTCTAAACCGCAGTAATAAGATATTGGATGGATAGATTAGCAACTATTTTAGAAAATATTCCACATTTAGTTATCTTAAATGTAATATTAACAGTTAAGAGCTTTCTATTATTCACAAATCTAAGTGGACTGACTTATTTTATTCTTAAAATTTAATTTTAGCATATTCAACACACATCATTCAAAAACTAGCATGTATTTTGGTGGTTCAATCAAATTTACAACAACTTGAGTTCAAATTTGGACATTAATAATAATATATATATGTTAAAGGTGAATTTGAAGTTAAGAGCATACATAAAATGGAGAAGTAATAGGTTAGCTAATAAGCATAGTAAAACAATTGGAGCATTAATAATAAAATTTTAATTTATTATTACTAGACAAACAATTTTATAACAAAAAGAAGTAGGTTGAGTAACATAAACATTCTAGCCATTGTAATAAAAATAACTTAATTTAAATTTAGAATTCATACATTAATTTTAATACAGGTACACAAATAATGAATGCCATAAACATTATGAAGTATTTAATGCAATTTATACTTTATATTTTTTACTTATTTTAGTGCATGGATTGCAATTTAATCTTTAAGGAGGAATAGAGAGATTAAGAATTGAATAAAATGTATTGAAGCTTTATGCGCAAGCGTTCGAATTGATTAAACAAAACTAAAAATCTGCATTTAAGCATTATTAAAAGCTATGATTTTAATCATATTAGCATTAGTTTGGATTTATACCTGAATATAAATATTTCTTTGAATTAACTGAAATAGTTTAAGTTCATATAAAGTTAAAACAAAAAATAAAATTTTCATTTAAATTCATCTTTACTCTTATTTAGATAGTAAAAAAACTTTTTATTATTTTTTATCTATTCATTGAAAAATTTTTAACCAGTATATATAAAATAAAATATTCAGGTGATTTTGTGAATAATCATTTAAAAATTTTTGATTACTTAACTAAATAATTAATTTTATCTAAATTTCTTGTATTTTGGAAGAAGAATATTATCATTAATAATAAAATTAAGATAAAGAAAAAACAAAAAATCAAAAAGAATATTTTAAATGATTTTTAATAAATAAATAAAGAAAATAAATAAATAATTAAATTTTATATAAACTGATTTGGTTTTTATTATATACAATATCTTATAGATATTTTTAACTAGTGATTGATAAGAGTTTGAAATAAATATGATCATTAAAATATAAATAAAAAAATATAAGGTTTCAATGTATTTTTTTCTTTCTGACCCAGTAATCCGTGTTTGTTATTTGAGAGAACTGATTTTGAAATGACATTTCCATTTCGTATAAAGATAAAACTTTAGACTAAATTTGGGAATTTTAGTTAGTCAATTTCAAAAATTAATTCTAATTAGAAGATACATCAATTTATTGTTTCTATCTTTTCTATTCTCTTTTTTACTTGATTAGATCATATATTTTAACTATAATTGCAAGTACCATATATATTGGGTTAATGAGTAAAATTGCTTACACATTAATTAAAAAAGAGAAACAACACTTATCTAGTATCTTAGCATAGCTATTATAGTCACTTTTAGACATGTAAGAATTAATAATATAGTATTAAATCATTAGTGATATCCACAAAATAGAATTGACCATAAAGTATAAATTAGTAAGCTTAGATTTAAATGGCTTAGTATATATTGTAATTGTTAATAGTAACAATTGCAATATTATATAAGCAATAGTCACAATTTACCAGCTAAAGTTAAATTAAATGAATAGAGTTGGAGTTAAAAGAGATTCAAAAAACAAATTTATCAAACTAAAGTTTCTAGCCAATCTTATCTCATATATAGCGTCATTTAAAATCTTTTCTTTTGTAATTTCATAAAAATTTAGATTCTATTAAAGAGGTTTTTACAGGTTAAGATATTTAAACTACCAATAAAATATTGCGACTACCAAAATAATCAGAAAAATTATAAAGGGGATCTTAAAATATAAACCTATAATATTAGATTTGTTAATAAATTCTTTTATTTAAACATTAATTCCTATGATAAATATAGACATCGCAAGCTATAAATAAGATATTGTCAACCCAGAGAATATACTATTGTATATAGTTTTTGAAATAGATTAAATCTTCTAGTTGCTAATTTTTTCAGTTAAAATATAAAATATCACTAAAAGGGAGAAACAAATCAAAAAAATAGAAATAGCTGAACCACTGTTAAATACTATATTGTAAGAAAGACTAATATTCTCAAATTTGATATCATAGTAATAGATGCTATCTTTCGGAATAAAATAATTCAAGAAATTAAGGAACTTGAAAGACTGGGTAGGAATTTGATCTAGATTATTTTTATTAATATTTTTAATCATTTTAAACATTTTAATTGATAAATTAATTAATTACCTTTTTATGCATTTAAAGGTTAAAATACTGGATTGGGTAGATTACAATCAACTATTGTCAAGTACGAGAGTTTTTAGCAAGACAATCCAGCTGTTACAATGCTAAAACTAGAAGATGAAAAAACATTTGAAACTGAATTCAGCGCTACTGTGCTAATTGTAGTTGCTTATGAGGATGTTGAAACTTATTAAGCAACCTCTTTTACTTTATCCTCAGTAAATATTTCTGAATCATATTTTTTGAATTGTTAAACGCAATTTTTGTTTGAATAGACGTAGCCTTCAAGGCAAACATAACATTCTGAGTCTTATTAAGAAGAATTAGAAGGACAATTACTTTAACAAGTAGGAAACGTAGATGATTAGTTTATTACTTTATAATAAGTGTTGGAACACTGCAAGCAAACTTTTTACTTATAATCGCACGTCTAACAATTTTCGGTGCAGTATGTTGGAGGTTTGTTAGTACAAATATTTGAAGAATCGCATTAGACATAATCTGGTGTAGAATTTAAGCAGCTGTTTTAATAAAGATATATTTTTGTTGAAGATTAATCGCATTTCTAACATATTTAAGCATCATCTGAGCACTAATTACATGAATCGACTGAACATTTAGTACATATTTTTGTACTTTTATCACAAAAAGCACCTATTGGCTATACGTTCAAGCATTAATCATTAAGTAAGAATTTGCTGACACATTATGTACAGGTGTTCAAATCACTTTTACAATACAAACAATCAGCATTTAAACAGTCTTAGCAAATTTGGTTCTAATCGCAGTAAACATTAGTAGGTTTAATATCATCGCATATATAATCAAATTAGAAGGAAAGTTTCAATATAAACAAAATAATTATTAATGCATTTAAATAGATTATCATCTTTTGATTGATTTTCTACTTAATTATTTTTTCGCTTGATAATTAATATCAATAATTAATTATTTAAAAAGCTAGATACTAATGCACAATTAAACTAAATTAAATATATATTAATTTTTTTAGACGATTAGACAAGTGAGCATAGAAAAATAGAAAAATCTCAATAACTTTAGGTGTTAAAATAATCTTCATATATTTTTAAAGACATTTTAATATATTTTGTTATTAAATTAAAAAGCTAAATATTCTTTTATTAATTTTTTTTCATTTATACATTAATTCTTTCATGGCATTTATTTATTATTTTAAACATTAAATTAATTTACACTTTACATATTTTGGTAATTAAAAAGATATTTATTGTTGGATAATTTTTTCAAGTACAAAATTAAAAGAAAATCTAAAAGTAATAAAAAAAATTGTTTTGAAATTGGCTTAGGACCTATAAATTTTTTTATGATTTAATTAAAAAAATTATATTTATTTGACAAAAATCTATATTATCTGAATCTAAGTTAATATCTGTTTAGAACATTTAATAAAATATCATACTATAAAAATTGGTTTATAAAAGACTTATCCATTCATATTTGAAAGGAATTTCAAAATTTAGATTTAAATTATTTGATAAAAAAAAATAAATATTTTAAATTTAATACAAATAAAGTTTTTGTAAATATATTGGAAATTTAAAATAATGAAGAAAATTATAATACCTAAAAATTAATAATATTTATTAAGTAAGAGAATATTTATTATTTAAAATGAATGAAAATTTTATTAAAAACCATTTCAGCATCAAATATTCAATTCAATAAATTACATAACATAGATCTCCAAAAATTCAGCAAAAATATCTAAGTAATGATTAATATAAAAATTCATATATTCGAAACCACCACACTTATTTAAACATTTAGAATTTTTTATTTTGTTTAATATTATTAGGCCATTTCAAAATTGACAGTGTCTAATTTAAATCATTATACTTGCAGTGTGCTTTTATCTCTATTTTTAATAAAATTAGAATTACCATTTAAATATATTTTAAAATCATGAATGTTCAGAAAATTTACAAATAGTATTGAGTAATTTTTTTAAATAAATAATAAATATCATTAATAATATTTAAAAGATTGCTCCCGTCTTATAAAAAATAGAAGAATTCCTTTTAAATTTTTAAAATAAAGCACAATTAATTAAATTAATAAAATTGAGATTAATTATTAACAAAAATAATAAGTAAAAAAGTAACATATTTTACAAATATTAAGAAAAAAATCAAACATAATGTAAGAGTAGAAATAGTTATAATTTAATATGGCTGATGTATATTATTAACTTATTTGATTATAGATTAACTTTTTTTGAAACAAAAGTTTTTAAGCTCTGAATAATACTGTAGAACTCTATCAAAGCTTTGTCTTAGCTTTGAGTATAATTAGTTTATTACATTAAAAAAAGCTTTTAATTTATTAAGTTATTTTAAATAATTAATTTATTTATCTTTAAAAAAAATGAATTTTTTTAAAAAACGAATATCTATTTTTTTTGGTATTTTAATATATTTTAAGAGATTATTATTTATTATTTAAAGAAAATAAAATATTAGAAACAATGGCTTTTTACTTATAAATTCTAGCTTAGCTAAATGTACAAATCTTCAAGCACTAAATCTTAATCTTTTGTAATAAAAATACATTTTTTTATAATTAAATATTGCAAAAATTATTTTATAGTTTCTGAAATCTAATTTTTTATATTTATGAGTGAAAAATGAAAGGATTTTATAAATTGATTAATGTTTAAAATTTTTAAAGCTAGAATAATCTAGGAGAAAATTCAGCTTATAATTTGGCTTTAACATTAGAAAATTATACTTTTTTAGAAACTTTGGAATTAGACCTTGGGTAACAAATAGATATTTTATTTATTTTTATTAAAAATTTATGAATTTACTAAATTCAATTAATAAAAATAAATTAATATAAAAATATTAAAGTTAAAACAGTATTGGATCAAAAGGTTTATAATATCTTGCTTAAGCATTATCAAAATTAACTAATCTATAGATATTGAATATGAATCTAAGGTATAAATTATTTATTAATTTTTTCTAAGAAATATGTTAGTAATTAGCTGATAAACTTGAATTACCTCATTCATTTGTATAATACCAAAAACTGTAAGTAACATACTGCAATTTATTATTCACAATAAAACTTTAGTATATGACTGAAAATGGTTATTTTTAATTAATCTATTTAGAATAATAATGATAAATTATATGAATTTACTGAATTTGCATTTTTTAAACTTTGGATATTTTAATAAAAATTACTAGTAATCCTCTAAGTTAAGGTCAGAAAGAAATAATTTTTACCAAATTTCTGAAATAAAAACTTTTCCTGTAATTTTAGTCTCATTTCAAAAAAGTATTTATTATTTTTGAAATCTTACATTAGATTTTACCTTAAATTAATTAGACTTTAATTTAGAGGAGTTACTTTTTTATTTTTTTTCTTATAATGTTTTATGTCAAATTTTTTTTATTTTTAAAAGTTAGACTTATCTTGGAGCAACGAGTTTATCATAATTTATTTAAGCTTTAAAAAATTGCTAAAAGGTCTAGAAAATTGCGATAAATTTTGAGTAAATTACTGAATAAAATAATATTGACATTAATTTTTAAAAAATATCTTATCTTTATAAAAATATTCCTTCCTAAAATATCCAGTTAAAATAATATTAAGCCTTAAGGATTCTAAGATTTATTTTCAATTATACCAGATTCTATTAATCCAACAGATCTTACATTTTCTTTTTGGTAAAAGATATTTATTTTAATTTTATTTTATCAAAAATTTTGACAAATAAATTAAAATCTTTATTTCTTTTTTAAATTATTTTATTTGAGAATAATCAAAATATTCTTTCTATTAAAAAATATTAAATAGTTAAAACAATATTAATTCTGCTGAGGTTTAAAAATTAATCTAGGCTTTATCTTAAATATCTAATTTACAAAACTTATATCTAAATTTGAGGTAAACAAACAATTTTTCTTTGCTATTAAAAAATTTATTTTTTATTCAGTATTAATTAAATATAAAATCATTTTTAATATACAAAAAGCAAAAACAATATTATAGATTCTAATATATTAGATTTATTTTCTGATATATCAAAATTTCCTAGCCTTTAGTAGTTGAATTTAAACTTGAGGTAAAAAATATTTCTTTCTTTTTTGGATACATATTTAAGATAAACAATCAATCTATCATTTATTATTTTATAAAACTAAAATTTACTTGAAATATTTCATCTTAGTTTGGGGTAGATAAACAATTTTATTTGCTTTTTTCAAAAATTTGCTTTTATTTTCAATAAACAAAAAATAATAAACTAATTTTGAATATACAAAAAGCTATAACAAAATTAATGAGTTGCATGCACATAATTTATTTTCTAATTTATTAAAATGCCCTAAACTTTCATCTGTATAATTAAACTTGAGGTAAATATTATTTTTTTACTTTTTAGATTAATATCTATGCTTCATCAATAACCTAAGCAATTAACTTTTAAAAATATTACTAGTTTATATTGACTTAGTTATTTATGGCTTACTTAATTATATTTATTCATTTTCTTTTATGAAATAATCTTTTATAAATAAAAAATTTATTAATTAATCTAAGTATTTAAAATATAAAAGAGAAAATTAATTAAAGGAAATAATTACAATATAATTCTAATCAAATCTATCTTGCTTTAGTAATCTTTAGAAATTAGTACTTTATTTAAAGTAAAAATCTTATATTTTAGTTTATTTATTGATTTATGTGAATAAATTTATTTACATTTTATTTTTTTTTAAATTGATATTAATTAAATTTTTCTAAAATTTTTAAGTCGCAATTTAATAGATTTATAGAATGCAATAAATTTATTTGAATCTTTGTCGCATCTAAATAATCTCTCATATTTGAATTTAGATTTAAATTTAAGGTAAAATTCTTTTTTTAAATCTAAATATATTAAAATATACTTTTTTTGTAAAGTTTACACAATTAATTGGTTGAGTAGATATTGTTTTTTTATTTTCTAATTATAAAACTGTAAATTTTAAATAAAATTGTTAAATTTTTTAATTAAATTTACAGGTTTATGTTTTTTTTAATTATTTCTAGGTTATTTTTTTATCTAAGTAATTAAATTAATACTTTGTATTTATATAGTGACAATTGTTTTGAAAGCAAAATTGAACAAGAAATTAGCAATTACTTATCAAGACTGAAAAATCTCAAAGTTTTGCATTTATATATTTAAGATTGGCAATTTTATTACGATCAGTAACAGTAAAAATTATTATTAATTTTTTTAAGTTATCATGAATAAATATAATAAATATTTAATCTAATACTCTAAATTATAATAAATATCTCAATTTCAAACATAAAACTTCTTAGAATAGTTATTTAAAAATTATTAAAATTGAATATTCACTAATTTGAAACATTTAAATAAATAAAATTAATAAAATTAGGAGAGAATAGATTAAATTAAGACATTAAAAGATAAGATGTGCACTAATTAAAAAATAAAAGAGGTTAATTATGTTAAATAAAAGTGCTTGAAATTGACAAATAAATAATTCAAAAACTAACAATTTAAATTATGCAAATTTATTAAATATAAAAAGTGTTTGTTAACTTTATAAAAATGCCCTAATATATTGTTGTCTTAGTATAAATAGTTACCTCTCTATATATTTATTTAATTACTGTAATAAACTAAAAAAATGAATTTGATTAATTTGTAAATAAATAAATAATACTAATTAATATATTTATATTTTTCAGATCTACTTTGATCATTATTTTCATCAAAAATGAAAAAAAATAATGTTATATAACTCTCTACATATAATATTTAAAATATAGTAATTTTCTGTTTTATTTTTTTATATCATAAAGTCAAATTTTATTATTTTATTAAAAGTAATAATACAAAAAAGTCACTTTGTTTATGAATTAAATTAAAAAATAATCTATTTTATAAAATTTAATGCTAGTTTTTTAATAGAATTTTTAAATATTTTAAAATATAAAAAATTAAAATAAGTTTCATTCTAGTTTTTATATAGAAAGAAAATTTAATAAATAGAAAGTAGGATTGATTAGGTATTACTTGAAATACATACACATATATATAGATAATAAGAGATGAAGAAAAAAACATAGAAAACATATGAGATAATTATTTTTTAATGAAAGATAAAGAAAGATATTTTTATAAATTAATTAGAACATATAAATTGTGATAATTATGAAAATTATTTAATTTTTGAAAAATTTAAAAAGTGTATCTCCTTTGTAAATCTGATATATAGAAAAGTCTCAGATTTATTTAAATTTGCTTAATCGCATAACAATTATCAGAAATTTAATAAATAAAACAATCTAATCATTCATACAATTAGACTATTTTGTACTTAAAAAAATTGCATTTAAAAAATATGGAGAACCAATAGTAATAAACAGAATTGAAAGAGACTCAAGTATTGAAGGAAATTTAAGCAGATACTTAGTAAAAATCAGAAATTAAGACTGAAAAGTTAGAAGCTCAAAATTAGCAATTGTCTGAGTCTGAAAGTAAATCAGAAGATCATTCTGTTTTACTTAGCAAAAGTCACCAATATTTAAATAGAAGAGTTGAGTGCCAAAGTTTCTATGGAACAATTAAATACAGCGGACCTCTTTTACATGAAGGAAGACCTGCAAATAGCGAAAATTAACTATGGTTTGGAGTAGAATGGGATGATGAAACTAGAGGAAGACATAATGGAACTGTAAAAGGAACTTAATATTTTTAAACAAAAGATGATAAAAACTCAGGAACTCTAGTAAAATATGAAAAAGTTAGCATTGGTATTGATATTTTAGATGGTATATTAGCTAAATACTTTAAAGAAAATATTCCTTAAAACCTCAAATAGCAAATACAAGGTATATATATAGAATTTAAAATAAGCAATATAATTCTTTTTTTTTCTTTATGTATGTTATGATAAAATGGTTATTGATTAAAATATATTCAAATTAAACAGATTAAGTTGATAGAAAGTATAAAAAGCAGGTGCTAAAAACTGAAGTTGAGAACCTTCCGGACTCAGTATAATAAGAAATAAATTCTGAGAAGCTGAAAGAGGAGGAAGAGTAAAAGCGTGGTGAAGAATAAATTAAGAAAGTAATTTAAGTAGAAATGGATGAGGAAGCCTATTTTGAAACATTTAAGAAGCATAAAAAGATGGTACAATTTTACGGCTTTGATAAGATTTGGAATAGACTTAATAATATAACTGAGTTGACTGAGATGTCTTTGTAGGAAGTATGCATTTCTGATTTAGGTCATTCAAATTACTTGAGAAGATTGCTTCCAAATTTAAAAACACTCTCTTTGGAAAAGAATTTGCTTTTTGACTGGGATTAGGTTTTCTAAATAGGCTACGAATTAGAATAATTAGAGAGTCTTTCTATCACTAGTAACAAGCTCATGCCATTAGAGAGAAATGTTTCAGAAAGATATTCTAAAGATGTAGAGGAAAATACTCTTATGTGCTGGAGTAATTATACAAGGATTAAAGATGTTACTCCTATGGGAGTATTCCATTCACTCAAAACACTTATCGTAATTGATTGCAATTTAAATTGGACATAAGTAAGTCGTTTCTTGCCTGCTTTCCCAGCTCTAGAAGAGTTGTTTTTATGCAGAAATAATATGACAGATTTTGAAAATTTTACTTACAGAGATGAAGACTTAAAAAATTTAACTTTGCTTAATTTAGAAAACACAGAATTGGATAACATTGAGGGACTTAAAGTTCATTTAAATAAACTTTCTAAGCTCTAAAAACTCATTCTTAACAAGAACAAGTTAACTTAATTGGGTAATCTTGAAGTCTATGAAAGCATCACTCACATATCTTTAGAGTCTAACCTGATTGAAGATCCAATTATTTTTACCTAGCTATCTAAATTTCCCAACCTAACTTATTTAAATATTAAGCATAATCCTATTGGTGATAAGTGTGGAAAATCTTATGTCCGCCAAAGAGCTGTTGCAGAATGCCCAAATCTCAATATAATTAATGGTTCAAATCTAAAGAAATACGAAAGAAAGGACTGTGAAATTTTCTACTTGAGAAGAACTTTTGATGACTATTTTAACCTAACTGGATAAGTTTATTACAAGTATAATCTTTAGTAATTCCTTGAATGGGCTGCTAAGGAGCATCCAAACCACGGTAAACTATTACATAAGTATGGTAACCCTTACGAGTAATAGCCAGAAGAACCTAAAAATATTACAGAAGACTCAGCCCCTAAAAATGTCATGGTTTAGTTAAATCTTATAGCTGCAGCAGGACCTCAACTAGGAAAACCTAATAAAAGCAAAAAATTCCCTGATAACACATCCATTTTAAGCTTAAAAAATGTTTTAAGCAAGTTATACGGTATTCCAAACGACAAGCTAATTTTAAAATACAGAGTTAACTAGCATGATCCAAATGAAATCTTAGATGAAGATCATAAAACTTTAGGTTTCTATGGAATTAAAGATAATTCAACTCTAATAGTCGATTAATTAGATTGATAATCTAAAATGTAACTACTGAATTTTAATTTTTCAAAATAAAAAATGTATCCAAAGCTTTGTTTATCTATCTTTCTACTTAATAAATTAAACAAATATATATTTATTATATATGTTTTATATAATTTTATTATTAAAAATTAGTTTAATTTTATTTTTATTCAAAAATTAAGTAAAAAATTAATATTATTTTAAATAATTTCAAAAGTTTCCAAAATTTTTTACTTATTAATTATTAAGAAGAATTTAATTTTGATTTGTTAATAGAAATAAATATTAAAATTGAATCATTTTAGATAGCTCATGATGGAAAAATAAATACACCAAATTTTTATATTAATGAATAAAAATGAATATTATTATTTAATTATTTAACTTTTTTTTAATAAAAATTTAATTGCATTAAATGTTAAGCTATATTTAAAATCCAAAAAATTTCCCCCACCGGGACTTGAACCCGGGTCTGAAGGGTGAAAACCTTCTATCCTAACCTGCTAGACTATAGGGGATTATGAAATATTACTACAAATTTCAAATAAGAAAGATATTAATTGCTAAAAAATATAAAAATTATAAAAATAATTCCCCCACCGGGACTTGAACCCGGGTCTGAAGGGTGAAAACCTTCTATCCTAACCTGCTAGACTATAGGGGATTACATTGATTTAGCTTCACTAAAGAAAGAAGTATGATATTCTTTGATGTAATTTTTTAACTATTTATTCTTTTTTTGTATTTTGCTGTAATTGGTTTAAAACTAAAATTTAAATATTTTTTAAATTTGTTAATTTAACTTGAGTTTAGAAGAAAAATAGTTTATTAATATTAAAATTAGCTCAAAAATACTAAAAAGTATAAATTATTATCTAATGTAAGCTATCTTAATAATCAATTTAATTCTATTAATTATTAGATTATTTTTTGTAAAATTATTATTGTTAAAATTAAATAATTTGCTTTAATAAGCCACTAAATTATTTTTAATTAATTTTGATATATTTTAATTCAAAATCTTTTTAAATATTTATTAATTTTTCAGCAATTAGAAAACAATTTAAAATGACACATTTTTAAAAAATACCAGCTAAAAATGAAGTTTAATAACCATATTTGATTAGTTTTGATAAAATGAAACTTGAAAGAAAAAAAAATTTAGGTTTAATGTCTGATAAGAAAAAGATTTAAAAAAGCTAATTTTAGTACTCTAAGTCTATAATAAAAAATATTTATGTACACGGTGAGGTACACTGATTATTTACTATGATTTGAGTTGGAACAGATATAGACAATCAGTTGAAAAGAGTTTTTTTAAATATAAAAATAAAGATATGGTTGATAATAATGAAGGAGTTATACTTTATTTTAGTTATAGTCAATACATTTATTCATTCATCCATAAAGACAATTTATTATCTATATTATTGAAATCTTTTTCATCCTATTTGCTAATATGTATTTTTTTGTATAGATTATTCTCAGCAATAAATAAAATTGCATATTGTGTAAATAAAAGTTCATATCACTTTGAAGAAAACTAAGGAGTTTTGTTATATATTTTTTATAAAAACAATCAATTTTAATTAAAAAATTAGCACAAGTTCTAATAAAAAACCTTTTTAAATAAATATAAATACTAACTAGATAAAATGGGTAACTAAATCATGGGCAATTTTAGAAAAGCCCGTTATAAAGGATTTACAGAAGATCAAATAAACTATTTAAAGTAAAATTTTAAATAATATGTTTAGCATAATTTAACATAATTCTCAATACATACATTTTAAGTTGAAAATTTTATGACTCATGAGTGAATTAATTTATTACTAATAATTATTAGAGATAAATTTAGTTTGATGTGCGATGACAAAGGGTTTTTAGATGTAAATAAGCTCAAAAATGTTTATAAATGTGATTTTGAATAAGCTAAGAGGGTAACCAATTCAATTATTTTTCAGTTATGACGAACTTCAATTTTATAATATAAATTATAGGTTTTTGAATTTTTAGATATGGAGGGCAGTGGAACTGTAGATTTTTATAAATTCACATGCGGCTCTGCTATTTTGTGTCAAGCTCCTTTAAAGGAAACCGCTTCACTATTGTATGATATTTTTAACATCCGTAAAAAAGATAATATCGCAGCTGATGAATTGAAGTTATTTGTGCGTACTTATATGCAATACTCAGCGTTTTTGGATGATTAGTCTATTTAGGAAGAAGATATAGATAATAAAACAAAAGCATTAATGAAAAAATGGGATTTAGACAGAGATGGTTAACTCAGTATAGATGAATGGGAAGTTATGCTTTAAAGAGATCCTGATCTTAAGTTTTATATGTTTAGAATGGGTTTTATTACTCGTGCAGAAATGGGTTATGAAGAAGACCAATATGAAGATTGTGATAGCGATCTAGAAATAGAACTAGATAGAAAAAACATGGATAGAGATGAAAGAATAGAAAAGATTAAAAGTGGTATTGAGCATAATGAAAAAGCAGACGGAGAAGATGCAGATTAGTTTGAAAGTGAAGTAAAAGAAAAAGGTAAATAAATAAATAAACAAATAAATAGCTACTTAATTTATAATATAATTAACAAAATTTTTATAGATGAGCGATAAAATTTAAATTAATTTAATTGAATTAAATTTATAATTAATTATTAAAAACGTATTATTTAATACTAACATAATTTATTTCAAAAACATTTTTTAAAGAATAAATATTAAATTTAAATTATTTTTTTTTTAACACATTATTAAATAATTATTTTTAAATTTTAAGGTGATTAATTCCGTGCAAATGATAGCTGGAAAATTTGTAAGAATTTCCCTCCAAGCACTTATTAATAAAAAAAGAGTGATTCTGAAGCTCCTAAAGCTACATTAGATTTAGATTATATTCATGGCTATAGATGCCACGATGCAAGAAATAATTTGAAATTTGGAGTTGGTGATTCAATTATTTATCATACAGCTGCAGTTGGCATTAAATTAGATCCTAAATCAAATAAATAGCAATTCAATTTTGAACACAATGATGATATTACTTGCTTAGACATTTCTTAAAATGGTGAGCGCGTTGTGACAGGTTAAGTAGGAGCCAAACCACTATTATGTGTTTGGAATACTACTGACATGTCCACTCTCATAGTTTTTTCTGGAGATCTTTTAAAAGGTATTGGTAACTGTTGTATTTCTCCTGACGGACGTATAGTTGCTGCTAATGCCTTGGATGATTATCATACAGTTTGTGTATATGATGTTGATGCAGCTATTGAAGCTAAGAAGAATATTAACTCAAAAACTACTGGTTTAGTTTCAAGCGGAAGATGCACAAGAGCTGAAATTTTACATTTGAAATTCCATCCTACAGAAAAGCTTATTATAGCTGCATGCATGAAAGAAATTTAATTTATCACTTATGGTGGTAAAGAAATTAAGTGTTAAAAAGGTATATGGGGTAAGTAATCACCTTAAGCAGTTATGGCAGTAACATTCATTAATAATGACTGCATAACTGGTATGTTTAATGGTAATATCTTTACTTGGTAAGGCTAAAGTTTAGGAAATGTCATTAAAGCACATAATGGACCATGCACATCTATTTCTAATCGCAAGAAAGGAAATGGATTCATCACTGGTGGTAAAAATGGAGATATTATGATTTGGAATGAAAGTTACAAATGTATTGGCACTCTTAACATTTAAGACTGCTTTACTGTAAAGCTTCCCTAAATTAAAGTCATATCTCTTTGCGAAAATAGTTAAGGAGATCTTTTAGTAGGTCTTCGTGGTAGTGAAGTTATTTTGATTAGTAAAGGAGATAAAACAAAAGCTGCAATCCTTAATCAAGGTAAGCTATTTATGAAATTAATAGTTTGTTAAATGATATTTTTAAATTATTTATATGTAGGACATTATGATTAAGAACTTTGGGGTTTAGCCGTTCACCCTGACTCTAAGAGTTATTTCACATCAGGTGAAGATAAACTACTTTGTAAATTTGATGTCAGCAGTAGAAAAATCATATCTGTAAATTATATTTTTATAAATTAATTGCTAAAAAAATTATTTACCTAAATAGAAAACAATATTGTAATATGCATCCAAGACTTTAGCTATTTCTCCAGATGGTAAATACTTAGCTGTTGGTATGAAGAATGGCCTTGTTTAAATTCTAGACCCAAAAAGTTTATCTGAAATAACATAAATTAAGGAATTTATCAATCCCGATAAAGATTTGGTTAGCTATATGAAATTCTCACCAGACAGTAAACAACTTTTAATCGCTTACAGTCCTCCTATTTCTAATGTTCTTGGATTTGATGTTCCTTCTTTCAAAAAGAAATATGTAATGAAAGGTTCTCCATCCAGAATTTCATCAATTGATTTCTCAACTGATGGTACTGCCATTTAACTTAACAATACTTCCTATGAAATTCTACATTTTTCTACCTCTAATGGAGTATAGGAAAAATCAGGTATGACAAAATATAGAGACGAAAAGTGGGCAACTTGGAACTTGACACTTGGATGGCCAACCTAAGGTATTTGGCCTCCTTGCACAAGTGGTGATGATATTAACAGTGTAGATAGAACTCCTACTGGAGATAGTAATTAATCAACAAAGACATAATATTTTTATTTATAAATTATCATAATATTATTTTAGTCCTTGCAACTGCTGATGATTTTAGTAAGATCAAGCTTTTTAAATTCCCTTGTCCTATTGAAAAAAGCTCATTTACCAAATATAATGGTCATAGCTCTCATGTCACAAATGTTAAATTTACTTAGGATGAAAAGATGTTAATTTCTACAGGTGGTGAAGAAAAATCTGTTTTCTAATGGAAATTCCAAAGAGAGCAATAGCAAAATTAGCAATAAGAAGAAGAAGAAGAACCTCAAGAAGAAGATGATGGACTTTTTGGTGAAGCAGAAGTTGAAAAGGGTGATTAAGCTCTTGCAGTCAAGGCGTTCTTGGGTGAAGTTAAAAATAGTACTCCTTCAAATTATCAACCCAATCCTAAAAAATATAATGTAAAACCTGATGGAGATATTTCTCTTGATACAGTACATGGATACAGACATTTTTACATCAAGGACGAATGCAGAGATATGGTCAAATATTCTAGTGACTATAAAAGCATTGTATACCCTGCTGCAGCAGTTGGTGTTAAATAAGAGAAAAAATTAGGTGGATTATAAAAATTCTTTATCAAGCATGTTGAAGATATCGTGTCATTTTCAATACATCCTACTCGTACTGTAGCTGCTACAGGTCAAATGGCAGCAAAAGGTGCAGCAGCTAAGTGTCTTGATTTATTTGTTTGGGATGTTAACACTATGGTAATTTCAGCATTTTTAAATTTAAAATTCAATTTAAATAAAAAAAAATAGGAAATTAAGGCTCACTTCAATGAATTCCATAGAAGAGCAATTGTTTTGACATCTTTCAGTCCAAATGGTTAACTATTGCTGTCTGTTGGTCAAGATGATGATAACTCTCTTGCTATCCATGAATGGTAGGCTAAGAGATTAGTTACTACAAGTCCTGTTGATAAAGCTAAAATCACAGCTGTAATTTGGAAAAGTGATACAGAATTCGTTACTACTGGCTTTAAAGTAGTAAAGTTTTGGACATTAAATGGAAGAAACGTAAAGGGAACAAATGGAAGTGTAGGTGGAGCTAAATTTGTTTCATAGTTTTGTGGTGTTTATGTTGGTAATAAATTTGTTTTTAGTTTTAAAGTAAAATGTAATTATTCTTTTTGTTAAATTATTAGGTTAAACTTTATTCACGGGCTCTGGCGAGGGTTAAATATTTTCTTGGAATGGCTCAGCTGGTGCTGAAGTTAAAGGTGCTAAGCATGACAAAAAAGTACAAAGTATTATTTATGATCAAACATCAAAATGTGTTTTCTCTGGAGCTATGGATGGAAAAATTCTTAAGTGGTAGGTAGCAAGTGGAACATTAAAGTCTGCAGGAGTTTATTATGATTTAAATACTTTAGATTCACCAACCAAATTTTAGTATTAATGCGGTGTAACTTCTATTGATACAGCACCTGATGGTAATATGCTTGTAGCAACTAGTGGAGGAGAAGTATATGAAATTTCTGGAAAGAACTGCAACTTACTCTTGTAGAGCCACTATGAAAATGAATTGTGGGGTCTAGCAGTTTCACCTACTAATCCTAATTTGTATATCACTAGTGGAGGTAATTAATTAATTTTAAATATTTATTTTAATTAAGATTTGATCTTTAAAATCTATTAATAAATAAATAGGAGATAAAACAATAAGACTTTGGGATATTAAAAAAAGAAAAATGATAACTTCCACCAAGCCCATGAAAAATGATGTAAAAGGTATTCACTGGGGAGTTTAAAATGGTAAAGAATTTGTTGTTGCTGGAGATGATTTAGGTTTTGTCTATTTGCTGAATCCTTAAACTTTAGAAGTTTTAGCAACTCATAATTCAAGCTTTACAAAATAGAAAGCTAGATAGTCTACTTACTGGATTGAAGATATTAAAATATCTCCTGATGGTACTTAAGTAGCTTTCGGTGCTCACGGTGGTGCTTCTAAGCTTGAAATAGTAAAAGTAGAAGGAGGATAGAAGTTTGGATCATCATTTGAAATTAATTGTGGTTTGACATCTGCACTTCTTCATGTTGACTGGTCAGTTGATTCAACAGTTTGTGTTGTCAATTCATAAGCTTATGAGCTTAAGTTTGTCTCTATTCCTGCCAAGAAGAATATGGCTTCATCTGCAGCTAAAGATATAGAATTCGCTTCATGGACTTGTAAAATAGGTTTCCCTGTATAAGGTGTTTTCTAAGGCGTTGACTATACAGATGTTAATGCAGTTTGCAGATCATCTAGCGGATTGGTAATTAATTTTTTAGTTTTTGATTTATCTATAAAATTACTAATTGCAAATTTAGTATTTGGCTTCAGGAAATGATGATAGTTAGGTTAAGCTTTTCAAGTATCCAGTAGTTGTTGAAAAGTAAGTACACAAGGGATACTACGGTCATAGTTCTCATGTTACAAGAGTCCGTTTTACTATTGATGATTCATATCTAGTGTCAACAGGTGGTAATGATAAATGTGTCATGGTATGGAAAACAACTTTTGGAAGTGGTGGAAAGTAAGACTTCCATCCAATGTCTGCAATTGAAGAGAGTAATAACAACAATGATGATATTGATGTTCCTGTTTAAAAGAAAAAACCAAAGGGTGCTGAAAAGTATGCAGATTAAGAAGAGGATGAAAATTAATAAGAAGAACATAGCAATGAAATGTTTGGATAAGAAGATTTAGATAAAGGTGATGAATTCATGGCAGTAAAACGTAAACCAAAATTTAAATTTGCAAATTAAAGATATATTTATTTAACAAATTAAATCATTTCAATAGTATTTAAATATTATTAACATATTAAAAGCTTGGTTGGGTGCTATCAAAGAACCTTCTTACAAATACTTCAAGGACAAAAACTAATTTGAAGAACCTCCTGTTACAATTAATCCTTATTATGTTTTTGGTATTCGTACTAAGGACTAAAGAGGAAATTTGAGATATACATCATCTGGTAAAATTGTTTACAATGCTGCTGCTCTCGGTATAGTCTTGGATGTCGAAAATAATACTCAAACATTCTTTAACAAGCATACAGATGATATTATTTCTCTAGATCTTCATCCAGATGGCAACCTCGTTGCTACTGGTGAAATAGGGCCTAAGCCATACATTTACATATGGGATTCTGAAACTAAGGAAGTTAAAAATTCTTGGAAGGGTGCTATCCTAAAGGGTATTGCATGTCTTGCATTCTCTCCTTCTGGTAATAAATTAGTTGCAGCTGCTATTAATGATGATCATCAAATTGGTGTGTTTGATCTCAAATCAAATGCAGTCATGGCTTTTAAGGTATACACATTAATAAATTTATAATTAAGAAAAATCAATTATTTTAATATAGGGTGGTCCTGAAGTCATAGTCGATTGCGATTGGGTTAATGAAGATAACTTTGTTACTGTAGGTGTTAAACATTTTAAGCTTTGGGCACCTGCTGGCAAAGCATACAAAGAGACTAAAGGTGATAAAACAAACTTTGTATTCTCAGGATTAGCATTTATTAACAACTAAACCCTTGTAGGAACTTCTACAGGTGACTTATAGGTTTGGTAAGGAAACAGTTTTACTCGTAACTCACAAGACAAAAAGTTACATGAAAAGGGTATTGAAACTATCAGAGTCGATCAAAATTAGTAAATGATTAGAATTTTATTAAATTAAAAAATAAAAAATAAATTTATTTGAATAAACCTTTATCTTCAAAGATTTTTTCAAATTTGAATATTTTCTCTACATAAGCTTCAATGGTTTAAACACATTAAAATTAATATATGTTTTTTATTTGTAAAGTGTCTTCACTGGAGGTAAAGATTGCAAAGTAAACATTTTAGGAAAAGACCTAAAAGTTATCACTTCAATCAACGTGGCAGAACTATTTCCAGAAACTCTAAGTGGTGAAGTTAGAAGTATTTGTCCTAGTTAAGATTTGAAGAGAGTATTAGTTGCTACACTTGCTTGTGAAATTATTGAATTCGAAGCAAGCCAAGTACCTTATACTTCTAATACTAAATTTTCTTTTAGAAACTGCTATATGAAAGGCCATTTCTCTCCTAACTTAAAGGTAAAAATAAATAAATTAATAAAATTAAAAATATATCTTTAATTGATTATCAATATTTTTTAATAGTGGACTAATGAAGTTTGGGGTTTATCAGTGTTCCCTGACACTGATACATTTGCAACTTGCTCTGATGATGGTACATTAAGAGTTTGGTCTCTTCCTGAAAGAAAGCAAATTGCTTTAATTAAGACTAACTTAAATAAAGGTAAGGTTTATGATAATAAATAATATGAATTAAATAAATTTTATTTTTTATTATAGAAAACTCTGAAACCCCTAGAGACCCAGCAACTGGTGATTTCGCAGATTCTGTTAAAGGAAGAGCCCTTGCCGTTTCACCTGAAGGTAATACAATTGTAGCAGGTTTTAAAGAAGGAACACTAAAAGAATTCACTGTTAGTGGAGAAGGATCAGAAATGAAATTAGAATAAACAAAAGTTATCAAGCATGCTTAAAGATGGATATCCGATATAAAATTCTCACCAGATGGTACAACTTTAGTAGCAGGAGCTCATGATTAAACTATATATGCTTACAATTTACCAGATTGGAAACCCCGTTGCAAACCCATGAAAAAGCACTCTTCATACATCACCCATATAGATTTCTCAAGATGCGGTAACTATCTCCATAGTACATGTGGAGCTTATGAGCTTTTATTCTGGGAAGCAAACACTGGCAAATAGCTAACATCCGGTGCTAGCGCTCTTAAAGACGAATTATGGGCTACATGGAATGTCACTCTTGGATGGCCAGTAATCTAAATAAACTTTATATCATAAATTTATATTTATTAATTAAGAAATATTCATTAAAGATTAACATTTGATTTTAAAAAAAGGTTCAAGGTATATGGCCTGAGTGTGCAGATGGTACTGACATAAATGCAGTAGACAGATCAAACTTTACCATAGCTAAGAATAAAGACATTGAAAAATCTTATCATTTATTAGCAACAGGAGATGATTTCTCTCATGTAAGAATTCTTAGATTCCCATCACTAAAAAAGAGCTCCAAGGGTGTCATAGGATATGGCCACTCTTCACATGTCACAAACGTAAAGTGGACCAAAGATGATTAATACATATACTCAACTGGTGGTGAAGATTAATGTGTCATAATTTGGAAAGTTGATAAAAAATGAAAATATTTAGATATCTAAATTTAAGAATTAGTAATAAAGAATATATAAATTGAAATATTTTAAAAAGAAAATACTTATTATACTATTTTTACTATATGTACTTATGTGATTTGTTGGTTTAATTATTATCTGGCTTATTAAAATCTTATCTAAAAAACATTAATTTTTTCTTATTAATTTTTTTTAATTTATTTTAAATAAAAACTTAATGAAAAATAAAATAAAAAATAATAAAAATTAAATAATAAATTAAATCGCTTTAATTTACATATTATAGTTTATTTATTGATGCAATATTATGTCAGAAAATCAAAAAGAATATTTAATGTAAAACTCTGAGAATAATTTGTAATTTTAAACCCATTTTTTCTGTTAATTCATAAAACCAACTGATACTTGCGAAGTTAAAAACAGATTTTTATTTTCAATATTTCTTAAAAGAAATTTGATCGTTTTAAAATTAGAGATTGTGGAGGTAGAGGTGAGGGTTTTATTTAAAAATATTATTAATTAAAAACTATTGGCTTAACTCCTCTTTTTAAATTTTTATTAGAAAGGAGATATATTTTTTAAGAATAGAGATATTTAAATAGATATGTATTTATTCAATAAGAAGAATCTATAACAGATAATTTTTCTTACTAATTTATAAATTAAAAATAGAAATTGTAAATCTGTCTATTAATAATAATAAAAATTATAAATAAAATAGACTTTCGCTAAATATTAATCTACATATTTTTATTTCTTACATAACCAGAAAAAAATTGTAAATTTAAAATTGCTACTTTGAGCGATATTCTATGAGTTGTTTTATTGAATATAGTAATAAATAAAGAAATATACAGTCAGAAGAATTATTGATAAACATTTCTCAGATTAAAGCAGATGCAAGAATTATATAATAAAAGCCCGATAAAAGAAAATTCAATTAACAATTAATTAAAGCTAATTAATTACTTGATTGTTTGACTTTTTTTTATTAATTAAAAATAGAATGTGATCCAATAAGTGGATATCTACATATATTAAAAGCTATTATCTTCTAATTATAAACATATCTTAAAATATTAAAACAAAATTTATATTAATTTTCTAAATTAGCATTAATTTTTATAGTTCAAATCTCCTTAAAATGCAAAAGCAATCATCTTCAAGCAGCAACGCAAATGGCAATGCTACAGAAAAGAAATCTTCTAACAATAACAAGAAATTACAATAAATTGACAAGTAGTTTTATAGCGAGTTTTTGAGTTTTCAGTATGATAAAGAAGACGATGAAGAATATACCTTATCCTATCGTCCGAAGATAAAATCCAAAAGATTTCAAAAGTAAATAATAAATAAATAAAGCCAGAATAAAGTTAATATCAACACTTGCTTTTTAAATAATATTAGGTAAGAAAGGGAATAAAGAGAAGGATTATATATACGTGCCAAATTTAGATTCATTACTAGCTAGGATCAGGTTAGTGATACTTCAAGTAAGAAAGCATTTAATTATTTATTTTTCATTACTTGAGAAACGTTTGGCTAGAAATTGAAGCAAGCACCTTTCTCAAATAAAATCTTATTTAAATTTCATATAAAATTTTAAAATTATAAGTTTACTCTCCTTTGAAGCAACTAAGTTGGGAGAAGATTATTTAGGTAAATAGTTAATCTCTATAACACATTTTATAATAATAAAAATTAAAATTTTAAATAGGTCATATTTCCAACTCAAAAAGGTGAAATAACTTGCCCAATTTGCATGAATGATTAGCATTAAATCATAGCTCCTTAGATTACTCCATGTGGTCACATTTATTGCTATTATTGCTACTTAAGGCATGATGATATATGTAAATTGATACAAAAATTTCATTTTAATTATTAGGTTTAGAATAAGCGTCATAATTACTACTATAGTTGTTATGATGAGATAAAAAATAGAAAAATAATATAAAAAAAGCTTATAGTTAAAATGTTTTCATAAAATTAAAATAAAAAGCCGATACTAAGAATTATTGTCCCTTGTGTGGTGAATTTGCTCCGAATTGTGATTTAAAGAGCGCCAAAATTGTTGAATATGAAACTTGTAAGGATCAAATAAGCTTTTAGCTTCTAATGAGATAAGAAAATGAGTAGATAGTATACAGAGCAGATACACTCAGTGAAGATCCATAATTCTCTAAAATAATGATAGCAAAACCATAATATATTGTAAATGACATTTTGAAGAAGGAAAGAGATGAATTAAATAATTTCTTGCTTGAATGTATTTCATCATAAGAAACTTGGAACATTCCTTACATTGAATAGGTAGGAATATAAAAAAAATTGTCTTAATTATATCAAATCAGAAATTATCAATTAATATTTAATCATTTAATTAATTATTTTTTTTAATAAATAGGCACTTAAAATCAATTAACAAAAATCAGAAAAATATGAAAAGCTAATTCTTCAAGAGGAATAACAACGTGTTTACGATTAGGTAAAATTAAAGAAGAAATCCTCGAAGCAACAATCCAATGAAAGTTCTGGTCAATAATAATAATCTTCTGATGAGACTAATTTCTTTTTTAAATAGTTAACACAATAGCAAATAAAAAAATCTTAAATTCACTACTTCTACTAAGAAAAGAATGGGCAATTAATTTTTCTAAACCCAATAAATAACAAGTATCTATTTGAAGAATTTAATAAAGAAAATAAACTTCCTTTGCATGAAATCACAACAAAATTAATTTCATTATAAAATTCTTGTGCTGATTAAAACCTCTTGAAAAGATATCCGTAATAATATTTTTTAAAATGAAATTTAATATAATTCAATTAAAAAATAGATATCTTAAGCACTTGCCTCCTTATTCTGATATTCTCTTAGCTGAGGTAGATATGAATGGACTTATTAACCCTGAAAATGTTAAAAAGAATGACGCTGAGCTCGCTGCTATTCATCAAAAAGTAAAAGAAAAAGAAGAAAGAGAGTTGAAAAAAATGTAAAAGAATCGTAAAATGTCTGACAATCCCTATGGATAATTTTATGATAGAGAATAATACCTATAATATGGTTTAATCACTTTCCCACCTTAGAAAATGCCAACGTAATTAATTTCTTTAATTTAAAATAATAAATACTAAAAATATTATCTTAAGATTCAAAATATATAAATATAGCTTAATATTTAATAAAGTTTTAAATGAAAATTTTGTAAAATCACTAAAAAATTTTTAATAAATTTTTCAATCCTAAATATTTTTTCAAAAAAATAAATTATAGTTTTTTCATAAACATCTCAACCTATATGTTTGTTTTTTTTTCTTAATTATAAATTTAAATTTTATAAATATAGAGAAGAAAAACACTATCCAACATTGCAATAATCATAAAGTTTACCCTAATAAATTTAAGTAGATGAAGAATAGAAGTAATAAATTGAAAAAAGTAGAAAGAAAGAGGATTTTGAAGATGGAGAAGATGATTATGTAATAATGTCCAAAAACGGACAGCTGCCAACTAACTATGTTGATAAATAAAGCAGATAAAAAATAAAATAAATGCAAAAGTAAATTTCAACTTTAGAAATTTTATTTTATAAAATATTTAATTATTAATTAATTAATTAATTAATTAATATAATTTTAGTGAAACCTATTTTCCTTCTCTTGGAGGCTTGTAAAGTATTCCAGAAAAAACATAATAAAGTAAAAAGAAAAGTAGTTCAGAAATTCATGTAGATAATAATAAAGTTAATAGTGAATTAGTTAATTAATAAACATAAAATCAAGAATAAATAAATGAAATTAACAACTAAGAAATTAATATATAGCTTTAAAAATAAAATGAGCTAAAGTAAGTAATTGTAGATGAGAAAAATAATGTAATAATTGATGGAGATTAAATTTACGATTAGTGGAATCAAGAATAAATATTACAAAATGCTAAATAAAAATCTACAAATAATCAGGATACTACAGCTGAAGGTAATAAGAAGCATGGAAACAAAAATAAAAAGTAAAATAAAAAAGTTGTCATTGATGGAAATTTTTTCTTTTGAGGAAACATGTTCAATCTAAAAAGGAGCTAATTCTCTCATATACACCAATATTTATACAAATACTAATCAACCTACCTTAAATTATTTAAGTTTACAAATTTCAATTTTAATGAAATATTTATCAACAACAAAATCAATAAATAAATTTTATTGTGTCATTCATTTTATAAAAGATATTGCAATTTAGGATTTAAGCATTCAAAGAATTTATTTAAATAGTAAAAGAAATACTGTATTGAGAAACTCATTTTAGTTATATTCAATAAATACAAGCATTTTCAAAAACTTATGAACTATATAAATAAATTAATCATAAACCTAAATTTGTAAATGTGACAGATAGTCAGACAAACAAAAAAGTAAATTAGACATAATAAATAACACAACAAAAATAATAATAACAATCTTAACTTATCTAATATTTAATTTATTTATTCATATATCATAAATTTATTTATCAATTTTTATTATTTTTATAAGAAATTCTTTTTTAATTTGTAAATTTATTTGATAAAAATGGTAAAAATAAATATATTCATTTATTTATTTATTTAATTAGTTAGTTAATTATTTCTTATTTCTTCCATTTTTATTTAAAATTATAAACTTAAAAACCAATTTGCTAATCCATTTAGTTCTAAATTACTTATTACTCATATTATTTATATTCCATCAATATCAAGCATATACAAATAACTTACGAACTATTTTAACAAATAAATTAATAATTAACTTAAATTAATAAATATAAATGATAAAAAATAAATAATACAAAAAATGAAAATAACAATTTTAGCTTATTTAATATTTAATTTATTTATTAGTTCATAAATTTATTCTATTTTAATTATTATTATTAGAAATTCTTTTTAATTTTTAGATATATTAAATATGATAAAAGTATATTTATTTATTTATTTAGTTAGTTAATTATTCAATTTTTTATTTAAATTGTTAAGATTTAATTACTAATTTATCAATCCATTTATTTCAAAATTGCTTAAATTTCTTGTCATCAAAATTTTAACTGTTCGATTAGAATTATTTGTAGCATTTAGAATTTATTTTATATTCTTATATAAATGGATCAATTACCATTCATTAGCTTTATTATAAATCTAGGTCAGATATTTTTGCAATGTTAAATTTAAATTCACCAAATTATATATCACCCTTCTTCTTTTCTTCTTTAAAAATTTTATGACATTCATCAAGTATCCCTTTCTTGAAAAATTCCATCATTTTCTAATCAAGATAAAAAAACATTTAAATTATTGAAAGTTAGAAAGGAATTTATTTATTTATTACTTGCATATCATAGATAGATAGAATTATATCAGAACAGAGAGTTAGCATTTTGATAATTACTGAGTAGAGAATCTGCTCACCTTCTAAAGTTATTTCAAATTTATTAAATAATTATATTTAGATATTATAAAAAGTTAATAATTAATTAAAATTAATACCAAATAAAAAGAGGTCTAAAATTCTTTTCTAAACAGTCTTAGGAGCATTATATAGCAATATTGTAAAAAAATATTATGAGAAGCAAGAATAGCTATCAAGCTTTGTTATAAATTGATAAAATTATTCATTAATAAATTTAAAAAATATACCCTAATTTATTTTTTCTATAAACTATGATTGCAAATAAAAGTATGTTAAATATATTTTTTATACAAAATTTTCTGTAAAGCTATTAAATGCTAAAAATAATATGTAGATAATTTAAAAAATTAGGGTATGTTGTAATTTAGGTAAAATTTTCTTTTGAAAATGTAAAAGAATAATAATTGCATACTCCAACATCAGCTATATGTTAAAAAATTTGAGGAACATACTCTTTCATTTTTTAATCCAGAGTTTTAATCATTTGATGTATTCCAGGAGTTCCATCTAAAAAAAGAATTCTCCAATTTTTAACATGCATAATATGCACTAGAATCCAAAAGGTATTTTCTTCATATTCCTTGTTAATAAATTCTACTTCTAAATCTTTTTCATTGTCTGGATTTAAATGGACAAGAAGACTTGCAGCTATAAAATTCATTCCCTAAGTATATCCTATTTCTTAATCAAAATGTGAGTAGGCTCTTAGTACTCTAAATAGTTTTTCTCTTCCTTCATATATCTAAATTAATTTTGAAAAAATATTTTAAACTATTTTAAATTGATCTAAATTAATGAATAAAAAGTATTAAAATAAATGTCATAGTTATTAATTAATATAAACTGAAATTTAAAAATGTAATTAGAAATCCAAAAATTGTATTCATACTTTATCATGCTTATCATAAATTTAAAAGAATCTCATATCTGAAAAAGTTCTATTAAGATCCTTTAATATTAATTTATCGCTAGGACCTTCTGTTTTTGACATAACTTCATAGTTAAACATTTTGTTTTATATTTTTAACTCCTCAACTTTTGACAAAATCAGCCATACATCTTTTCGGCTTAAATATTATTTTTATACAAAAATTAAAATTCTACATTTTTGTTATTTATATATTACACATCATATGGTATTCCCTTCAATAAACTAAATTAGATTCGCTGATTTTAAAATTCTTCTAATGATTTTTTAACTACTATCTATTTCCATTCATCACTTGAAAGAACCTTAATCTCCTCATCTTGGTCAAGAAGAATTAAATAATCACTAAATTCGTTTTCATAAATCATAAATTTTTAATTTAAAATGAGCTATTCTTAAATAGACATTATTCTTCCTCTTTATGCAAATTATTGCTACTAATTTTCTTAATCTAATTGATGGTGCTATTATTTGTCTTGAGAGATGCATTCTTTTTTATTCTAATCTATTTATTTTTATTTTTAAGATTGACAATTTCTAGAAGCTTAATCATTCTGCTGTTGCTGCCTATTATATTTTTACTAGTTATTTACACTCTCATTTTCATCTGGATTTGTAAAAAATCCCATAATCTTTTTAAACATTTCTGCTGTAAACTAAAACAAAATATCAAATCTATTCTTAAACAAAGTTAATTTTTGTAATATCTGATATAGTAATAATTAGTTAATAATTATTTTTTTTAAATTACTCTAATTTTTTGATCGGATATATATATTTCAGCTTTTTCTGATTAACTTAATATTCTAAAATTGTAGTAAGTTTATTTGATATCGAATAATGCAATTTAGAACAGTAATTAAACCAAATCGGGGTTGGGGTTGGGGTTGGGGTTGGGGTTGGGGTTGGGGTTGGGGTTGGGGTTGGGGTTGGGGTTGGGGTTGGGGTTGGGGTTGGGGTTGGGGTTGGGGTTGGGGTTGGGGTTGGGGTTGGGGTTGGGGTTGGGGTTGGGGTTGGGGTTGGGGTTGGGGTTGGGGTTGGGGTTGGGGTTGGGGTTGGGGTTGGGGTTGGGGTTGGGGTTGGGGTTGGGGTTGGGGTTGGGGTTGGGGTTGGGGTTGGGGTTGGGGTTGGGGTTGGGGTTGGGGTTGGGGTTGGGGTTGGGGTTGGGGTTGGGGTTGGGGTTGGGGTTGGGGTTGGGGTTGGGGTTGGGGTTGGGGTTGGGGTTGGGGTTGGGGTTGGGGTTGGGGTTGGGGTTGGGGTTGGGGTTGGGGTTGGGGTTGGGGTTGGGGTTGGG